CTGAACCCTTTTTTTTTTTTTTTTTTGCACAGTGGCAAAGGCCTAAAGCGAAAAGGTTTTATAAAACCCAGCTGAAGGCCTAGGACTGGGGCGACAGCGTGCGTGCCCACAGAGAGGGCTCTGAGTGCTGCCTCTGGCACCCGTGCCATAGGTTCGCCACTATTGCTCTAGGGCCATTGTACCACTTCAGTCCAACCAACCCCCAGTCTGTTGTGGTGAGGATAAAAATGTTTGGGAGCCCCATGTAAGCCCCATGTGCAGAGCTTCTGGAGGAAAAGGGAAATGTAAAACTCAAGAGATAAAAAACAATGACTTGCAATATAAGCTTTAAGTTCAGAACAATGGGATATTGTACCGGTGCTTTGAATGCTAATATAAAATGAACAGATGTAAGAATGAATTAATAAATAACAGTAGGGCTATCATAAACAATCTTTTCTATTTTCTCCTTGGCCTGCAGTGAACAAATGATTAGCATTCCTTTGCTAGTCTAAGATGTATGCTGCACTATAATTTTAAGAGAAGAATTTATAAAAGCTATGGTTAAACTGCTGGTCTCCAGCTGGTGGGTCGAGCCTAATTATAGAGCTTAGTAATCTGACTTTAAAAAGAGCTAGCCCCCAAAAACCATGCAAATATTATTAAAAATATTAAGATGTGGGGTCTCCCAATAATAATGTCTGAAACCGATTAAAAATGGTTTCTAGTTTCAAAAAAGTTGAAGATTATCAATTTTATTTTAACTCTTTATCTCTTCCTAGCAAATTCTCATCATTTTCAGCTGCTTTGGCCAAAAAGGGACACCAACATTTTACTGGGCAAACATTTAAACCATGACCATTTTCAACAAAGGTCATTGAAAAAACAACAACACAGCAGTGACCTTAAATTCTTGTGAGATTTGGATAAGGATTTCATTGGCATTAGATTTATTAATTGTGCACAATTTCGCTCCCCTGGTCCTCGTAAAGTTAGAGCGGAACAAATGAGAAGGATCAGGCTTTGTCAAGTCCAGATGTTGAAATGCTGGCTGAATTTCTTTAAAAAATGCCTTATGTAATAGGAAGAACAATAATGACTTGCTAATAAATCAATAACTGAAATAAGAACAGGGGACTTGTCTAATATGGGTAAGCAGACCAAAACAGTGCACACTGAGAAAAGAATGAGGTATTTTGGCAGCCTTGTTAAGACGTTCTTTATGCTGGGAAAAAAAACCCACCATAATTTGGCAATCTGGCTGAGAAACACCTTCCCACTGACGGGAAGATGTAACTGTGACTTTTTTTCCTTTCTTTTTGACGTTATTTTGACCCTTGTTAATGCAGCCTAGCACTGCGTTGGCCTTTTTGGCAGCTGCAGCACACGGCTGGCTTATATTTAGGTGATTGTCCACTAGGACTCCGAGGTCCCTCTCACAGTTACTACTATTGAACAAGGTACCCCCTATACCAGTGTTTCCCAAACTTGACAATTTTAAGGCATGAGGACTTCAACTCCCAGAATTCCACAGCCAGCGTTGCTGGCTGTGGAATTCTGGGAGTTGAAGTCCACATGCCTTAAAATTGTCAAGTTTGGGAAACACTGCCCTATACTATACCTGTGCATTTGTCTTTCAAGGTCATTCCCAAATGCCATTACACGCACAGATTCCTCACTGTGGTGTTTCAGCCTTGTGTTCTTGCTCTAAGCGCCTTCGTGCTTCCCGATTGACAAGCCTTTTGTGTATTAATAATAAATATCTCTGGATATGAACGTGGTGAAAGATAGACAGGGAAGCCTTAAATATAGACTCCGTCACTGTACAGCAGCATCTCTGAATTAAGAGAGGACGGTAATAATCATGTTGGGTAGATAATCAGGGCACTATAATACAATATATTTAGAGAACAGCAGGTTAAGGAAGGCTGATTAATGCCCCCCCCTTTTTTTTGAAGGGGTCAGATGAGGAGATGTTAACATTAAAATTTTACATTTTTCAGAAGCCATTCCACTTTTGGGTATAGGAGAAATTTTCGAAGCTATGATCTCTGCAGGTGGTCAAATGAGGTCTAAAGACATCTGGTTGGCTCTCTTTAGTTGGAAAAGAAATAGACTGGTTTTCGTCCAATTATGACATCTTGCAGTAATTTTGTCCTGGACAATTGGAGTTAATCTCAATTATTACCTTTTTTTTTTTTTTTTGCTGTTTTTGTTGCTGTGCTGTGCTGTCCAGATTCTAAAGCATAAGATGTTCACATTAAAGTAAAAAGTGATTTCATTTTGGAAATGGTTTCAATGACATATAGATTTATTTTATTGTCTTTATCACAATTAGTAATCAAAGTAAACATTTGCTGGACACCACCGTTGAGTGGGTTACCTGGCTGTCACTTAGCTCTTCTTCCAAAACATGGATAATTAACTTGTTAAGGCATCCAAACAGGCTCCTGATGAATTAACATTCAAAATTTCTGACAGGCGCTGGAAAAGAGTACACAAAAGGAACTACACGGAGAGGTGTTCTTTGCTATGGATATATAGCACCATCCCAAATAGAGAGAATTTTAGAGCACATTCTCCAAAAACATTTGAAAGAACAAGCAAAGGTTTTTTCCCCTTCTCTCTTGAACTCCCATTATTGGGATAATTTGTGACCAAAATGTGGCACCTACCGATTTTGGAAACTTGAAGAGTCTGTAACAAGGACATCTCTTATTTATTAAATGTGCATCGCATTCACACAAGTGGGAAGCAGTGAAGCAAAAATCCAAGGCCCCAGCTGTACCCAAGGTGAAAATTCCAAAGCTGCCCCCCCCCCAAAAGATGTTTTAAACTCCCACTGAATGAAAGGAAAGGAAACTAGCAGCTCAGTTTATACTGAAGATTATTTAATGATCTTGAAGCCGAAGCACAATGGCAGAAACTAATTATCTTTCTGAATGTTTTCTGGGTCCCAGGCAAGACAGAAATAGAGCAATAGTAATAAGGGGCCACACAATTCTGCTGTTTTGAGGGCGTGCCGCACACTAAAATGCAAAGCACTGAACATACTTGCAAGAATCAAGTTGAGCTGAAAAAAAGATGAAAGCTGATGGACCCAGAAGTAAAAAAAAAAAAAAAAAGAAGAATGTTTCTCTTAGCTATATTTTTCCATTCTTCTTGAAAAACCAAGCCGGGGAAAGGTTTTTGTGTTTGGAAGCCAGGAACAATTGTGCAAACCGCCCAGTCTTCCAAAAACTTTTCAGTTGTAGATTCTGTTTCTCTCCATGCCCTGACATCTTTTTGCCAAGTTTCTCTCAGCCATTGCTCTGTTGCTTTCCACCAACAGAATCTCACGGGAAGGCCTATTGATGATTAGTTACAGACCTAGACATTTTTTGGGGAAAAGGGAAAAAAAATTAGGAAAAGGCTATTTTCAAGTGCCATCTAGTGGCTTATTTGCTAGAGTGGAAATGATGGTTATCCTTCACCCCTCAAATTATTAACTATCTATCTTTGGTTCTATGTATTTGACAGGGAACAAAACGTCATACAGGGTTATTGGGCAATGTAAGACATAGCCTGTGCTTGTCTGATCAACTTTTATGGCTTTACGGCAGCGAGCTTCTTGATCTTGTGATTTTTAATATGCTTAAACATTTGTATAAATATTTGCAGAGAGAAGAAACACTTATGCAAGAATTTCAGTGGCTGAAAACCAGGGCTCCAGTGCGTTTAAATTTTGTTTATAACAAAGCAGAATTAGATAAGGCTTGCTTAAGCTGTTATCTCATTGATATAGCAGTTTTCTAGTTTCGATAAGCTCTTTATTATGGTCTTGCCAAACCAGGTTTGCAAATTGAAGTAGGATCTCTAGTACTGTACTTGAATGTCGTGTGGACTCCGTTCAACTCAGTGAACCAGACTTTTTCAGGCCAAAGGAAAATGGTAGAATAGACAATTTAATCTCAATCTATAGATGGTGTTTCATTACCATCTTATGCTCATTGTAAGAGAAAGATGGAAATAAATCCTGTTCTTTTCTTTTCTTACACGATTAATCCGATGAAGCTCAGACATTGCTTTGCAAAATGGCACCCAGTCAGAATTTATCTGCTCTTGCAATTACCCATCTAGCTATACACGCAAAGGGAGAAGAGCCAGTCTGATTGCAGAGGCTGACTCACTGGCTGACTTTTATTAGTATACAGATTGTTATGGGCAAATAACTACCAGAAGAGCTTGGTGCTCAGCGGTTGCGGCAAATATATACATGAGTAACAAGATAACCTTTATTGTCATTTTTTTTTTACTGTGCGCACAATGGCACACATCAAAAAATGAAATATAACTGCCCACTCTCAAAGTGAAACACATAACAAGCATAATTCTGTGTTCGTGTTGATTAAACTAACATTCCTGGTTAGAATATGGAATTGTGAATTGGATTGCTTTTGAAAGTTGAGCTGGAACTGAACAGAGCTGGAAGGTTGTTGACAATGACTTTTTTGACCTGCGAGTACAGGGTAGCTCCTGCTTCTCAATAGTAATTGGGACGGGGAACTCTGCCGCTATGTGGTTGTAACATGTAAAGCCACATGGCTTGGTTGACTTATCATACAGTATGTCAGTTCCAGTTGGGTTGATAAGTGAATCACGGTCATTAATCACGCTCGAATTGCTGCTAGCTTCCCCACCAACTTTGCTTATCTGAAGCTGGCAGCGAAGGTCGCAAATACTAATTGTATGACTGCGGGACACGGAAATGTTATTGCAAAATTGTTGCAAAAGAAGGAGCTGTTGTAAGCCCTCCTTGTTCTATACAGTCTTAACTTCAAACAGTAGTGGAATGTGGATGTTAGGTGAGGGCTCTCTATAAATGGGGCAGGTTTTAAGTAGTCTCTGAACGTTAGTTATTTTTGACAGATTCCTCTCACAACAGCACCAAGTAAACACAACCTGTATCTATAAGATCTATATTCTTTCACTTGCAGTAATGTTTTTAAATTCACCTCTCCCTTATAAGAAAACAAATCCTGCAATTTTCTAACAAAAGTTTATTTACATTTTAAAAGGTGTACAAAAATATATAAAAGTTGTCTTCATTTCTGCCCAGTTGATCCAAAACCGCCTGAGCCACGATCTGTTTCATCCAAAACCTGGAAAATAGAATTCATTTAATTGAATAACAGAAGAAAAAAGTGCATACATTAAATCCCAATCCCTTATTGCCAACAGTCAATAAGTGACGCAGTCATAAAATATAACATTGCGTGACTCTGCCAGACTTGTAGCATGATGTGACTCTGACTTGCTACCCACTTCCCCACTGACTTTGCGTGTTGGAAGCTGGTTATGACGGTCACAAATAATGACTGTGGGACTCTGCACCTGGCATAAATATGTGCCAGTTGCCAAATCACAATTACATGACTTTGGGGACACTGCAAGGGCTGCAGGTTCAGCCAAGGATATCATAAATCTCCTTTCTTATGGTTGTTGCAAGTTCAAATGTTCACTGAATGAAAGTCTACCTCTATACGCACAAACATTTCTAAACATTTCAGTATATGATAGACATGGTTTCTTATAATCATCTATCATTAATCTATTTTCATAAGTAATTTGTTATATTGCTACAAACTCAAATCGGCAGACCACTGACAAAAAAATATTATGAGATTTTGAAGTAAACATGAACCAAATAGATTTTGCCCTTATTCCTTCCTTAAATAAATCCTTTAAATTCCTATATTTCATTAACAATAAGATAACTGGGTTACCTTAACTTCTTCAAGAACTGGATAGTAGATGCGCTCACAGATTAGTTGAGCAATCCTGTCACCCTTTTTAACTAAAAAATAAAAATAAATTAAAAACTGATGTTGTTTAAAAGAAAATCATTCCCCAAGGGTGAATGGGACTATCTGTTATTATTTTTGTTATTATAGCTAGTGCTGTTATAGTATTTACTTTCATTTAATAAATGTTTGGAGGTCAAAGAACAATCTGAAACTTTATAAAGGGGTTGATGAGCTGAAAAGTTTGGGGCTATATTTACAAGGCAGTATACATGTTTCCATCAAGGGAGAATTGTCCTGAAGCTCCCTCAGTTGCTCTGCCAAAACTGATCAGCACTCATGCTTTTTTTTAATCTCCCTCTTAACAACTTTTACATGTAAGCTCTAATTTAAAAGCAGGAAATTTAAGGAAAGTATCAGCTTAACATTTAAATCTCCAACTTTAATGTTTTTACCTTTAAATGGTTCCTTTCCAAAGTTAAACAATACAACACCAACATTTCCCCTGTAGTCTTCATCAATTACGCCAGCTGTTTAAACAAAAAAATGCAACAATATAGACGTTTCACTATATTTGATCCAGAACATAGAACATTTGGTTGGGGAAATGGAAAGTTTGATTAATACACACACAGAGAGAGAAAAGCCACTACCACCAGATCAACCAGGTTGGCTATGCTGGCAAGCCTCAAAACCAGATTATGACCCATTGTTCAAAAGATTATTTCATCATTTGCATAGGAATTTGTTAAGCGAAGACTACCTGCATTTGATATCTGTAATAGATAAGGATATATATTGCAAAGGATATATATATATATAAAATAAAAATAAATTTTCTGAAGTTTTTGCAGGTGTTTGTATGTAGGTCTTTGGTTATTCGGGTTTTCTCCCACGTCAAATTGGAAGTGTCTTGGCGACGTTTGGACGAAGTCCCATTCGTCATCTTCAGGCTGGTGTTTTCGGCTCCGTGCTTCTTTGACGCGGGAGAAAACCCGAATAACCAAAGACCTACACACACACACACATATAGTGCTTTAAATTCACTCTAGCAATGGGCTTCTATGATATATCTAAAAGTATTAATCCAGTAGCAGAGTTTACTCTCTAGTTGTATCTAATTTTAATTAAAATCAACGAGTCGTGGGTGGCTCGCATGACTTAAAATCTACATTTAGTAGAACCTTAGTCTTGTTAGCTCAGGAGCTCTGTAACAAATGAATCAATGTGAAGATTCCTTAAAAAGTTTGAAAACATTTGTTTCCAAACATTACTTAACTGAAATAAATATATACAGTGGATAAATGTATCTAGCCAACTGCTAACATAGTTCTGCGGAGCTTAGTTCACGGTCATTTGTTTTAACAGATGTGCTTTAATTAACTTGATCATGAATTACAGAATGTGCAAAGAACATATGTTCCATCATTTAGCTTCACTAAAATTATAGGCTTATTTATATAATAAAGAAAACTCACATTTCATGTTTCAATACTTCTGTTCCCAGAACAGAGTACAGTACTTCCATCTTATTAAATATGCAAATTAATATAAGCAAACCATATTTTAGAAACCTGCCAATTTATTTCACTAAGAATTTTTTCTTCTAAATTAAGGATGAAATATGAATATTATGCTGTAACATCTAAATGCATATCCTGATATAATTGCATTCAGAAACAATTACTTACCACCAACATCAATGAAATGATTTACAGCTAATCCCGATCGAGGAGCTTAAATCAAAGAAAGAAAAAGTGTTTAATTAGGACTTAGGGCTCAGTTTCTAATTTTCATAAATAACGCAAACAACCTATAAGATTACAATTTTTCTGTGTAACTTACCGACTCGGCCGTAGCAACCAATAGGAAGGGCAACCTGAATATCTGTTTTCACAATAGCTTTCCCTAAAGCAGGGACCTCACAGTCATATGCACTATGAAAGCAAACATTTCAAAAAAAAATGATTAGCTGGAAAAAGGAAAAATTACTAAGTTCAAATTGCATGCAGATATCATTTCTTTTTATACACAGGTAGTCCTTGACAATGGAGCCCAAAACTTAGGCTAAGCAAGACGTTTGTTAAGTGAGCTTTGCCCCATTTTATGACTTTTCCTGCCACAGTTGTTAAGTGAATCACTATAGTTAAGTTAGTCACATGTTTGTTAAGTGAATCTGGCTTCCCCATTGACTTTGCTTGCCAGAAGGTCAGAAAAGATGACATGATCACGGGACAAGGAGAGTCAATGGAGATAAAATAGCAAACTGTGGTCACATGTCTCACTCAATGACCACACAGTGCTTCGCAACAGAGTTGCTGGCCCTGGTCCCAACTGAGGTTGTTAAGCGAGGACTATCTATATACTATCCGCATACTTGGCTTCAAATGAATGAATGATTGTTTTATGGCACCAGTATAAGTCTTATTTGCTTGGTAGAGAACTAGAAGAAAAGCGTGTTTTACGGGTTAGCACAGTAAATACTCTGAAATTTTGAGACAGATGGCTCAACAATATTGATTATTCAAATTCATACCCATTTCTCAAACAGCCTGCCATTAAGAAAAAAAAAATGCAGCAATTACGAATTGTTTGATTAAAGACAGGCTTCAAGCCAGAGCAAAACAGATTGAACCATAAATTTAAGGCAGATTTGAAAAATGATAATAATAATAATAGTAGTAAAGTTGGAAGGGACCTTGGAGGTCATCTAGTCCAACCCCCTGCTCAGGCAGGAAACCCTAGACCATTTCGGACAAGTGGCTGTCCAGTCTCTTCTTAAAAACTTCCAGTCTTGGAGCATTTACCGCTTCTGGAGGCAGGTTGTTCCACTGGTTAATTGTTCTAACTGTCAGGAAGTTTCAGATTACTGTAACACATTTGTTACTGTTTCAGATTACTGGGGGAGGGAGGTATGGTGTAAGAAGCCCACCCTGTTTTTTCTCTCTCAAATGTTTGTGTTTGTGTGTGTGTGTGTTTTCTCAAAAAGCCAACTAGACTTTCTTGGCATTTCCTTTGAAAACGTTTCGCTTCTCTTCCAAGAAGCTTCTTCGGTTCCTCTGCACAAACCTCTGGCCTGAGGAGCGACAGGTTTTCAAAGCAAACATCAAGAAAGTCTTCTGGAAACAAAACAAAACAAAAACCACCATTTGGGAGAAATCTCCACAGAATCCCTGTTTTTTTTCTTACCTGTACAAATCGTAGCCCGCCGCGCGGGAAGAGCCTTTCGAAGGCGCAAAGGCATTTTCGGTCAGCTTGACGAAGCGCAGGCTCTGAGGAGACGTGTCGCCGCTGGGAATATTGTGCCTGGCGGTGGAAGAGTCTAAGGCGTTTGCTGTGGAGACCGGCATGGCGAAGGAGCGAAGAAAAGCCGCCAATTCTGAGGGGAAAAGAAGACAAGAGGCGCTCCAGAAACCCGCGCGCTTTTTTTTTTTGAAAGGGAACCGCCTGCGGCACCAACGGCCAATGGGCGCGCGAAGGACCCCTAGCCAATGGCTGTGGAACGGAGGCGGGACCCCTAGCCAATGGGCGCGGAACGGAGGCGGGATCCATAGCCAATGGGCGCGCGGCAGAGGAGGGACCCATATCTAATGAAGGCGGAGCGAAGGCGGAACCCACAGTCAATGGGCGTTGGAGCGGAGGCGGGACTCATAGCCAATGGGCGCGCGGCGGAGGCGGGACCTGCCCTGTCCATCAATATACATAGAAAAGTGAATTTTCCCCGCGCAGGACTTTCTTAAAGGGACAGAGCGGGAGGTACTCGTTAAGTCGCTGGGAAGTTCATCTCGGATTTGGGCAGTCTTTTCGGCTTCTTCCACGAGAACGGTAAAATGCCCGTTTGAATGCTCGTGGTTCGTGGGGGGGGGAGTTGGGGGTGGGCTCGGCCTTCTTCAGCAAGACCCAGGGCTTGGCTGCTCATTTCGGCCAGATAAAGAAAATGGCGGCTGCTTTTCTGGCGGGAGGCAAAAGCGAGCGAACGAGAGGTTAACTCGACTGAGCTACCGTCGTGGCCTACCGTCGTTGCTTTCTCCTTTGAGGGCGAACCCAATCCCCCCCCACGTATAGGAATGGTTTTGCCCACCGGGGCTCGGCAACGCCGAGAAGGCCCTACACCTCCTTATGGAAGAGTCCACCTTCAGCAAAGGAAGGGGGGGAATAAAAACGTGGTCCTTACTGTGCGTGAGGGAGCGCAGGGGAGCCATGGCGCCTGAAGGCCTCTTCTGGCCTCGTTCTCCTCGCTCGTTTCGCCTCAGCAGGGAACGACTGGCAGCGGGGAAAAACGTTGCTGTCTCTCCTCGGCCGGGAGGAAGCTAAGATGGCAGCCTCCTCTCCCGCCCCTCCTGCCCCCCAGGCCCTTTCACACAACGCCCCTGACCCAGGTTTAGGAAGGTGGCTTCACACGGCACGTCTAACCAGGGTTGGCTTCGGGGCGAGCGGACCTGGCTGGGTTAGGCCGCTGTAACTGGACTTCCTCCCCTTGGCTTCCCCGGGCCGGGTGACTTTGCCTTGGGGAAAGCGGAACACGGGCTCTTATTTAGGGGCTGCTCAGGTGGGATTCCCTGAATGGGGATTAATGAGCCTAATTGGCTTCAGTTCCACGAATGGAGGACTGGGAACTAACCCCCCCCCCCAGATCTGCCCAGAGACCTCAGGGATTATATGTATGTATTTATTTATTCATTTATCAGTCAAACATATAACTGCCCATCTTGGGAATTCTTGTTTATCTTTATCAGTCAAACTTATAGAGCTGCCCATCTTGGGAACGCTTGTTTATCTCTTTTATCAGTTTATATATATATATATATATATATATATATATATATATATATATATATATATATATATATATATATATATATATATATACACACTTGTTTATCAAGATTATATAGCCACCCATCACACATGTGACTGTGGGCAGCGTTCAATCAAACATTAAAAACAGTTAAATGTAAACATAATGCATGGACCACCATCTGTATACATGTTGTAACCTTGTGGGCTCCCTTTTTAAAATTTTATTTATTAAACTGTCATCTCCCCTGCAAGCCGACTCCAGGTAGATCCCTATTTCCATGGGATCCTCCAGCCTGCTGCAAAAACCATGTTTTAATAGATTTCTGGAAGGTCCGTCTCCTCCTCTTCCTTCTTTTTCTGTTCAGAGGTTGCCAGACACAAGAGTAGGAGGCCATTCCAAGTTTGGAGAAGTCTGGTTTTTTTTTTTTTAGTCAACCCCCCTAAATTAAAGAAAGCATCCATAACCAAGGCATCATTTGAATTTCCATTGTTTAAAAATGCAAACATTTCAGTTGGAGACTTCTTTTTATCTTGAACCTCTTCACCAGCCTTGGTTGCTTTTAGAACAGCGGTTCTCAACCTGTGGGTCGTGACCCCTTTGGGGGTCGAACGACCCTTTCACGGGTTGCCTAAGACCATTGGAAAACACATATTTCCAATGGTCTTAGGAATCAAGACACCGTTCCTCTATCCATCTCCAGGCGGGTCCGCCCACATGCAGATACGCCTACATACGAGTACCCGGCGTGATGACATCGCGCCAACCCCATCACATACACCTCGTACAAATACAGGTATATGTGACAGGGTTGGCGCTATAATGTACTTATGCGGACCAGTCACACGTTTAGAGAGCAGCTACTGTGTTAAAAGCAGCTACTGTGTTAAAAGCAGCTACTGTGTTGGAAACAGCAGTATTGGAGGTAAAATGACACTTTATGAATTATAATTACTGTAAAATCATGTACTGTAAAATTATCAACTACTGCAAAAATATATATCTGTACCATGGAAACTTAATCTGGATGCTGATCTGTCTTTTTATATTCAGCTATGGTTGGTGTGAATGCTGCCCGTTTGTGATAGTAACAGGTATCACAAAAACAACACAGAATGGTAAATCATAGGAAACTTTAATGAACTGTATTGACTGAACTATGCCATGTATCTTTTGTATTATTAAAGCTATTGTTATATATTATTTTTATTAGCAAACCATCCCACGACAATGGATCATGTAGAGAAGAACATTAAGAAAAGAAAATATCGTGAGGATTTTTTACAGTACGGTTTTACCTCAAAAATTACAGCAGGAATTGAGAAACCGCAATGTGTTATTTGTCGTGAAGTTCTATCAGCTGAATCTATGAAACCGAACAAACTAAAACGCCATTTTGATGCCAAGCATCCAAGCTTTGCTGGCAAGGATACCGACTATTTTAAAAGCAAAGCTGATGGACTCAAGAAAGCCAGACTTGACACTGGTGGCAAGTACCACAAACATAACGTAGCAGCCGTTGAAGCTTCATATTTGGTGGCACTCAGAATCGCCAGAGCTATGAAACCTCACACCATTGCTGAGGATTTGTTGCTAGCGGCCAAAGACATTGTTCGAGTTATGATCGGAAATGAATTTGTTCCGAAATTGAATGCAATTTCCTTATCTAACGACACTGTCCGCAGAAGAATAGATGACATGTCTGCTGATATTCTTGATCAGGTAATCCAAGAAATTAAATCTGCTCCACTTCCAATATTTAGTATCCAGCTTGATGAATCTACAGATGTTGCAAACTGTTCACAGTTACTGGCTTACGTGAGATATATTAATGATGGCGACTTTAAAGATGAGTTTCTTTTTTGCAAACCTCTTGAAACAACAACTACTGCACATGATGTATTTTACACAGTTGGTTCATTTCTGAAAGAGCATAAGATCTCTTGGGAAAAGGTTTGTGGTGTTTGCACAGATGGTGCTTCAGCTATGCTAGGATATCAATCTGGATTTCAACGTTTGGTACTGAATGAGTCACCAAAAGTCATTGGAACTCACTGTATGATTCATCGGCAAATATTAGCAACAAAGACGCTGCCACAAGAGTTACAAGAAGTAATGAAAAGCGTCATAAGTTCTGTCAATTTTGTAAAGGCGAGCAGTTTAAACAGTCCACTGTTTTCGCAACTGTGCAGTGAGTTGGATGTGCCGAACAATGCTCTGCTATTTCACACTGAAGTGAGATGGTTGTCGAGAGGAAAAGTTTTAAAACGTGTTTTTGAGCTTCGTGATGAACTCAAAATGTTTTTTAATCAGAAAGCCAGACCGCAGTTCGAAGCACTTTTCAGCGATAGAAGTGAGCTGCAGAAAATAGCTTACTTGGTTGACATCTTTGCCATCTTGAATGAGTTAAATTTATCACTGCAAGGACCAAATGCAACGTGCCTCGATTTGTCTGAAAAGATCCAATCATTCCAAATGAAACTTCAGCTTTGGCAAAAAAAATTGGATGAAAATAAAATTTACATGTTGCCTACCTTATCTGCTTTCTTTGAGGAACATGACATTGAACCAGACAAAAGGATTACGATGATCATTTCTGTGAAAGAACACTTGCACATGCTTGCAGACGAAATTTCATCGTACTTTCCAAATCTACCCGACACCCCATTTGCACTTGCCAGAAGCCCATTCACAGTCAACCTTGAAAATGTTCCTGAGATAGCACAAGAGGAGTTCATTGAACTTATTAACAGCGATGCAGCGAGAACTGATTTCTCTACAATGCCAGTTACAAAATTCTGGATCAAGTGTTTGCAGTCATATCCTGTTCTGTCTGAGATTGTGTTGCGCCTTCTTCTTCCATTTCCAACAACATATCTTTGTGAAACAGGGTTTTCCAGCTTGTTGGTTATCAAGTCTAAATACAGAAGTAGACTTGCTGTGGAAGATGATCTTCGTTGTGCTCTTGCAAAGACTGCCCCGAGAATTTCAGATCTGGTGAGAAAGAAGCAGTCTCAACCTTCGCACTGATGTTGGCTTTTTACGTATGCTGTTGCAAAATGTAGCAATGTAGTTTACTGTTGTTATATTAAGACTTATCCATGCTACACCATGCTTCAAGACAAAATTTCATTTATTTGTAATTAGAAATAAATATTTCACAATATATAATTACATATTGTTTTTGTGATTAATCACTATGCTTTAATTATGTTCAATTTGTAACAATGAAAATACATCCTGCATATCAGATATTTACATTACGATTCATAACAGTAGCAAAATTACAGTTATGAAGTAGCAACGAAAATAATTTTATGGTTGGGGGTCACCACAACATGAGGAACTGTATTAAAGGGTCGGGGCATTGGGAAGGTTGAGAACCACTGATTTAGATGAAATCTAACTATTCTAAGATGATTGTGTGTCAAATGTTCTATATGGCTGGTAATATTTAATCACTTGAATTATGACAAACCACATATTTTTGTTGCCAGTTTATGATGCTTTGGATAATAGGAATTTTAGTGCACAAAAATTTGGGACAAATGTGTTAGTTTTTCTAATGTTCAATGTAGCCTGTGTTGCAACAAATTTAATAAAGATGCCTCTTTGAATTTTTTTCAGATGGAAACAAAAAAAATTCAAATCAAAGTATGCAATGGGGATAAACCTTTGATTCATTTTTATTTGTTAACAAATTAATATGCAAGTTGAAATATTCCTACCAGTCAGAAAAAGATTAAAATTTATTAAAAAAACATATCTTAAGTTGTGCCAAGCCACTGTGCTACTTTACTTCCATTTATAATTCTAAAGAAATCAATGTCACTATGAAATCTTTAAAAATTCAGGTTAGTACACATATTTTTGCTTTCAAAGTTTTCTTAAGTGTTGATTGAATATGATTTCAGTTCTCTTGAGGTGATAATTTGAAACTGCGTGTTACGCATTATAAATTATGACATTTTGCTCCCCAGTTACACTGACAGGAATAGAAAAAAAGATTAGAACCAGATTTATTTATGAAACACAAACATTGAAGTTATGTAGGCTGGTATAGCATTGAACAGAAAAATCATACATTTTGGATTCTTTGGGGGAGAATGGAACTTTTTGCATAACTAGAATTGTACGTTATTCTGGAGCACAGGACTGCAGTAATCAAACCTAATGTATTCATAATAGGAGTGGAAGTTGGTGTATATTTTGACATTTGTGATGAAAGCTAGATTTTTAAAGAGAGACTTGAAATGTGGAATGCAGGTTTTTTTTCAAGGTATACTCTCTTCCATTTCACCTTGCCCTGTCAGTCCTGGTCTTCCATTTCCTCTCCCTTTTTTGTGGATATGATTCATTTTTTACTCTGTGATATTGATAGCAAAATAATCTGTTGGAAGTCTGTTATATTAAGTCCATTGTTATGTCCAGAATGCATGTAATGGACTCCAGGGGAAGAGTTTGTTATGAGTAAAATGTTAGTACATTTTTGTGGTTGCCTCGAATGAGCAACACCGGAGGTAGGTTCTTGGAGAGGATTTCTAACCAAGCCATGTAGAGGTAATCTGATACAATTCCTTTTCTTGCCACTGGTAGGCTCCTGTTGAATTGAAGAGGAGGAAGTATTAGTAATACTCAGTGCTAGTATATTAATCGTCTCCTAGACTAGGGTTACCAGATGGAAGCAATTCATACTGTAGGTGACTGTTCTTCAATTTACAATCTTGCCTCAAAGTCTCGGTAGGGACAACAAATTAAAAATGTGTAACTTACAGAATAATTAGATTAGCAGCTCGAGAGTGCTCCTGTAGGAGTTCATTCAAACGGACCTGACGGTAACTCTGTTTAAAATCAAAAGTTGATTACATTAGAAAATATTTTTTTTCTATCATCCTTAAACGTTTAAATATATTCCAGAAAGGCTTCTTTATGAGAAACTTTGAAATAAGATCGTGCCGTACAATTCTGCCTATCTTTGGATAAATCTGTTGACTGAAATATGACTTTTGCAAATTAAAGTATGTAATTTGCGAATTGGAAGCAAAATACTTAGCCTGGTTTGTTGGATAGTTATTTTCTGTTATTAAATCAATATGAATCCACACTTATCTTGCCTCATGAAATACTCATGGCTACAGAATATAATAACTATGCACATAAATTCATTTAAAGAAATTAAGAGTTGGAATGATTTTAAAATGTACGATTGGTCTTGTGCTCAGATCAGTGATCCTACTGAATCCTACTTTGATCCTCCTCTGGCAACTGTCCAGACAATGCTATCCTTAATGTTTAAAGAATATACAATGAAGCTTATGTGTCCTATGTACTGGTCCCATTCAGCTAACATACTGTATATCCCAAATTAACATACACTGTTGGAGTTAGAGCAGTGCAAAGAACAGGTTCAGTGTCTGCAATTGCTTTGATGTGGGATGACAGAAATTGTAGCAGAATTCAGTACTAGATTATATATCTCTTATATTAAGATGTTCTCCCCATCCATCTCCTAAAGATTGAGTCTAACAGGTGCTGGCCTAGAAACCAGGAGACTTTGAGTTTGAATGAGGAACAAAGACGACAGAAATTATTGTTGCTTAGTGGTTTTGACCTAAGGACCACATTGCTTAGTGGTGGAAATTCTGGTCCCAGTTAGGGTTGTTAAATGAGGACTACAGATTTTGGAAAGCATAGGCCAGTGGTGGTGAACCTATGGCATGTGTGCCAGAGGGGGCACTTGGAGCCCTCTCTGTGGGCATGCATGCCTCGGTCTTTGGCTATGTTTTTGCAGGAAAAAGCCATCTCTCAACCCCCTTCCTAACCAAAACAAGCCTGACACCAGAAACAGACTAACAGATGACCTGAGTGCTGCATATGTTGCTCTCAAATGTACAAAGTATAAGCCAAGGCTAGACAAATTATCAGCATGCATACAACAGCAAAAGTCACATTTAATTATTCAAAAGCATGCCAAATGCCAACTTTTACCTTTCAGTAAAAAGTTGTTTGTATAATTGAAAGCTTTGTTATTGTGTTTTTCTTTTAAGACAAAAGATATTAATATTTGAGTTGCTTTTTCTAAACTAAAACCTCAGTAGTCAGATTAAATTGCCGTGTTGGCACTTTGCGATAAATAAGGTGGGTTTTGGGTTGCAGTTTGGGCACTCAGTCTCTAAAAGGTTTGCCATCACTGGCATAGGCTAGTGGGCAATTAAAGATGGGTGGAGTTCACCTCCCAGAATGCTGGCTGGCGAATTTTGGGAGTTGAAATCTACCCATCCTAAACTGCCAGGATTGAGGAAACTGCTCTGAAGCAAAGTTTCTGCCAACTCAAAAGCTCTCTCCAAGTGAAGGACTGTCTTCTGTTAATAAAATGAATAATCTCGATGAAAGTTATTGCTTTAAAATGATCATGAGTAAAATTTGGGTAGAAAGAGCATGCAATATATATCATGGATATTATGGGGTTTTTTCCCCCCTGGTGATAATCAATATGCTCTGCTTTCTCTTTCAAATAGCCTCTTTATAGTGTCAAAGGTAACTAAAGGTATGGCTGATTACCTTTTCCTTGAATGCTTCCAGTTCTGCATCAGTGATTTTCCACGGTGCCTCTCTTTTTAATTTCTCAGCGGTTGTTAAATCTTTGCAGCTTTCATGAAGGCGATAGGGTTCAATCATCTCTTCAAAGAATTTCCAGCTGGAACAGAAATTATAAAGAGACTTCACAGCAGGACTCTTAACTCTTCATTTTACAGATATTCTTAAGATTGGACAAGATCTTGGCTGTAGAACGAGAGCTGAATTCAGTAAAAATCTTTAAACCGTATCAGGTTTTAAGCGTGGGCATTGCCATCGCAGTATAAGTTTGTCAGGTGTATGTTGTCACTGCTGTCAATTTATATTCCATATTGAATTGAATAAAAGTTATACATAATATTTCATTTCACAATGCTACTGAATATATTCATAGATGTGCACATGTGAAACAAGCCTTTTTTGGGGAAAAAGTCTGCTTGCATTATACCCTAATATTAGCTTTATTTTTATTACTGTTGATTAGAAGATTAAAACTGAGCTGGAAGTAAATGCCATTGAAGTTAAGTGAAATTATTTTATATAAAAACAAGGATGCCACACTATGTCTTTTCTTTGTGGTTATAGACTTAACAGGTATCTCTGGAAATTATGTTGAAATAAATTGGCTACATCTAGACAACTAATACCAAGCTCTTACAGACTTTCTAAATAATGGCGTTTAGAAGATTTGAATGCGATACCATAGATTTTAACTTGCATTCTACCTTGGTTCTGGTAAAGTGCACTTTCATAGCATATTTAACCCCTTAAAAGTCTCAGCAGTATAGCCAGGCTGGGTTCAAATATGTACTTACCCTTGCATTTGGGATAATAAACGACAATTCCAGAATTTATTTAATATTCATTAAACAAATTATAGCCTTTATAGCCACATGATTAGCCACAATTCAAGACAGAATAAACTATCTTTCAATTCATCCACCACACACAACACTATTTTTTGTGTGTGTGTATGTGTGTATACAAAAGAAATAAAATAAATTATAGTTATTTATTTAGTTAAGCATATTATCCTTTAAAATAAAGTGGATGTCAACGGCTGCCTGACATCTCCTGTTTCAAAAAAGCCCAGCTATTTCAATAATACTTTAAAAATACATTTTTCTTTGCCAGTTTGCTACCTTCTCTGCAGCCATAGAATGAACACCCATGATTTTGTTTGATCTTTTTTTTTCCTAAATGGAAAAATAAGACTTAATCAGCAGCAAGAGCAGGTTTTTACATATTCCATTTTTAGGTGTTCCCTTTAAAACAACTGCACTTCTTGGACAATTGTGCAGCTTACCTCTCTTTATTGGGTTTCATGTTGATGTCTCCAATTATATTAATGTCGGCAAATTTTATTCTAAACTTACTTAACAGCGAAGCCATCCTGAAAAATTAAAAAAGGGAAGCCATTTTAATTGCAGAATTCAGAAAGCTTGATAGTAAAACATAAGGGATTTAGTTCCAATCCTATTCAACGTGTAAGTTAAAGTAACGGAAGAAGGAAGCTTTAGAGTTCACAAGGTTAATACTATAGTTCTATTCTATTCCATTCTATTCCGAATTCCATTCCATTCCATTCCGAATTCTATTCTATTCTTTCTATTCCGAATTCTATTCGGTAAAATTCTATTGCAGTAAAAGAAAATTCTCAGGGTAAGGTTATGGATTTTCTTACATCAACTTTTCTTCTTCAAGACGAGTAACTTTTCCACCAGTAAAGATCCTTAGTTTGCAATCCTTCCACTTTTTCCGGAGTGTCAGAATATAGGGAATTAGGAGGATTAGCCCTGAGTGGGAAAAAAATAGATCATATTATGAATGCTCCAGTTGTGAATGCTCCAATACAGGAATTTTAAAGAAGAGATTGGACAACCAATTGTCTGAAATGGTATAGAGTTTCCTGCCTGAGCAGGGGGTTGGACTAGAGGACCTCCAAGGTCCCTTCCAACTTCTATTCTATTCCATTCTATTCTGAATTCTATTCTATCCTATCCTATCCTATCCTATTCTATTCCGAATTCTATTCTATTCTATTCCGAATTCTATTCTATTCTATTCTGAATTCTATTCTATTCTATTCCAAATTCTATTCTATTCCGAATTCTATTCTATTCTGAATTCTATTTTATTCTATTACAAATTCTATTCTATTCCGAATTCTATTCTATTCCGAATTCTATTCCATTCTATTCTATTCTATTCTATTCTATTCTATTCTATTCTATTCTATTCCATTCTATTCTATACATCAATGTAGCAAATTAGAACACTGTATAAGTAAGATAAATGTATTTTTTCACTAATATTGAAAGTAGAAGGTCGTTGACTTTAAAAAAGGTTTTTTTTAATTTAATTTTTGGTCACTTGTTTTGCAAATCTTATACAGGGTTATAGTCATGATCCTGGTACCTAAGGTGGTGGTGGTGGGTGGTGGTCTTTTGGGGTCTTACCTCCATCATCAAACAGCCACCACACATCGATGGAGCCCTTCCCTTGCTTTTTTTTAAACTGAAGACTAGCTTCCAGCAGCCGTTGATTGAATTCCCCAACGTGCACTGAAGAGATTGTGCTAATGCTGCAGCCTGAACCAAGAGAGACGAGCTCATAGTTAGCTTTAATAATCGTTTTAGACATTTTTGTTTTGGTTAGGCAAATGTTAAAAGCAAATGCTTGGGTTTTAAAATATCACTTAAAAGACGATGAGAACCAATAATCAAAAATCTGGAATCCATGAACATGTAATACATTACAAACACACAGCATTTGATAACTCGCCACCGTTGGTATTTTGTTCTGTTTGGGAGTTACCTCTTGATTTGGGTGCTAGGACTTGAAAAAAGGGGTGGAGAAAATAGTAAATCTTTCCTAAAAAGTTCTGTGTTTAAAGACTGCTCCATAATTGCAGGAACTGTTGAGAAACTATGCCTACTACCATGTGAAGAACATTAGCAAGAGAGATTTCAGCAGTTAGCAATGGGTCACTAGATTCACCCTGCAAAAGAATTTTCTGCACTATGAAAAGATAATATGGTGTTTCTTTTTTGATTATAGCAATTAGTTCCCAGTTTGCTTCTCTTTGAAAACGTCATTTTGTCAATGTGGCTAGCATTAAATTTGAAATTTGTATTTTTTGCTGAATTATTTCTTCTTTTTTTGATCAACAGTGGCAGTTTGGGTTTCCATAAATCTGCTTTTTAAGTTGCTTCTAGAATATTGTCTATTTTGTTACAATAGACTAATGTGACTTTGCACGGCAGTTTGTTCTCGAAGTAGCTTCTCGGGTAAAAAAAAAGCTTATAGGCCGGTCTTATGCACACACTATTTTTTAAGCTTATACCTTTTTGAGGCATTGTCTTTGAAAAGTTGAGCTTGGTGGTTCTTCTAAAGAATCTACGGATACCATAATTTTGTTCTTCAAAATCATTATCTTTAAGAGTTGCTTCTAGGGCTTGTCTCTCCTGCTCCATCTTCTTCAATTCCTCTGTTAACCAAAAGAAAGATTGATGGGGTGACTATTTAGGAATTGTCCAAGAAAAACACGGATAGAATTCAATTATGGTTCTATCTCTGAATCTGACATATCAGCTTCTCCATTTACTTTTTACCTGTCAATGATTGCCTCCTGTCAGATACCCTTAAATGAAGATGCTGCTTCAGCCTTTTTTGTTCTATAATAAATTCCTGCCTCAGAACATCCATAAATGCATTTTTACTTTGAAAACATGCATGCATCGGGCGTAAACATTTGATTTCTGCATTTTGTTTCATGGTATTTTGGAAACATTTTAGCGGAAATAGCAATTGTGTGGAAACACACAAAAAAGACAGCAGATGGCAGAAGAGGGTTATGTTTTTTTATGACAGCTATGATCACACAATACAAGTGACGTTCTGCTGTAAGAGTTTTCACCCGTTAGCAGAACTGCATTCTGTACCAACCGTAGTATAGCTGTGTTTTTCAAACTTGGCCACATTTAAGATATGTGGACCTCAACTCCCAGAATTCCCCTGCCACCCCTTTCCAGGAAGAAACTTCTCTGTGTTTAGAAATCGGTAGAATTATTAGAGGAATGTTTTTGTTCCCAGAAGGCATCACTTTCTTTTTTTTTTATTAAAAAATTTTATAAATTTTTACAAAAAGACAAAAAAAACAATACAATACAATACAAAAACAAAGCAAAACAAAACAAAACAACCCTTCCCCAACCCTCCCCCAAACCCCCACTCCCTCCCCCCCCCGGAGCTTCCCAGAGCAGAATGTAGGTTTAATTAAAAAAAGTTAAAAAAATTATATGAAAGAAAAAGAATATAACACTAAAATATATGTGTATATATAAAAATAAAAGTTATAAAAAAGCTAGATGATATTTTTTTATATAGGAATGGCCGGAAATTTTCCTAAGTCTTGACCTACCTTGAACCTGGAGGACTTGCGATATATCAAACCCTTGGCTTATTCGAACAATTATCACACCAAATTCAAAGTCGAACGCGTCGCTGGAACAAAGTTTACATTAAAAATTGTAAAAAACACATTGAATTACCTGCATTGCAATAGTAACAGTTACTGTAAAGCTCATTGTGCACGATAAATGAAAATAATTGGATTTCTATAATGAGACTTCCTTACTGGAGCAAGACTGCATCTCTTGGATCACTTACAACACTGAATAACATTCGCCTCTCCCTTTTCGTTGCCTGACTCCTGTCCAGTGGCAACTTTCCAATTTGCTCCATATTTACCTCTGACCAGACTTCATTTAAATACTGTATTTCAGAGCATCTTGATTTTGAGCCACGACTGCTAAGTAAATTTTAACTTGAATCACACTTATAATATGGCCTTAAAAATAATGTAGGCATATATTATGCATGTGTCTGCTTCAGAAAAGTTTGCAAGGAAGCCTGAAAAAGAAAAAACCTGGCCGCCTTAATGACTAGCAGCTAGGTTTTGTCTTTTCAAGAAATCTGAAATATTCCTAAATCATTTTCAAACTGCGCAAGCCTCTAGAACATACTGTAGTCTTTTCGTGCATACAAGCATTATCTTTATTTTGTTTTGTGAGCACAAGAAGCAATAGCAACCGTTTTTGTCTTGCCATGTCTGGAATTGCAAGTTCAAAAATAATTTAAGAAATCAGGCTTTTTTTTTTTTTTAAAAAAAAAAGAGAACTTGTTTAGGGATGCTTCTAGCTCCAGCAATATAATATACTTCCAAGTCCAAACTTACTGTATGGCACCTGTGTAATTTTCAACTTGTATTGCAGTGGCATGTCTCCAATCTTTTTTAAATCCAAGCACCAAAGTATTAGGTCTTATTCTTCCCAAACCAGAGGCCTGCCAGGTATAAAACACAGTGTTTAAAGCAAGGCATGTGCAAGATTTATCGAAAATTAGAAGTAATGCCAAAATATAATGGGAGTACACTAACGTTCTGGAGGGATTTAAGATTAAAATCTATCTGGCGGGTGTCCTTCATGCTTGTACCCAAGCAGCACATATGAAGATTAGTTCTAAATCATCTCAGCTACTGTATAAAATGATTTTTAAATTGCAGAAATGTAATTGACTATAGCAGCATCCATTTGCATTTCTTTGGATTCAAAAATCAAAGTTTGAAAACTAAAGAGCAACAGATTTGTCAGATTACCGGTTGTATGATTGCTTTTAACACAATCCGTGCCAGCATTTGCAGAGCCCTTTACAGAAAGCAAGGATGATGTTTATATGTTTAAAAAGCTATAACATTGGGCGAAGAAATTAAAAGACGCTTGCTCCTGGGAGGAAAGCTATGGCAAATCTAGACAGCATCCTAAAAAGCAGAGACATCACCCTGCCAACAAAAGTACGTATAGTCAAGGCCATGGTTTTCCCAGTTGCAATGTATGGCTGTGAAAGTTGGACCATAAGAAAGGCTGAGCGCCAAAGAATTGAGGCCTTTGAACTATGGTGCTGGGAGAAGACTCCTGCGAGTCCCTTGGACTGCAAGGCGTTCAAACCGGTCAGTTCTAGAAGAGATCAACCTCGACTGCTCTTTAGAAGGCCAGATCCTGAAGTTGAAACCAAATACTTTGGCCACCTAATGAGAAGGAAGGATTCACTAGAGAAGAGCCTAATGCTGGGAAAGATTGAGGGCAAGAGAAGAACGGGACGACAGAGAATGAGGTGGCTGGATGGAGTCACTGAAGCAATAGGTGTGAACTTAAATGGACTCCAGAAGATGGTAGAGGACAGGAAGGCCTGGAGGAACGTTGTCCATGGGGTCATGATGGGTCGGACACGACTTCGCAGCTAACAACAACAACGAAACATTGGGCAAGTGCTATATAATACCTTTCATAGGACAGCTACTACATTCAAGTCTGTCTCCTTTGACAGTAAACCTTTTTGAATACAATTGGAAATTATTATTTTTTTAGTACTTTAGATTTGTCTTCCCCCTGAAAATTGTGAGTGCTTTCTGATTAAAAGACAGCCTAGTCATTTTTTTTTAAAAATGAAAATATTCTCTTGTTTCAGAAGCATTAGTGCGCTCGCTCATTATATCTGATGGTGTAGCAATCAAATTAATACTCTGATCATAAACTCATTGTTTAATTTCACAGCAATTAGAACATCTGGTTGCTTGTGTGAGAACGAGCTTCTTTTCCCCTGTGTAATTCAGTGTTAGAAGATGAAGTGTTAATTTCACTATATTAAATCTATTTTGTGATCCAATATAAAATACTGGTAGGATTACATAAGTGTAGGTAATTGATTGAGTAGTCTGAGACATTTAAGTTCCTGTAAAGCAGGGGTTCTCAACCTTGACAACTTTAAGACTTGTGGACTTCAACTCCCAGAATTCCCATGCTGGCTGGAGAATTCCCGAAGTAAGAATCTACATATCTTCAAGTCATGATAGCTATGGAATTCTGGGAATTGAAGCCCACCCATCGTCAAGCTACCAAGGTGAGAAACATTAGGATGTGGAGTTGATTCATTTCCCCTCTATAAATCCATTGCCTCAAAGTAGAGTTATTCCCGAAGTCAGCTAAAATACAAAGAGCAGTGCCCCCAGGTCCGTCTGTAGGTCCGTCGATGCTTTCCAAAGGTAAACCTTCCTGAATAAACCGACATTCTTGGCTAGCAGAGACTGCTTTGAAGCCACCCTTCAAGCAGCTCACCTGAAGAAGACTTCTGACTCCATCTCTAAAGCTGTCGGCCGCCACTGCCGCATAAAAAGCTTTCCTTTTATTCTTCGCCAGCCAGGCCTGCTTCGTTGTCATGCCACTGTTCATCTCTGTAACGCACAGCTTGCGTGGGCCCTGTGTGACACGATCGTACATTAGAGAGGAGTCGGCATTATGCCCTACACAATAGCCTGATTTTGAGGGAGGGACTGAATCAACTCGGTGAGGGGCTGCGACGTGCGTCGAGGAAAAAAAATAGATTCCCACAAAAGATTTTTTTGGGTTTGTTTTTTTTTGCAGAGATTCACTTTTTTGCTGGTCCAAATCATTCGCTTTCCGTTCAGTCTGTGTTGAGACCCTTAAGTTTCGTGACGACTATAGAAAAAGGCCCATTTCAAAAATTCAGCTTTGGGAGAGTTTTAATTAACAGGGAAACCATGAAGGATTAACAGAGAAACTCAATGGTAGCTGGGCTCCAAGTATTCACAGTTATTTTCTTTAAAAAAAATAATGTTCGTACTTCATAGTATCTATGCGCGAAAGCCTCCCTAATCTGGGGTGTTTTGCATACAAGAATTCAGCAGCAGATGGGGGGAACCAAAGAAAAGGCATTCTCAGGAATTACATCTAAATTGTGGAGGGTATTTTTTTTCCCCGTCCTGCAGGAGACAATTTGCTATTCCCTTCAGTGATAACTGGCTACAAATTTCACCTGATGACATAGATTCATCCCCCTCCTGTTTTTTTTTTTTTCTGCTTTGCAATTGTTTTGTTTCAAATTCGATTAGCTTTGGAACTTCTTGGAGAGTTTTATTCTTGCTGGCTGCCCTAAATGTTTTCTCAACATTTAGAAGCGAAGAGGATATGTTTTATATAAACAAACATATGCCGACAAATCCCAGTTTTGACACAGGGGCTGTTTACAAGTCTGTTGGCCATGTAGTGGCAGTGCTTTCCAGTCTAGCTATGGAAAATGTGAATTTGAAGCCATTATGCAAAGGCTTCCTTTGTCGCCTTTTTTTAAAATTAAACCTGCAAGTCAGTCCTGAAAGGGCTAAGATATCCTGTAAATAATGGGCTTATTCAGGACTGGACTGCTGAAGCTTCATACAGGTAATTCTAGACCTAGTACCACAATTTCTGTAAGTAAGTAAGAGTAAGTAAGTAAGTTAAGTAAGACATTTGTTAAGTGAGCGTTGCCCCTCTTTACAACCTTCCTTCCTGGAGTTAAGTGAACCATTGCAGTTGTTAAAGTTAGTAATATGGTTAAGTGAATTTGCCTTCCCCATTGAGTTTGTCAAAAAGTCATAAAAAGGGAATTGCGTCAAACGGGACACGGCAACCGTCATAAACACGAACCGGTGGCCAAGCATCTGAATGTTGATCACGTGCCCATGGGGACGCTGCAACGGTCGTAAGTGTGGAAAAACGGCCGTAAGTCACTTTTTTCAGTGCCGCTGTCATTTTGAACGGTCACTAAATGGACTGTTGTAAGTCGAGAAAGGCCTCCATCAGCATCAGTTGAAGCACTGAACTCTTCTGTAGAGGATCTTAATGCTGAGTTTTTTGGCTGCTAGTCCTGGCCTTCAATTAGGGATAGTGGAATAAGGCATCCAAGCTGAAAGAGTATCGTTTTGAATTGGTATATTGCAGTGATGGCGAACCTTTTAGAGACCGAGTGCCCAAACTGCAACCCAAAACCCACTTATGCATTGTCGAGTGCCGGGCGGGTGTGGCCCATTGGGTGGGTGTGGCCCATTGGGTGGGCATGGCCCATTGGGTGGGCGTGGCTGCATGGTAACGCCAGACTGGGTGGAACTAAAAAGTTCAATCAATCAATTCCAACTTTGCAAGATCTTTTTTTTTCTCGTGAGAAGTTGAAATTGACTGATTGAACTTTTTTTTTTTTTTGCACATGGCAGCGGAGGCCTAAAGCGAAAAAGTTTTATAAAACCCAGCTGAAGGCCTAGGACTGGGGCGATGGCGCGCATGCCCACAGAGAGGGCTCTAAGTGCCGCCTCTGGCACCCCGTGCCATAGGTTCGCCACCACTGGTATATTGTATGCATCCGGTAGCTTGGCTGCATTTTTCCAAGGCTTAGAATAAACAGCACTCTCTACAGGAATTAAAAAATAAATAAGAACAGCTACTTAACCATAGTTTTTCCCAATGGCTACCAAAATTTAGATTCGTGCATCAGCTGAATATAAACTAAACCAAGGATTAATAGATATAAGCAAGAATCATTTAGAATCTTAATGGGAGTCGTATCGATAACCCACTCCGATTTTATCATTCTCTTATTTTCCCAGTTAAACTGCTCACAGTAGTTCATTATGCCAATTTTTATTAGTCAATAAAACTAAATGCTGTTGAAGATTTTAGAGAAGGAATACCTAAACCAACAGAGCATGTTATATAAAATATTTGCAGACATATAAAACTAGAAACCAATAAGTAAAAAAAAAATGGAAACCTTTCTGCCCAAAGCTTTTATAGACTGGAATAAAATACCCACTGGAATAAGGAGTAAAACTTAGCATTATAAATTAATGGGGCAAAAACAAAAAAAAAAAAATCCCTTTATTGGATTGTGCTGTTTTTATTATTTGGAAGAGTCACTTATAAAAATAAGTTTATTTTATATAAGTAGTCTTCAACTTTGCTAAGCAAGACATTGTCAAGTGTTAAGGGACAGAAGGTCACAAAAGAGGAATTGCTTGACCCCAGGATGCTGCAAGCATCATAAATAATGCCAATTGGCAAGTTTCCAAATTTTGATCATGTGACTGTGGGGATCTTGCAACGGTCATAAGTGTGAAAAATGGTTATAACTCACTTTTTTCAGTGCCACTGTAATTTCAGTTACTTAACAAATAGAAATAGCAATAGTACTTAAGACTTATATACCGCTTCACTTTGCTTTACAGCCCTCTCTAAGTGAGTTACAGAGTCCGCATTTTGCCCCCCAACAATCTGGGTCCTCATTTTACTGACATTGGAAGGCTGAGTCAACCTTGAGCTGGTCAGGATCGAACTGCTGGCAGTTGGCAGAGTTATGGAAGGAAGGAAGGAAGGAAGGAAGGAAGGAAGGAAGGAAGGAAGGAAAATAGCAATAGCACAAGTCTTAGACTTATATACCGCTTCACAGTTGTCTACAGCCCTCTCCAAGCAGTTTTACAGAGTCAGCCTCTTGCCCCCAACAATCTGAGTCCTCATTTTATTGACCTTGGAAGGATGGAAGGCTGAGTCAACCTTGAGCCAAGTCAGGATCAAACTTCCTACCAAAGAAGATCTGTCTGTGACTTAGCTTTCTGTGTAGAAAACCTGCAGTTTCCAGTTGTGAACCACGTACAGATATGTATGGGCCAAACTTACCATGAACACTTCACAGCAGATGCAAAGACCGTTGTCCTTCGTGAATGAATGAGTGATGTCTAACAAAGCCGGCCTTGTCATAGGTCCTCCTGTCAAAACGATGCATTGAGGCCTGCAAAAGATGGAAGGAGATGCATTACATCTGAAGGTGCATTTACATCTGATAATCGTTGAATCTCTTTCTGCAACAACTTACCGGAAGTTCTTCACGTGATCGTCCACTGTAGTTAGTTCCAATGCGCTCTCAATGGCATTAATGTAGTAAAGTGCCTGGGCAGATGATCCCCAATTGACTTCTGTGGTCCAAGCAAAAAAGAAATCACGTTGCGTTTAGCTTCTATATTCAACAAAAGTCATTTTACAGATACCCTATTTTGGATCCATCGTAACAAGAAGTAGCACTTGGTTTTTATACGTGGAATGCTATATGCAAACTATGATCTTATGCCTGGCTAATGGAAGTCAGCCCTATTGAATTTTTAAATTTACCCTGACAATATCTGCAGACTCTTTCAAAGTGGTTACCTGGGTTTTCCCGGTTGCATTCCTGCCTTTTTTTTTCAATCTTTCAAGGTAGGCAAGATCAAGAGAATGACTTTATTGTTGTAGGGTGTAATAACAGAATTGTGTAAGCCAGACCTGGGGATTTTATGGCCCATTGGCTGTCCCTGTCAGGTCTGCATAGATTGCTTCTATTCTGAAGGCAACTGCTACCCCCCCCCCAATTTATGTATGTGTGCATGCCTACGCACCTTCACAGCTCTATCTTTTTTTTAAAAAAATATATTTTTTATTGAATAACAAAAATTAAAAACATTGAACATGGTAAATCAGACTTGACATACATCACATTTCATATTCACAATTAACTACTCATATAAGAAAAAAAAACCTTTACAATAACATCACTCTAGTCTCAATCTTAACTTATCTCATTACAATGACTACCATATTTTTTCCCCCCACCATCTATAAAATTTATTCCAAATTTGGTAAAAATCCATTTCATCCTGATTTTTGAGTCTCTTAGTTAACCTATCTAATTCTGTGCAGTGCATAATTTTATGAATTAAGATTTCCTCACTAGATACAGCCGTAGCTTTCCAATTTTGAGCGAATACAATTCTTGCCGCTGTAACCACATGAGTGAATAAATATATATCTTCTTTACTAACATTATTTTCAAGAATTCCTAACAACAATGTCTCAGGCTTATACTGGATGTTTTGCATACTCATTTCTGTTACCCATTCCCAAACCATACGCCAATATCTCTCTTCACAGCTCTATCAAATCAGCCCTTCACAACAATTCCAGTATCTCATGTGGTCCCTTGGGAAAATTAATTGCCCACCCCTATATGTACGCCTATCAAAGCTACATAAACAAGACATCGATTATTGATTATTTGATCATTACATTGAGTTTCTTTCTCATGTTTTCCACTTTCTCGAGACTGAGTTGGCATTTTTCCATTCCTTCACCAAAGTCATCTCTCTGTCTTTCTTTATACCTCTCCTGCTTGACTCTTTTCTAACCGGTCTTATCAGATAAAAAAATTGAAATAATCCATTCTCCCTTGGTGCTATGCAACAAAGTGAAAATAGATATTCAAGTGAGCGTCTACACATTTTGTTATCTCGGTGTCTTCCACGTTCTCTCAAACCTGGACGTTCATCACCATCATTTGCAGTGGTATTGGTTATTTACATTACATTCAAGCTTATTTGTTCCTGTCCAATTTTGAGATTTTTCTAGAACTGAAAACACTACTGTCTCTCTTTTTAAAAAGCCTTGCTTTGCTTCTGAACAGTTAGCCAGCCTGATGCCAAATTTCACGATTAAGTAGAAAGACAACTTTTCAAAAGCAGCCATGATGTCTGTTGCATTAATGTTTTTCAGCTCCTTTTGAGAACCACGTAGCTTATAATATAGTATTTTATGGAAAAGAAGCTTGTTAAGGAAAAAGAGCAGAGAAAGCGTACACATGTTTAAAGCTTGCACAGCGTTGGTACAAGCTAAAAAAATATTGTTTGCTTCAGCTAAGGGGATCGCCAGAAAGTGAATGTGATGGTGTAGCTATTAGACTTCTAAATAATAATAATAAAAGCAAGCAAGCAAGACAAGGTTTCTAGTTAATTCCAGCGCTCTGTGTAGAAAAGCTACAAGATGCTGCTCTACAGAACTCATAAAAACCTCATTACTGGTAATATGTTGGGAGTCTACAAAGAAACCATTTTTCAAAAGCTATCTTTGAAGATCCCTCCAGAGAGTTTTTTTTTTCCTAACAGGAGAGAGCACGCCAGATTAAAATGGCAGCAGTCATCTGACAGATAGGATTAGTTCTCAGAGATGGGAATACACAGGATTCTTAAGGGAAAAAAAACGTGAGTGCTTGTTTGAAATCTTCCCCACTGAGCTGCATTAAAAAGCACCCTGGGGACAAGCAGAAGAACGGAGAAAGGAAAAATGGAAACCAGAATGTTCTTTTTAAAATAATTCCATTAGGAACATCCCCCTGGTAACTAAATTAGACGTGACAGCGAAAGGTTGATGGATTTCAATATGTACCTATGCAAGTCACACATACAGTAAAGGAAGAAAAACAAAAAGGAAACCAGCTATAAATTACCCTATAGCTTTTGTCTGTTTTTGTGTGTGTGTGTCTGTGTGTGCTTCTTTTGATTACCTCTGCTTGTTTTGTCTATGTCGAACTTTTCCAGTGCCAGATGGGTTGGGGTGTAGTCACAGCAAGGATAGTGCACCACTCAGTTATAAAGCAGGGCACGCAAAACTTTGGGGACGTGAGATTTTAACAAACAATGGGCAAAAAAGGAATAAGAGCTGACTCTCAGGTTAGAAATTCTTTCCAATACAAAGAATTCTGCCCCAGAACAGTTGAGGGAGCTAGGTATGTCTAGCCCACCGAAGAGAAGGATTAGGAGGACATGATGACTGTCTTCTGGTACTTCAGGAGATGTCTCTCCAAAGCACCAGAGGACAGGACAAGAAGGTAATGGGTGGAAGCTTGTTAAGGAGAGATCCAATCCAGAAGTAAGGTGAGAATGAAATAGCTTGCCTTCTGGAGTTGTGGGTGCTCCATCACTGGAGGTTTTCAAAAATAGACTGAACAATCATTTGGATCGAGATGGTATAAAGTCTCCGGCCTTGAGCAGGGGTTGGACTAGAAAACCTCTGAGGTCCCTTAGAATAGAATAGAGCTGGAAGGGACCCTGGAGGTCTTGTAGTCCAGCCCCCTGCTCAAGCAGGAGAACCTACACCATCTCGGACAGGTGATTGTCTAGTCTTTTCTTAAAAATCTCCAGTGATGGAGCGCTCACGATTTCTGGAGGCCAGCTGTTCCACTGGTTGATTGTCCTCACTGTCAGGAAGTTTCTCCTTAATTCCAGATTGTTTCTCTCCTTGATCAGTTTCCAACCATTGTTTCTCGTCCTGCCCTCTGGTGCTCTGGTGAATAACCTGACCCCCTCTACCTTGTGGCAGCCCCTCAGATGCTGGAACACTGCTATCATGTCTCCCCTATTTCTTCTTTTCTTTAGACTATCCAAAACCAAGTCCCACAGCCGTTCTTCATATGTTTTAGCCTCCAAGCCTTGGATCATCTTAGTTGCTCTTCTCTGATTCTTTTCCAAACTCTCAACATCTATTTTGTGATATGGTGACCAAAATTGGCTGCAGTATTCCGGGTGTGGCCTCACTAGGGTTTTATAAAGCAGTACTGAAGCTTAGCGTGATCTTGATTCTGGGCGTCTGTTTATACAACCCAGGATTGTATTAGCTTTTTTGGTTGCTGCTGCACACTGCTAGCTCATAGTCAAGTGATCGTCTACTAGGGCTCCAAGGTCCCTCTCACAGTTACTATTTTTAAGCCAGCCCTATGATTCTATGTTTTATGTTCTCTAGACTCTCCTGATGTTTTCTCCCCTCCCCACCCTGAGCAGCTTATTTATTTATTTTTCTGAGCCTTACCTGGCTTCTTGTAGGTCACATAAATATACAGAAAGAACTCAATGGCATATGTGATAAGAGCTGCCCACCAGTTGATGACAAACATGACACCACAGCAAAGCACAGCTCCAAAAAGGGATACCCACAGGTTGTAATACCTAAAGGCAGGTCTCCAGCCTATGGGAATCAAAAAAAGTGGGTCAATTCCTAATCAGCCAGATAGAATTGATTGATTGATTGAGTAAATGTATAGGGGGTAGACTAGAAGACCTCCAAGGTCCTCTCCAACTTTTGTTGTTCTGTTCCTTGATATGTCCTACTCCCGTGGTGGTGAACCTATGGCACGCGTGCCACAGGTGGCACACAGAGTCTTCTCTGTGGGCACGCGCGCTGTCGCCCCAGTCCTAGGCCTTCAGCTGGGTTTTATAAAACCTTTTCGCTTTAGGTCTCCACCGCTGTGTGCAAAAAAAAAAAAAAAAAGGTTCAATCAATCAGTCAATTTCAACTTTTCGCGGGAAAAAAAAGATCTTGCAAAGTTGGAATTGATTGATTGAACTTTTTAGTCCCACCCAGTCTGCGTTACCACCGCAGCCATGCCTACCCAATGGGCCACGTCCACCCAATGGGCCACGCCCACCCGGCACCCGACGATGCATAAGTGGGTTTTGGGTTGCAGTTTGGGCACTCGGTCTAAAAGGTTCGCCATCACTGTCTTACTCTGTTGAGTAAGCATTACTGCCAGTGTGGGATTGGGAGTTGCCAGGCAGAAGGTTTTAATTGTGACTTTTATTTTTGTTTTTGTTTACGTGACTTTGTTTTGAGTCTCTTTGGATTTGGTAAAGTCACTAAATAATAAAAGGAGAGGATTGTTTGAGCCCTTGGCAGCTGACATCACAGGGCTGCTTGGATTTATTTCACTTGCTAGGATCCAGCGTGCCGTACCCCAATATATATTTACTGCCCTCAGTCATTTCTCTGCATCTAATAAAACACAGTTGTTGCCCAATAAAACACATGCCACAATATAAAAGGCAGCCCACCAAGGAGTAAAACACATTTTCCTCCGCTTGTTATGCAAGATTTGCAATCCACGGGTCCCCCTAATGTTAAAGTTCCTATTCCTGCTTAAGCCTCCTGGAATTATTTGCTCTTGGAAGAAGTCTTAAAAAACTGAGTTACCAGATGTAGAAGCAAGTGAAAATCCGCAATGAAAAACTAACCTGGAGATTTTGCATACGACGCGTGGAAGCAAGAGAAATTGATGAGGGCGTAGGAAGCCAGGAAGAAGTTGGAGATGATCGGAGCAATGGTGTTCAGCTCGGCTGTAAAAAAGAAAATAAAAATAAAAATAAATCCATCATCAACTGGTGATGGATTGTGTCTACGAAGGGAGAGGTGATGCGGTGGATTGCTTTATATTTTGTATTTTGTTAGTGTTGTGTTTGGACTTGTGTATGATTTCAAAGCCAGGCAGAAATAAATTCACCCGAATTAACTTTAAATCTGGTTCAGAAAGATTTCATCCAAAATTTCCCTTGCTAAGCAAGACGGTTGTTAAGTGAGTTTTGTCTCATTATGCGACCTTTCTTGACACAGTTGTTAAGTGAATCCCTGCATTGTAAAGTTAGCAACACTGTTGTGAAGTGTACTTCACTGACTTATTTGTCAGAAGGTCACAAAAGATAATCACACGCCTTTGCATTGCAACCGTCACAAATGTGAGTCAGTTGCCAAGAGTTTTGAATTTTGATCACATGACCACGGGGATGCTGCAGCAGTCATACATCTGCAGGTCACTTTTTTCGGTGCCGTTGTAACTTTGAACAGTCACTAAATGCACAGTTGTAAATTGAGGACTACCTGTAATTGTTTAAGCCCTCCGTTTTTTATAAACAAAACAAAAATTATGAAAGATTATTTTTTCTCCTCCTTCTCATTTTCTTTCTTTCTTTCTTTCTTTCTTTCTTTCTTTCTTTCTTTCTTTCTTTCTTTCTTTCTTTCTTCTTCTTTTCTTCTTCTTTTTCTTCTTCCTCCTCCTCTTCCTCCTCCTCCTCTTCTTTCTCTCCCTCCTCCTCCTCCTCCTCCTTCTCTCTCTCCCTCCCTCCCTCCCTCTCTCTCTCTCTCTCTCTCTCTCTCTCTCTTTCTCTTTAGAATAGAATAGATGTGGTCTGCACCAAACCCAAAAACTCAGTATTGTAAAAGTGACAAAGCTTTGTGTGTATTCCAAATAGGAAATCACAAAGGAATTTTAAACAGTGCAAGATGAAAGAACGGATGATCAAATGGAAACGTTTGTAGCACAAATCTCCCAGGGATCAGCGGTGTGAACCTATTATGAAAGCAGGTAGAATTCACTGTGCTGTTGCTTTGGAACAGCAGACCTTTGATTTATGCAGACATTTGGGGAAAACAACAACTTTATGCTACACTGAAAAGCCCTGAAGAAGATGCCCTCAAAGGCAGTTGCTTGATTTCGTAAGGAACTGAGCAAGATGCATATATACTATGCAAGTATCCGTAGCCAAATCTTTGGAAGAGCAAAGCTTCCATTGATTCAATCACCCTCATACCTGGTGCAACCATGATGCACCATGCTTAACCATAATGGCTTGAATGACACAGTGCAAGGCACAAACATTAGCATTTCATGGTTTAGCCTGATGTATAAACTCTTCTTTCTTTCTTTCTTTCTTTCTTTCTTTCTTTCTTTCTTTCTTTCTTTCTTTCTTTCTTTCTTTCTTTCTCTACATGTCTCACTATCCAACGTGACTCCACTCTAGGCAGCTTTTTATTTGGACCACGGGGTTTTTGTCACTACAATAGAAGGTATATTATCGAATTTTTGTTGACCGGAATTTAGCTGAGCCTTTTATGATACATTTCCACTGGACTTATTGTTTCACTTAGTTGCTTGGTAGAACTGGACAGCTATAGAAATGGAATAAATAAAATAAATAAAAACCAATGCATTTGGTGGTATTTTTCTTAGACTGCTGTCGGTCTTCCCATTGCAAACACCAATCCAACACCCATTGAGCTGTACCCACCAATCAGAATGAAGGCCAAAGCAATGAAGAAAGTCAGAATATATCCTCGGATCGGTTCATTATTTTTCCCATATCCTTTAGCAAAAAAGTGGAGTGCTCGATAGATGTTATCCTTGCAGAGAGCCTGTCGAAAGAGCAGAGTTTGGATAAGAAATGTAATTCTTGGCTCCTTGGTCTCCTGGCCATTCTCAGAAGAACAGCACGCCCGTCACTGCAAGTGATTATCATTAAAGTCTTGGGTTTAAACTACATTATTGTGAATGGGCAATTGCTCAGCCCACCTTGATAACCTTGGGAGTGCAAGGATCCTGTGAGGACATGAAAGATGAAAATAACTCCATCTGCACCCTTGTGTGGGATACTGGCGTGTACCGATAATCTGGTGATCAGTTTGCTCTCCCACATGTTTTCAGACACCCCATCAAGGTTACCGCCATAAACAAAGTAGCATTTCTGCAGTGAGGTAGTCCTGGACTTGCAACCACAATTGAGCCCAACGTTTTTGTTGTTAAGAGAGTTCGGCCCCATTTTACGACTTTTCTCGCCACAGTTGCTAAGGGAATCCCTGCAGTTGTTAAATTAGTCACACGGTCATTAAGGGAATCTTGGCTTCCCCACTGACTTCGCTCGTCAGAAAGTCACAAAAGGGGATTCAACGGACCCTGGGAAACGGGAACTGTCGTAAGTACAAGTCAGTTGCCAAGCATCCGAATTTTGATCACCTGATTGTGGAGATGCTTGCAGTGCTTGTAAGTGTGAGAAACAGTCATTTGTCACTTTTTTCAGGGCTGTTGTAACTTCGGTCATTAAATGGATGTTTGTAAATTGAGGACTACCTGTAGTGGCATTACGTTAAGAGCCTGGGTGAGGAGAACCTCAATTCAAACAAATAATAATAATAATAATAATGATAATAGTAATAGTAATAATAAATGATAATAAATAATAATGATAGTGATGGTGATGGTGATAATAATAATAATGATAATAGTAATAGTAATAATAAATGATAATAAATAATAATGATAGTGATGGTGATAATAATAATAATAATAATAAAGTTGGAATGGACCTTGGAGGTCATCTAGTCCAACCCCCTGCTCAGGCAGGAAACCCTATAGCATTTCAGACAAACAATGGAGAAGAATTTTGAGTACCGTAAATGCCGGCGTATAAGACGACTTCCGCGAGCGCTGAAATCGGCGCCAAAGATGGGGGTCGTCTTATACGCCAAGTCGTCTTATACGCCGGAAATACTGGTAATTTCCGGCATATAAGACGACGTTCTAGGAATGCGGCCCGGCTATAAAGACGGGGGTCGTCTTATACACTGGGTCGCCTAATACGGCGGCATATACGGTAGTTAAATGATGCTATTTTCTCGAGCCTTTTTTCAAAACCTCTCAAATGTATATCTTGCAAAGCAAGTTAACGTAATCTATGGGACTCGCACCTGTTGTATTTGCGACGTACACCCTGGCTGATCAACTGGTCAGCATAAGCATGGCTAACAAATTGTAGACCTACGGGAAAAGATACAAAAACACTGTTTGGCCTCTGAAAGTACCTGGAAAACCTTTGGCGCGCTGACAAGTGAAGCTAATGCGGAAGAGAGTGTGGCAGAAAATATCCCAGCGGTGATTAAGGGTCCGAACCCTGAAACCATGCTCATAACCTTTGGGAAGGGAAAAATAAGAATAAAAGAAAGCCATTAAATTTGTACCAGCTCGGCTAGTAACAAAATTTGCAAATCCATCAGATTGTTAAATGTATATAACAATGTGCATTGTTATTCTATCTCTTCTCTATGATCTTTTAAGTCATCCATTAACAGCTTGTCAGGGAGATTGTTCAGCACAGCAAATTACCTTTTTGTTGTCAAAAATAAAAATAAAATACCCCAAACAATTTGCTCATAATGGAGAAGATTATTCTACAATTGAAACTTGTTTTGTTCCTTTGGAAGCCAAAGGCATCAGTTTTTATTTCTTCTGCAAATGATACCATTCAGAAGAGATTCATATTAGGAACAAGAGGCAAAAAAAAAAAAAAGCAAGCTAGATATATTTTCAGCAGGAAGCAATCTTCCTATCAGCAAAAGAGAATTTGCATGTGTAACGATCTCCAATCCAGGCATGTATTATTATTGTGTCATCTATTTAAGAAAGTTCTATCAACAATTTCATGGGACTAGTATCTGGGAAAGTTACTGCGGAGCGTAGATAGCGAAGTAAGACCTTTTATGAGACGTTGTATTGACGGACATCTAAATCATAGATAACTCTATGTATTTCCAGTAGACACACTTTTTAAAAGAGTCTCTAAAAGAACGAACATCCAAGTTCTCGCAATCTTTCATGGTGTGGTTTGAGTAAATCATTTCTATCGCCTAGCATTTAATTGGGCTGCGCACTTTGCCATGAAATTACTCCAGTCTAAAGTTTTGATGGAATTCCAAATTTAGATCAGGAACTTTAGGATGTCTGTATTCTCCTTCCATCCGCTTTACAAAATGTTATTTTGCAGAAACTTAGAAACAGAAACTGACTTATCACCGGTTAAACTATTCTATGTTGTCTAATAGAAGATCATCGTCTACCGCAGTGGTTCTCAACCTTTTTAATGACGCGACCCCCAACCGGTCGTAAGTCGAGGACTACTCAACCGGTCGTAAGTCGAGGACTACTCAACTGGTGCAGCACCGTTTGCAGAATGGGACTTTTGGCGGGCTCAGCAGGGCAGGAGACAGCCTGGACAATTCCTATTGGCTTTTGAAAGCCAATAGAATTAGACTCTATTCAAGAGAGTCTATTCTATTGGCTTTCGAAAGCCAATAGAATAAAAGGGAGGAGCACAGCTAAGGAAAAGGGGGAAAAAATGGCGGACTTCCTTCTTTGGTGACCCCCGTGAAATGGTCGTTCGACCCCAAATGGGGTCCCGACCCACAGGTTGGGAACCACTGTCCTACAAGCTATGTATGAAACTTTGCCTATGGAAACTTTGTGTGGTCCTCCTGAGCTGTCTTGCTCCTTCAAGCCATAGTTCATGGTCATTTGGATGAGGATGAACATAAAATATAGTTTGGGTGGGCTCCGCAGAGCCCTGTCATTGCAGAATGCTCCTACCAGCAATGACAGGGCAAGTCACTTGTATATAAAGGGAAAACAAACCTCACTCCTTTCTAGTACTAATGATGTTACCTAGTCAGGTCATTACCTTTCATTAAATTTCATTTCATTAAATGTCTGCAAGAAAACAACCAAGCTCAGAGAGCACCAAGGACCCCACAGTCCACCTTCTCTACTCCGCAAACCCCACTCCCTTCTAGCACTGTTGATGTTAGCTAGTTGGGTAACAAAACGTCTGCAAGAAAACAACCAAGCTCAGAGAGCACCAAGGACCCATAGTTCTCCTCCTCCTCCTCCTCCTCCTCCTCCTCCTCCTCCTCCTCCTCCTCCCTTCTACCACTGTTGATGTTAGCTAGTTGGGTAACGAAATGTCTGCAAGAACACACCCAAGCTCAGAGAGCATCAAGGATCCATAGTTCTCCTCCTCCTCCTCCTCCTCCCTTCTAGAACTGATGATGTTCACTAGTTGGGTAATGAAACGTCTGCAAGAGAACAACGAAGCTCAGAGAGCACCAAGGACCCCCCTCTTTCATTTTCCTTTGCACACATACATAACTGCTCCCCCCCCCCTCAGCTAGATGGTCAGTAGCAGTCTTGAAAAGCCAATACTATGTATGCTTATGTGAATATTTAGTTCATGCTATTATGTACAAATATATGTTATAACACACGCAGTTATACAAATTGGATAATTAGCATGCTTTTGAACCTGGAAATTATTCATCAGCCCATAATCACATGTCTGGATTTTACAGCTGGAGAAATCATAGCCCAGGGCACAAGCAGACGATCCATTGCAATTCATCCCAGATACCACGGTATCGTTGACATTCCCTGTAGCATCGCGCACGACACAAGCAGCTGTGGAAATAACAGGGTATTATTATTATTCCTCTTCCTTGTGACAACACGATAATATTGCTGGGCTCCTTATATTTCAGGTGGCTTATGTTTCTATACACATTTTAGCCTGCTATCCCGAGGCCATGCAGGTTGCAAATAAATGGGGCCATTTGCTAAAATGGTTTGATGTTTCCGTGGGGTTTACTGTCCACTTTAGCGAACAAGAACATACATAAAATGTGCCGCTGACAAAGGATTAAACCTACAGTGCCGTACATAATATTGAAGGAAGATGGCAGAGAAGTCGCAAGAGACCTTACCACACCTCGAACAATAATAAAACATTGTTGATAAAGTAGAGCAGGGCTCCCCAAACTCTTTAATTCATGAAGTCTCTTGATTGTTTATCGACCCCCAAGCATTTATTAGACGAAAGCCATTTCACAGAAATTACTTTAACGAATAGTTACTGCAAACAACGCCATCCTTGGCTCCCATCCTTCCACTTTGAAGTACCCTGAAGTAAAAGAACTGTCTCTCTGTAGGGCTTCGTGTCATCGAGATGGCTATGCCATGGGGCCATTTTTGCTTTGTGTTTCTGATTATTGGCAAATAAATCAGGACTGCCTAATGCACCTTTTCCAAATCCCTAATTGCTTAAAACGGAGGGGGGGAAAGAAAATTGCCAATCCTCTCTTCCAGCAGTGTGATCACAACAGTGTCATGCTCTGCTCCCATAGTTCTCAGCCACCAAGAGAGGGACACAGAAAGAGACCAGGCATCTTGCGTTCGCATAAAGCTTGCCTGTCCCTAATGCACCTTGTTACACCTGGTCTTCAACCTAATGGCCACAACTGAGACTAGAATTTCCATTGCTAAACAAGGCAGTTGTTAAATGAGTTGAGCTTGGCTTTGTGATGATTGTTAAGTGAGTCACATGATTGTGAAGTGAATCTGGCTTTACCGTTGACTTTCCTTGTCGGGCGCCAGCTGGGAAGGACGCAAATGATGATCAGATGACTCTGGGACACTGTAACCGACATAAATACATGCCGGTTACTTAGAGCTCGGATTTTGATCATGTGACCATGGGGGGGGGATGCTCCCACCGTCATGTGACAACGGTCACAAGTCACTTTTTTCGGTGTTGTTGTATCCTGGAATAGTCGCTCAACGGGTGATTGTAAGTTGAGGACTCCCTGTATTCCTTTTCAGGGGTAAAATTTAGAGTTCATGGGATGAGATTCATGGATCAGGAGCCCTGGTGGCATGGTGGTTAGAATGCAGTATTGCAAGCTAATTCTGCCCACGGCCTGGAGTTCGATCCTGACGGGATTCAAGGTTGAACTCAGCCTTCCGCCCTTCCCAAGTTGGTAAAATGAGGACCCAGGTTGTTGGGAGAAATAGGCAAATAACGCTTGCACTGTAAACCACCCAGAAATTTCTGAATTGCACTATGGAGCGGTATATAAGTCTAAGTGCTATTGTTATTGCTAGGGGTCTGGAGGCTTAAGGAGGGAACTGGGGCTTCAGAAACACTGTCCAGTCTGTAGGTCATGCAAAATATTGAGACTATCAAGTCAGGAAGACATTTCCAGAGATGCCCCCTTTGTCTTTGTCTGATAAACACCTCCACTGGGTATCCTTTTAAGTTCCAACTCATGTTTCCAACTTTTCTTAGACTTTTCACTGGAGGTAGAAAAGATTTATTTTGTGTCTGGAATCCCACAGGGCTTCATAGCTTTTCCCGGCCTTGAAAGAGAGCCTTTTGTCTCAAAACAGGAATAAAAAACTTAATTTCAAATACAGTAATTGGTGAGATGCTCAGAAGAGAAATTTTCTTCTTGCCTTATATCAATGTGGACAACCTGTGCGTTATTGCCCTAATGGGAACAGCGTCTTGAAGAAAGAGGCTTGGAAAAAGACGGAGATATGGGCCAGTGTGAATAAAAAATGACAATAAAGCTTATCTATCTCATCTCTTCTCTTCATCTCTTCATCTCTTCTCTTTTTCATCTCATCATCTCTTCTCTTCATCTCATCATTTCTTCTCTTCATCTCATCTCTTCTCTTCTTCATCTCATCTCTTCTCTTCTTCTCTTCATCTCATCATCTCTTCATCTCATCATCTCTTCTCTTCATCTCATCATCTCTTCTCTTCATATCATCTCATCATCTCTTCTCTTCATCTCATCATCTCTTCTCTTCTCTTCTCTTCTCTTCTCTTCTCTTCTCTTCTCTTCTCTTCTCTTCTCTTCTCTTCTCTTCTCTTCTTCCTATCCAATTTAATCTTAATCTTAATAACTCTATGTCAGAATTTATTTAAGTAGGCTAACCATCTATTTCCTATTCATAGCTGAATTCTTTCTACGAAGGTCGAAATAGGTTTAAGGCTGCCTTTTTATTTAATCACATCTGTTCTACTAGGCTGCAGATCCACACAGGAACAAAAAACACGGGTCGTGCTTGACGTATGACCACAATTAAACCCTAATTTCCATTGCTGAGACAGCTGTGAAGTGAGTTTTGCCCCGTTTTACATCCTTTCTTGGTCCAGCTGTCAATTGAATCACTGCAGTTGTTAAGTTAGTCACAAGCTTGTGAAATGAATCCGACTTCCCCCATTGACTTGGTTTGTCAGGAAGTTTCTCCTTAGTTCTAGGTTGCTTCTCTCTTTGGTCAGTTTCCATCCTTGTCTGGCCTTCCGGTGCTTTGGAGAATAGCTTGACTCCCTCTTCTTTGAGGCAGCCCCTGAGATATTGGAATACTGCTATCATGACCCCCCTCGTCCTTCTTTTCATTTAAACTACGTTGACAGTAGCACTCTGAATATGAATGCAAATGGGTTGGTTTCTTACCTGCACAGATTGCAACTCCTATGTAAGCAATGGTGGTGATCAGAATGGCAAGCATTGTTCCTTTAGGTATAGCTTCTTGGGGATCCTAGAATATTACAGTGAAAAGATTACAGTGAATGGAACTATGGCCAGAACAGAAGAGAGGGTTAGAACAAAGACAAGATTTAATGCAATTTCATTTATATTTAATTCAAATGCTTACTTGTCAGGTATTTAATTCCTGCACCTTTTAGTAGGCTTCCAATTGTAACTGGATGGTAATTTTTAGAAGAGTTTTGGGCCAGATTCAGAACCTTGGGTGGCCACTTATGGCATGGGGGGGGCAATGATTCTGCACCACTAGTATAGACATTGGACTCCGAATCCCATCATCATTTACCATGATTATAATGGATTGGGACTCAGAGTTCAACAATGTCTGATTGTCCACAGATCTCTTACCTCTATCATCGAATCCCGACTGTTGGAAAGCAAGAACGGAATTTAAACTAATAAATTAGGTGAAAAGATGAAAGTGCATCCAGAAGGATTCCTCCGGTGGCATCTACTAATTATGCACTTGACAAGTTCTTGCAAAAAGCATTTTCCAAATCAATACGAAATGTTCTCCTTGCAGAAAGGATTCTTTGAATCTCGCTCTTTGTTCCAGTGTTAAAAATATTTTTAATATTCAACTCTTCCTGCTGTTCCCCAGAAGAGATGAGGTTATCTAAGGCTACATTATTGTGACAGCGTTGTGGTTGTATGGTTAACTGTTCAAATGTACACACCTCTAAGTCTCCAGAGATGTTGGCTCCTGCCAGAATGCCAGTGGCCGCTGGGAAAAAAATGGCAAACACCGAGAAAAATCCTTCATCCGCTCTGAATTCTGGCCCAAAGTTTTCTGCAAATATGGATGCTGCAAACAAACACACAAGAAGTAAGGGAAGATGTGAACTTTTCAAGTTCCAGAGATGCCAGAGATCTTCATCATTGTGACTGATTTTATATCTTTCTCCCTCTCTTCTATAGACTCCTTCACTAAAATCCATTCTAGAGAATAACAAGAGTTGGAAGGGACCTTGGAGGTTGTCTAGTCCAACCCCCTGCTCAAACAAGAGAGCCTGTACCATTCCAGACAAATGGCTGTCCAGCTTCTTCTTAAAAGCCTCTAGTTGGGAGGAGCAGAACTAAGATTATTCAGTGGAAAGTTATTGGCTATTTGTCACAAAATCTTCTTGTCCAATTCTGCAAAGGTCTGAAGAAGATATCTCTGTCAAGCACAGGAAAATCAGAAAGTCTGGGTGGTTCAAAAGAATGCAAAGGTTTATTGGAAGCTTATGCTCTCGACAAGAATCTGAACTACTAACGGTTAAAGCCAATTGGCAGTAGATAAGAGTCAGTGGAAATCAAGGTGGGCTGGACTTAGATCTCTCGTGAGCACGAAATGACTTGAGACTGATAACACATTTGACCCCTCCCACGGGCTGAACCTGGTCATCTCCTACAGCAGTGGTGGAGAACCTATGGCACGGGTGCCAGAGTCTGCACTCAGAGCCCTCTCTGTGGGCACACGTGCCGTTGCCCCAGCCTTGCCTCCCCCCCACAACCCCCTCCTCACCAGCAGCCCCCCTGAAGGAGAGTCGCCCCCGAGCGTGGCCCACGCGGAGCAGCACAGCCAAGAACATGGCAGCCAGGCAGCATAGACAAGACTCTTCCCTCCCACACCATCACACACAGTTGATGCTGCGGGGTGCGGGCAGAGGACGTGGCTGTCATGGCGCTGCTGGGCTGCCTGGGCGGTGGGCCCTGGAGGCGGTGAGTGCCCTGTGGGCAGGTGGGGTGGAGGTGGAGCGGGGGCGGGGCAGGGGGTGGAGTGGGGGAGGGGCCAGTTTTGGGCACTTGGTCTCTAAAAGGTTCGCCATCGCTGTCCTACAGTATCCATCGTAACTTCGAAGAGTCACTAAGCAAACAGTTGTAAGTTGAGGACTACTGTAACGGCTTGCTTTTCTTATTGCTATTTACAGCAGCTCTCCCTTGCAAGTTGCCACTTCATATTAATGTGAGTCTTGTTTAGCGTGACAGATTTTTGACTTCTGAAGCCCCGTAGCACTTAGAAGGACTTGCCTTGATAATTGAAAAAACCTCTCGCCTTCTTTTCTGCATTGCTAGGGATAACAGTCCCAATGAAAAAATTTACGATGGCAATCAGAAGGATCATTAAAAGAATCACCTGGGCCTGTAAGGAAAGAAAAAGAACATTTTCATAATAGATTTGTTTGGGATAATTGTTTAGTTGGGGCCTATATGTCCAAGTGAAAAATAAATGCTCAAATCCAACAATAGTCTCGCCAGGAGACACAGTGGCTTTTTATTTGTTTTTTTTTCTAAACTCTTAAAACTGCTTAAAAAAAAATACCTTTGCTTCCCATTCCATACCAGCCACCGAAATGCCCAATAAAATTATAACTGTTATGACGCCAATTATCCGGATGTCATTGGTTGCATCAACCATGATGGCATTACTGCTCTGAAAAAAAAAACAGTGAGAAAGTAATTATTAAGAATATACTTTTTGTAAGACGATTCAAGTAAGCCTCGTGAAACACAAGAGAATTTCTACATTCTACATTTCATGGGTTTCGTATCCTGCCTGGACCTCAGCCGTCAAGGTTACGGGCTGCCTCATTTGAGCCCTAATTTCTTTTAGTGGTTTTTGAAACTTTTTACACTTCTTTCAGAAGAAAACAGGATACATTTTATCGATGGCAAGAAAAACGAGGTGGAGAGAAAGGAGTTGAATTGGTAGACTAAATATTGAAACCCAGACAATATGTTGCTGATAAAATAGTAAGGATTTGTGTGTCAATGCTGCAAATATTGTCTATTCTTGCTTTTGACAATATGCAGAACTGTCTGGTATTTATGGGGTTAATACAGAGCAGAAGGGGGGTGGGAGTAAAGCCCGGGAAAGAATGAGGAAGAAAACCTTTGACCTTCACACTAATTGGATAATGTGATATATGCTGGCTAATTTAGGGAGGGAACATGCTGATAATTTAACTACTCAGAGGAAGAGAACTTAGATCCTAGCATCCCTCCGTTGTGCCTGTGCCAACATTTTGTAACAATAAAAGACTTTTAGGAAAATCAATGCCTGGAAATTCTTTGAAATGTTTCATTAGCCGGAACCATAACATTGTGATTATAAAAAAATAATAAAATATTGGGGGGGAAAAAGAAGAAGAAGCATTTCCTTGATCCAGCAATAAGAAAGCAAAACTGTACGAATCAGACCAAACAACGTGGTGAAGGAACTCCGGTCTCGTCTTTTATGAGATTTCTGATCGTCACAGTAGGCAAAGAAAAGCTACGGACCAGATTTCCTTAAATTTAGCTGTCTCCAATAAGGATGCTCACCTTCAGGAGTTCCACAACGGTTTCGGCAAAGCCCACCACGTACATGGCCACTGCCACAGCGTTGGCAAAGGCAAAGATGAGACCGATGGAGCCCCCAAATTCAGGCCCTAAGCTCCGTGAGATCAGGTAATAAGCACCACCTGCCAGCACAATAAAGAGAGGCTTCAGCAGATGGACACAACTGCACAGGACTTTATGTTTTCCCTAGGACTGTATGCGATCCAATTTTTTTTGCCTTAATGCAGGGGTCTTCAAACTTGGCCCTTTTATGACTTGTGGACTTCAACTCCCAGAATTCCTCAGCCAGCATGTCTGGCTGAGGAATTCTGGGAGTTGAAGTCCATAAGTCATAAAAGGGCCACGTTTGAAGACCACTGGTATAAAGCTTCAGTGGACCACAGTTGTCCTGAGTGATGGAGGTCAACAACTATGGACCCATCTACTGGCAGCTACAACCTAGCATTTAACAGCATCTTTTTTCCCCTCATATCTTATGTCTTTGACACACTGACTGAGGAACTCTGGGAGTTGAAGTCCACAAGTCGTAAAAGGGCCACCTTTGAAGACCCCTGCCTTAATGTGAAGTACAAGGTAGTTCTCGGCTTACAACTGTTCATTTAATGACCATTCAAAGTTAACAACATCACTGGGAAAAGTGACTTCTGACCTGTTTTTCAAAGTTAACAACCTTTGCGGCCTCCCCAGGGTCACGGGATCCCAATTCAGATGCCTAGCAACAGATTCGTACTTGCGACGGACGCAATGTCCCGGGGTCACGTGATCCCCTTTTGTGACTTTCTGACGCGCAAAGTCAATGGGGGAAGCCAGAGTCACTTAACAACCAGATGACTAACTTATCAACTGCAGTGATCCGCTTAACAACGGTGTCAAGAAAAGTCGTAAAATGGGGCAACCTTCACTTAGCTGTTTCACTTGGCGAGATCAATTTCGGGGTCGCGAGTTGATGGGCAGCCTTTTACACCCCATGTGACCAGGATTATCCTCTGCTACGACATTACAAAGCATTCTTGGGGGTTCTGAGATACATCGTGGCTTCTCCTAAGAATATGCGGAAAGCTCACGAAGTCTGCTCAGCCTTTTAAAAGTTTTCGCTATTTTAATTTTAACGTGTTCCGTATAAAGCGTCAAGAGCTTCAGATGAATGGGAACATATGTCAAAACATAGGAAAGCGTTCCCCATCTGTCTTCTCAAGGTGGCTCTATAGAATTCCTGTATGTAAATGGTTCACAATCATCTCTTTATGTTCAATAGAATTACAACGCTAGATTTAAGAAAGACAAAGAGATGAGATAGAAAGAAATTCTCTGCGTGTCTGCAGGAGCACAATCTCCTGTGCAAATCCTTGCATTTCAGCATGCAACAGGCCATGTCAGATTCTTTGGATTTCATGAGGTACACTGTTGAAAAACATTTAAAGACGTAGTAGTCACTCATGATTTCAATGCTCGTGCATCTTCATGCTGGTTAAAGATAATGAGAACTAAGCCAGGGCAGCAGATAAGAAAGCAATTTAAGGCTTTTCCTATACAGTACACTTCAAACAGGAGCAATTTCCCTTAATTTAATTTATTTTTCAACATATTATTCAGCTACATCATCCAAGTCTGCTTTTTTGCAATGGAAAGTAATTTCACAATTACTTTAAACAGATGTTTAAACCCTCACCGGTTCAGCTCAGTTAAAGATTTGGAGAGTATTTGCTGTTCTTTTTTTTTACTTTTGCTTCTACAGGCCTTCTAAGTTGCCATCCTCCTCTTTATATCAGAAATGTTTCTTTATGACTCATATGGCTTTCTACTATATTTTAGTTCTGTGCCCATCTATTGGGTGATAGTTTGTCCAGAAGGAACCATAATTTCTATTCTAACAGCAAATGGACCTACCTCCTTGATGCTCTGAGCTGGGTGATTTTCTTGCAGACATTTCACTAGCACTGATGATGTTACCTAGTTTGGGTAATGAAACGTCTGCAAGAAAACAAGCAAGCTCAGAGAGCATCAAGGACCCCACAGCTGTCTTCCACCTCCTCCTCCTCCTCCTCCTCCTCCTCCTCCTCCTAACACTGATGATGTTACTTAGTTTGGGTAATGAAACGTCTGCAAGAAAACCACCAACCTCAGAGAGCACCAAGGACCCCCTCATTTCAACCTTGAGCTACAAATAGTCTCCTTTATTGGGGCTTACCTCCTCTTACCACTCCATTGGTACATATGGCAGACATGGAAATACCTGTTAAGGTTGTAACAACCACACTCAGGGAAATGACGACAACTCCAAGACCTGAAAAAGTCCCAAAAGAGATCTTTGACCCAAGTACCTTGGTTATATCATTGACTTTAAAATCCATGAATAGGAAGCCGGTTTCCTTGGATAAGAAGCCATCACTCAAGGGAGAAAGGCAGACTGGAGCTGACAACAGCTGATAACACACTCTTGATTCATCAGAATGTAAAGAAATACCTGTCAAGAACTGTGGATCCTGCTTCCATCAGAGCCGACTGCCTGTGTTCTCGTGGATGGTGTATAAGCAGATATTTTTTTAAAAGCAGAAGAATGAATTAATACCTTTTAGGGAACTTGAATAAGTGTTAGCGGGAAAGGAATAATGGCCTTCACGTCCAGTCCACTCCAGGAAATGCAACCTGTAATTTTTGAGTCTGATTTTTTTAAAAAATAAAATAAATAAATCTAGGGGAAAAAAAATGGATTCCGTTCTTCCATCCGTCTGAGACCTTCGTGAACTGAACCCGGCTTTGTCTTTGCAAATTAATTATAGAAGGTTAATTGAGTTGCAGGTATGACTCACCTGTTGGTTCTAGGGATGACCGTGTCCTAGGCTGCTTATTACAGCAGAGAACCTTTGACTTATATGACAATAAACAGGGAGCTAATTCAGATGTTTGTGAGCATTGTGGAAAAGGGAAAAAACCCTAAAGAATTTTATTATTTTTACCTCCACGGACAAAACCATTAGTTGCTATTGCAGAAGTCGATAAGCCAGTAATGGAAGTAACCACGGTAGCAAGAAGGATTATGCTAACTCCAAGACCTGTCAGCAAGGAGAAGATGACAAAATATAATTGATGGTCTGCAACTTTTCAAAAAATGCTTCTCTGAGGGAGCGGTTTAAATGAGAAGGAATCCGCTTTTCACTCAGAAAGTATCTTTATCCTTGCTTCTGGAGGAACTCCTCTCTCATCTTTACTGTAGATCCATTTATATCCATGTAATATAAATGTTAAATAAGCTACTGGGACAAGGATTAAGAGCCTTGATAATCTGCAAAGCACTGGGACAGTGGGATTACATTTCTAAATTGTAATAAAAATGGGCGTCTCTACACGCCAGGGTATTTATATCTCTATTCATCAGTTGAACCCTCTGGGTTCATTCATTCATCTTTTCCTCCAGTTCCCATCAGTTCTGACCAGCAAGGCCAATGGTTGCACCTAAAAATAATTGTAGTGTAGCCCTCGATTCTCCATCGGTAAACCTTGCTCATTCATTATAAATTTCTAATCGATTTATTTCTTTCTGAAGTTACTTAACAATATATTAGAACAGAGTTTCTCTAACTCTGGAGGGGGGGGGGGGCGAAGAGAAGATGTAACTTTGTTGTAACTTTGAATAGTCACTAACCAGTGGTTCTCAACTTTTTTAATGCTATGACCCCCCCCAACCGGTCGTACGTCAAGGACTAAACCAGTCGTAAGTCGAGGACTAAATCAGTTGTAAGTCGAGGACTACCCAACCGGTCGTAAGTCGAGGACTTTCCCTGCCCAGGAGCACTACGCATGCATGGTGCCGCCCCCTGTGCCGGCCGAGGCATAGCTGGCAAGCGACAGAGACAGAGCAGGCCGACCACCGGCTGGGCCACCAGCTGGCCCAGCCCAAGGGAGGTAAGGCACCCGCCGGAAAAGGGAAAAAAAATGGCGGACAGCCTTGCTTGGCGACCCCCATAAAATGGTCGATCGACCCCAAATGGGGTCGCGACACATAGGTTGAGAACCACTGCACTAGACGAATGTTTTTAAATCAAGGACTACCTGCACTTAATATATTTATACGGTCTGAAAAGAAAAGACAACAAAAAGCTGTTTTACCTATTTTCTCTTATCCCTCCCCCCCCCCGAGAAGATGAGACTGCATTTTAAAATTTGATGACTGGCAAATCATAATTTTAGAATGAAATGTGCCATGTTGACTCACTGCAACTGCTCTTATTACTGACTGAGGCTGAGCTCTGATTAAAGTTTAGATTAAAAACCCAGTTGCAAGGTCATTAAATAACATTTAAATGAATTACTCTTGCCCTTAGCTACTTTCATACCTAAGAACAAATTTAATGCTCCTTGATGATGGTAATAAGTTACTAAGCTACTATTTAAAAAACCAACAACCCCAGAACCTAATTTTGCATGACACCCCAGAGCAAAGTCTTGGCAATGTTAATATGCAGAATCGCATGGCAAGGCACATACTTCTATGGATTTCCAGCAGCAAGGCTTCATTTGCTATGCATCATAAACTCCCTAAGCATCCGATTGTCGGGCGTATTGCCAAATGTGTAAAGTTGTGTGGATGGGCAAAAGTTCCCCACTTTTCATCTGCTTATTTCCTGCCTGTTCCTTGTGCTCTAAACTAGCATCCATGACTAGGGACACAGAAAATTTTCAAAGAACTCTAAGAAACATCTAGAAAATCCCTGTAAAATCTGTTTGCAAGAGACATTCAATAGTGCTTGGATGAAATTCTGTTCATTTTAGGAGAAAATCTGTATCACTGAGGCTAGTTTTTAATAGTACGAGCCCATCTTAGTTAGATGCTTGGAATGAACTGTTTTTGAGGAGACCATTTTAATCTTGAATTTCGGAAAATTATGCCTCACCGAGAAGATTCTTCTTTTCTCTTTGAAAACCGGTGAGCACTGATGACAGAAAACAGGCCAGGATTTACCCAGAATTATCAGACATTTTTTATGGTAGAAAACTAATGGAAACATCCTTTACGTTTCAGGAATAGTCATATCTATACCTAGATATCTGTATCTATGTATGTGAGAGGCATACACGATTCTACAACCCTCAGTTTTCTGTCCAATTCATTAAAAATTATATTGCTCCTCGAAGCACGAAGCTGAAAACACCAGCCTGAAGATGACGAATGTGACTTCGTCGAAACGTTGCCAAGACACTTCCAATTTTACGCGGGAGAAAACCCGAACAACCAAAGACATATATATATATATATATATATATATATATATATATATATATATATATATATATATATATCAGCTATACAAGTAAAATATGACTCGGGTATATTCATGTTAAAATCAATAAATAGTCGATCACCAAGAGAATAAAAATATAAAAATATAAAAGCATATAAGCTTTCCCAACGACTACCATTTATACCCTGATGATGTCAAGAGCTCTTGACGAAAGCTAGGTTCAGTAAATAAAAATCTTTTATATTTTTATATTTTTATTCTCTTGGTGATCGACTATTTATTGATTTTAATATATATATATATATATAGTATATAAATATATTTCAATTATATAGTTTTTGCTAATATTTTACAATTCTTTTGTAGAACTTGCCCAGGCCATAAACTAGACAATATAGTAACCTCAATCCTCATGGTAGCTATTATTCAAGACTATAACATGTAGGCAATTTAAAGTAACTGTTTCTCCTGGCCATAATAAAAATTTATACCTTACTTTTTTTAAAAAAAAAATCACCTACCAATTCCAGCTTGGCCAATGATCCAGGAAAGACGAATAAATAGCATTACACCCCAGATGTTCAACATGCATCTCACCTAAATATTAATCAAAAATAATCATATCAACATATAACCACAGAATGCAACAGGTTTAGAATGGAGAAAAATACTTCTGTGAAAAAAGAACGAATGCCTTGAAAAGTTAAAATGCATCTCACCTAAATGTTAAACAAAAAGAATTGTATCGACTTATAATCGCAGAACGCAACAGGTTTAAAATGGGCAAAAATAGTCCTGTTGAAAAAAAGAGAATGAATGCATTAAAAATGCATTGAAAAGTTTAAAAGCTGTCACAGCTTGAAATAAAAAGAACCCAAATTCTATAAAATATCTTTAGAATCAAATTGTTCTGATAGAACAGTCATTACCTGGTTAAAATAGAAATTTTTGATGTAAAAATTAAAATGTTAATGTTTGAACATTTTTTTTTAAAAAAAGAACAGAGATGTGAAGTATTCAGTCATACGAAAGGATTACTTCAAATCACCCTCATGCATATGGATGAATGTGAAAATCTCATAACAAAAATCCCCAGTGGAAATATCTGTCTGCTTTTTCTGCAGTATGGAATTACCAACTTTTTTAAATTTTAAAAGCAGATGTTCTGTACTTGTACAGTCACAAGGTAAATGCTGCTGCTTACCAGGACACCTTTCATCCATCCAAATTTCACTATGCCTTTAGTTTCTTCTTCCTTGCGGCATTCAGCTTCTTCTGCGTTGCCATCTGCTTTACTGAATTTGTCCACTGAAGTCACCGTGATATTCTAATCAGACAGTTTTAAACAAAATAGCTTGTTTTACTGGGATTCAATACAAAGGGATGGTGTTGTCTATAGGTGGGGATTCCATAGGAGCAGAACAACCCGCAGCATGTATCAAGTGTAAAATTATGTCTTTTCATTTTTAAAAAAATAATAGCTAGGTTCAAATACATCAAGTGTAAAGAGACAAGCAGTGTCAGTTCATACTGTATGTCTGACTACCTCTCTTTGTCCCTTCTCATAAGTAGTACAGACAAAAGAAACGAGAGGAAACGAAAAAGGATATTGTGCAACTAAGACAAGATATAAAGTACAGAATGCATAAAGCCAATTTGGTCTAGTGGTTAAAGCGCCAGACTAGAAACTGGGAGATTTGCCAGTTCTAGTCTTGCCTTAGCCATGAAAACCAGCTGGGTGACCTTGGGCCAGTCACTCTTTCTCAGCCCAACCCACCTCACAGGGTTGTTGAGAGGAAAATAAGAGGAGGCAGGTGCATTGGAGATGTTCGCCCCCCGGAGTTATTTGTAAAAATAATAAATAGATAAATAGAAATAGATAAATACATAGATAAATAAATAGCAAATATTTGAGGGCATTGGGGTCAGCCTCATCTCAAACGGCAACTACAGCAGCAGGAAAGGCTATACATAAACATACTGTACACACAGACACACACATATATATATGTTTATACACATAACTAGAAGACCTCCAAGGTCCCTTCCAGATTCTATTCTATTCTATTCTATTCTATTCTATTCTATTCTATTCTATTCTATTCTATTCTATTCTATTCTATTCTATTCTATTCTATTCTATTCTATTCTAAAACAATGTATATGTATATATACCCATACATACACACCAACACATAATTATATAAAATGTCTATACTGACCAGGCATATTCTAAAAATTGCTAATTAGTCTCCTGCTAAACTGGCATAACCCTACATCTCTGAACACATAAGGCTGCAATTTTATGCGCCTCCATTTGGCAACCTTAAACAATAAGTTCCTTTTGAACAAACATGATTTCAAGAGGCAAAATGTAAATGTTCTTAACTTCCTTGTCTTGGGGCTGAATGTAGGGTGTTTTCCATAATTGGTTAAGACATCACGAGGACGAACGCCAAGAGTGGGGCATCAAATACAGCAAATGTTTGGAAGAAAAAATATCAATCTTAGATGGTTTATGTTCCATAACTATACTTGTGCAAGTTACAAGTGTCCCGGAAGAAGGAAACCTTAGGTCTTTACACATTTGTAGGACTCCTTCTGTCTGTTTAGGGAAGGCCAACTCATGTTTTCCTTAATTTCTTTTGACATACCTTTGCCATGTGTTCGTGAATATCCATCAGACTTGGCCGGCTCATTTTGACCCCTCTGATGCTTCCAGTATTCTGGTAATAATCAATTTTGGGCACAACATCCATGGTATTATGTCCAAACGTTTTTAGATAATAGGTGTTACTGTGCGTGTCATAGGGATGAAAGCTTCCATCTGTTTTAGCAGTGTCACCATTTTGGAAGAAACGGTCGTAGGTTTCTTGTGTTCCAGACTTGTAGCTGATGCGGAGTCTCTTGGTAACATCTTTAGCGAAAGAAGTCTCTTCGTAATGTGGATCGGGCTCTCCTTGAGATTGAATTGAGTTCTCATGGCTTTCATTAATGACATTCACCTGAAATCTATTCAAACGTGGGTCCAAAAATATGTTTGGAGAATTATTCATAGACATAGTTGTGGATAACTGGTCTTTACTTCACCGATATCGCTATTCTGTGTTGTCAGATATTTTCAGCAGGTAGTTGTTGAGATGTCTAGGTGACCCGCTGTGTTTCACTCAGGAGCCACGTCTACACACGTTCTCTGCTGTACGTGAAAATAAGCTGTTCAGTCTGCCTTCAAACACAGGATTTTTTTTTAAAAAAGAGCTAATTTATCTCTAAACATTAAGCTAAATTATAATGGCTAACAATAGCAATAGTACTTAGCACTTAACAGCCCTCTCTAAGCGGTTTACAGAGTCGGCATATTGCCCCCCAAAATGTGATAAAGAAAGTGATGAAAGGATGTGGGTATCCATTTTTCCCACTCAAAATGAATTTAAAAAGCAAAAAACGCTGATAGCAAATGCTGACTATCAGTTGTTCTGCACAATATTTCTATTGCTGCTCTTAATTAAAAAGAGATTTAATTTTCTTCAATACCTTCTTCTGTAAAATGAAATTTATATCTGATTTTTAAGCTATTAAGCTGAAGATTATAAGCAACCACTGGAAACAGAAGATTGAGAAGAAAAATATAAGAGGGTATCAATCTCATATTTTAATCTGACACCCAAGCAGTGGGGGTGGGGAAGATAAAACTTACACCAGTTTGCTTGTTATAAACTTACTACCACACACAAATGCCCATATTCAGAACATGTGTGAATATTCAAACATCCAGCTTGTCTCTGAACATATGGTGCAAATTGTACTTTAGCAACAGCCTATGCACCAGTGAAGCCATTTTCTCAAGATGTTGATTGGTATAACTTATACTAATTCAATTGTTACTAATTCAATTGTTGGGAGTTTTTAAAATGTGAAAACATGGTCTGGCTCTCCCCATAAAAAGTTTATTTGTTATGGATGAGTTGTTTTCCCGAATAGGAAACAGATTTTCAAACATAAATCAGGAACAACTTGTAATCCTAGCTAGAAATTAAATACATTAAAAACCTTACCTCTTAACCAACTATTGGCAGAAAGTGTGTTTTCAGGAGCCTGTTTGCTTCAGCTGTTCTTCTTGAAGTATATTAAAACTAGGCATAAAGTCAGCTACCATATCCAAGGTAGTTTTAGCTGCTACTGGTGCTCTGTTAAATGATTAAATGAAGCAGCAGTTTGTTTCTTATTTTGGGGTGAAATTTAAGCATCTTTCACCGTGGACCATATTTTACTGGTTTCTCTATAAATTAGCAAGGAAATCAGCCAATCCCGGAATTCAGAAGACAACCGTTGGTTATTCCTAGCCCTGTTCAGAGGAATATTTCAGTTTGTTAAATATTACCTTGTAATGAACTCATTAATACTTGAATGGTAGAAGCCAAAGCTAGCATTGGTCTCTAACTGAAAGTCATGGCTCTAATGAAAGTCATTTACATACTCATCAAAATCTTAACTGCCACTGTTTTAAGTTTATAAATGACAGATGAAACAGCAACAGCATATTCCCAAGCAGTCATGCGCTACTGAAATAACTTTTATGCAGCAGTGTGAAAAAGTCCTTAAATATTCATGCCAATACATTTGATTTTTATTTTTACCCTTGAAGCGCAGAGCAAAGTCGTTGCTCACCATTATTCTCCAGGCTCGGTTTAGCAATGTGTTTTGAATCAAAAAATGTTTGCTTCAGTAAAGATTTGATATTTTTTTTGCAGATACTTCCAATTGGGCGCACCAATGCAATATTAAATTCCTTCTGACAGATGGGTGACCATACACATTTGTTTAATAAATAAATGAAAAATGGACAGCAATAGAGCAAACATTGCCTCAACAATAGGACAGAATAATTATGATTGCAAACACTTCATATTTCGACTCTCAAATATTGCTATTGATTTGAACTTTGCTGATAAATGGCAAGTTTAAAAATGATCAAGTACAGTCAAATGGTTTAAATTTAGCCAGCCAGCCACCATTTAAATCATGTAATATAAAACATTAAAAATATTTGAAGAGAGTAATTAAAAAGCAGCAGAATCAAAATTATTGTTATGGTTGATTCAATTAGGAGATACGTCTATGGCCATCGTGACAGTGCTGGATGTTTATAAGTTCTTTTTAGTATCACACAAATGCAAGGTCAAATCTAGAATCAATGATCAGAAAGAGAATCATATTGCAATCCTATGCCAATTAATTCACTACTACAATTAGTTCAGTGGCTTTGCTTAGCATGTGCACAAAGAATTATAACTATTATTCTTGCATTAGATTTGAAAAATAGATAGTGAAGAAAGATTTCCTGTTGCTCCAAAGTTTCATTTGCAGATTATTGTCACAATTGATGGTGCTTAATTGTCTTCTGACATCTCAAATATTGTGTAAAAGAACTTTGTCTTATATTATAAATGTTCTGGATTCAAATCCTGAAACATAGTTCTTCAATTTAAAAAATGTGTATGAAAATGCACTGAAGTAGTGGCAAATCCACACAAAATTGTTCTTATTTGATTATTGATATATAAAAATGATGTTTTCTAGCTCCTCCTTAAATTCTAGGTTGTTTACATTGTTGAGAAAGATTAGACAAAACATATTCAAGGAAGTTGCTTGTCAAATGCATATATTACTAAAATCCCATTCAGAAATCTAAGCATTTGTAGGAATGGACAGACAAATAGGTGTACATTTTGTGTGTGCTGTGAAAGAGAACCACATTCCACTGTATCCATATTTCTGGCTTCATCTGACTCTATTTTTGGAACTATACATTCTTCTTGGCTTTTCTTGTAAATTCTGATTCGATTTGAGTGGCGTTTCATTTAGCTGACAGAATCACAATTCCCTTCGTGTGTCACCTGTCTAGATTGTAAAGCAAATGGCACAATATTAAATTATAGAGATGAGGAGTGATTTGTCTGAGTTGATTGGCCTTATCTGAATAGTTTTTACAGCACACTTTTAACAGGGTTAAAATGAAATGTTGGTTCCAGCAGTCCTTAAAATGGAATAGAAGGGCTGTCAAAAGCGGTATTGTCACTTATGCTCCTCATCTCTGTGAGCAGAGAGGTGACCTTGAAGTTGGATGCGTTAATGTCTCTCTGTGCCTTACCTGGAAAAAGTCGTGTCTGTCTTAACGATTCCAGAAGAGTTCTTTCTACATCTCATGCTTCTTTGGGTTTTATATTTCTTGGCAAGGATTTGTATGTTCCTATTGTGATGGGATGACTTACAACAGTCCATTTAGTGACCGTCTGAAGTTACAACAGCACTGAAAAAAGTGACATGATTGTTTTCACACGGTTACTGCAGCATCCCCGTGGTCACGTGATCAAAATTTGTTCATTTAGCAACTGGTTCATTCATATATATATGACGATCGCAGAGTCCCGGGATCATCCAATCCCCCTTTGTGCCTTCTTTTTTTTTTTAAACAATTTTTATTATTTTTCCATTTTACACCAACAGAAGCTTAAGTTGTAAGGCCTGCTTTCTGTCCCTTGAGGTCTAAGCTTGGATGTGTCTGAAGAAGCAGCTCTATGCTGGAATTAAACTATTAAATTCTCCAAGGCCCCTGAAGGAAGGCAAGAAGCAACTTATGGAAACTAATCGAGGAGAGAAGCAACCTAGAACTAAGGAGGAATTTCCTGACAGTGAGAACAATTAACCAGTGGAACAACTTGCCTCTAGAAGTTCCAGGCGCTTAATCCCTGAAGGTTTTTAAGAAGAGACTGGACAGCAATATAGGGTTTCCTGCCTGAGCAGGGGGTTGGACTAGATGGCCTCCAAGGCCCCTTCCCACTCTCTTATTCTTTTAAATTCTGTTATTTTGTGTGTTTCTACTCATAGTGAATTTGCAAATGATTTCTCTTCTTCCCTTTTTGTTCTCCGAGTGAAGACCCTCGGAAACATCTCCCAGTCAAAAAACAAAACAAAACACTTCGAATGATGTAAGAGTCTGCCACAAAGCTTTATTTAAACCCCCCCAAAAAGGCTGCTGCCACAGCTTCCAAACATGGTTGTCAATTACAAAAGGCCTCCTGTTTCGAATTCCACTGCTTCAGGGGGGGAAAAAAAATCGGGATTAAGGCAGGACACGCTTGGAGGGATTCTGTTTCATGCAAGAGCATATTCAAATGTCCCTTTATCCAGTCCTTCCACCTCCCCCTCCCAGGTGGACGAGGGCATACTGCTGTAGGGGTCCAATAAGATTTTGAAACACCGGATGATCAAAAGTCCCAGAAAGACGCACAGGATCCCCACAAAGGCGAATCCGGTTTTCTGCTCCAGGGTCAGTGGGAAACTGGACACCTCGTTGACACTCATGCTCACTGAAACGTTGTTGCAGTAGCTACTGCTCATCTCCGGGCTTCACATTCTGTATACAAAAACACCAAAACAACAACAAGAAGAGAATAGAGACCGTTTTGGATCCAAGGAAGGGGTCTCAGATGTCCTCTGGTCTAGCCACCCTCCACCCAGAAGGTAAGGCTTGTAGGGACAGGTTATTTTTGAGGCGATTAGATGGTCTCCTCGGGTTGAGTTTGTGAGAAGGTGACGTACGACGGGTTCACAAAATGGCTGCCAAGATGTCTATGATCAGACATCTCAACATCACGCAGACACAGATGACTTCTCTTGACCCTTGTGAGTTCTTGGTGTGGCCCAAAGGCATTCTGGGAAATATATACATGAAACTAGAGGAGGGTGCTTTATTTCGCAGTATATAAAAAAATGAATTTTTCTTTAACAAGTCAGATGAGGCAGGAAGTCCAAGACACCCCAAGGAAGGTCTCTGAGGACCCATTATACCTCCAAGCCCATCTGCCTTCCTCCGTGTTGCAGGAACTCTGCACTTTCCACACATCTGTTCAAATCCTGCACTCCAACATGTCTGAAGGAAGCTGACAGGTCTCTTCTTAATTTTATTCTCCCTCAGGTGCCTCTCAGATACATTGGTTTCCATTTCTTGTGTGGCAACTGAGGCTCCTCTGTCTTACCAACTACCCTATTCATTTTCCTATATCAAAATTAGATATAAATGCTAATACAGAATGGCATGACACATGGCAAATCTATGACAGCCCCAATGATGGAATTTGGCACTTAAGTACCAGCTGAGACCTGGCTTCAGAGTAAACTTGATCTATTGGTGGCAGCTTATTACCAGCTGCCTTCATCTCTTCAAAAATTTCATTCCTGCAATAATTTTGCTAATCTAAATCCTCTACTGGATTTCTTTCTCAAGAATGTGCTAGTTTTGCTCTGCATTCTTGCTTTCTATTTTTTTTCCTGGAATCCTACTTTATTTTTCATTTCATCCCGAACAGGGCTCAATTCTACTGACCCATATCAAAAAAATCTTCCTCCACCTCCTCCTCCTCCTCCTGCTGTTTTTTTTTTTCTTAATCATTCTTCCTTTAAGAACTGAAAGGAACCGCTTATTTGTTTTTAGCTATGAGCTAGGAGTCCCAGTTAAAGGCAGTGATTAAGCCAACTAAATGTTGATATAATAAATACTACCTGATGCATTCGTGTAAGGCACAATTCCAGAGTTTTCTGAAGTTTGAACAGCTGTAGAGACATTAAAAAAAGAAGTACTTTAAGTACTGAGCTGAATTCCAGATAATAATTCAATGTACAAAATGAGAGCAAAATAAATGTTATAAAGAGATGACACACACTGTCTCTTTCAATCAACTGTTTATGACTTTGATATTCTATTCAACCCACATACCTGTGTCCTCTCCTCTCCCCACCTCACCTCACCTCACCTTTCTTTCCTGCTATACTTCTAACCAGTCTAGTCTCCATGTTCATCTAAACCAGTGTTTCCCAACCTTGACAACTTTTAAGATATGTGGACTTCAACTCCCAGAATTCTCATGGCTAGTTGGGAAACTGTGGAAGTTGAAGTCCACATATCTTAAAGCTGCCAAGGTTGGGATGCACTGATATAAACATTTTAGCTGACGTGTTTTTCTTCCTTCTGCCCTTCAAGTATTGTAGTTTCAAACCCATGGTGGCTACGCTTATATGACCCAGGGGGATTCACCAAGCTGTTAATACTGAGATGGCAGAATAGGCTTGGCATGTTTTTCACAGCCAAGTTGCAGATGGACCTTCTCAGAATCCCCATTTCCTTTGCCTGCCTTTTGTGGGTTCAGAATTTTCCTTTTTAGCTGTATTCCTTTCTCATGATTATTCAGTTGGAATAATCCAGTCCAAATATCAAGACATTGTCTTCCACAGTGTTTTTTTTTTCCTCTGAAAAATCACAAGCAAGCATAAAAATTCTGATCTGTGTCCCCAACATCCTTTAAACTTCCAGGTTATGGTCAACTGTGTTATTGTCTTGAGGGATTAGAATAAAAGATTCAGAGAAGCTAGACTGTAGTACATGTTTCTCTGAGCAATTGCTGCTCTTGTGTTTGTGTAACACAAACATACACACAACTGACTTTGGAGGCGGACTTTTAGACGCTCATCTCTTTTGACCAGACGTTATTACTCTAATTCATAGTTTAACCTGTTGCTCCATTGTCATCTTGTTCAGTTTACCACTTAATAATTAGATTTTCTTTATTAAAAAGAAATGTTGAAGTATCCAATTTTGGACTTTCCCCTACAATGAATTAGTCCTGCAACTTCTTTTTCTGAAAGGGAAGGAGTGTATAAAAGATGTGGAAGTATTTCATCCTGACTTGTCTCATCTTTCATCATTACTTGAGTTTGGAAGAGTGGTTTCGAAATGAAATTGCGTGACTGTGAAGGTCAAAAACAGCCTGTACTTCTTGCTCCAGTTCATTTATTTATTATGGCACAATTAAAAAACAACTGTGGACATTTTGAGAGAACAAAACATGCACACACTTTTTTTTTTCCTTTAGCGAAAGCAGTGAACGGATGAAAATGGCAGCTCAGCCATGAAGTAATGAATTTCAATTCTTCAGCTTTACCCATTATCCTAGGTTGGACATACAATTGTAACCTATAACATGGGCCTCCTTGCCAGGTTTGGTAAAGATTTCAGTGGTTCATTAGTTAAATGAGGAATACAGGAGGAAAACTCCTGCATGGATTATCTTACTGTATTCGTAAATTAATGGAGTTGGATGGGATGGTGAATAAATCAGTCCTATTAGTTTTTAAAAAGCAATTTGTAATCATCAGATTTTTATGCTGCCCTTTAATTTTCTTGAAAAATATGTATCAGTTCTCTCTCTCTTACACACATCTGTCTGTCTATCTATCTATCATCTCTATCATCTATCATTTCTCTATCATCTATCTCTATATCATCTCTGTCATCTCTATCTATCATCTATCATCTATCTGTCATCTCTATCTATCTCTCTATCATCTCTCTCTCTATATATATATATCATATCTACCTATGATCTATCTATCTATCTATCTATCTATCTATCTATCTATCTATCTATCTATCTATCTATCTATCTATCTATCTATCTATCGTCTATCCTCTCTATCATCTCTCTCTCATGCTTGCTCACTCGCTCTGAAAAGGATGACTATACCTAACACTCCTGCCTCCTATTTTTCCCACAACAACCCTTTGAGGTGGGTTGGATAGAGAGCATGGCTGGCCCAAAAGTTACCCCACTTTCAAGCCTAAGAAGTCGTAGTCTCTTTAAATTGAAATATACAGAGCTATTGTGCTGTGATGCACACAGCACATCTTCAAAGCCCAAAGGACAAGCATGGCTATTTGGATAAGAAACCCCGCTAAATACAGTGGGAATTACACAAGATTGTAAAGCTCGAGTGTGGACACAATCAGGCAGCTAGGATTCTTAACCACAATTCCAGACAATCCAAGCAAGACACTTCCATGTGAGCAAATCATGTTTTCCCAAAAGCAGACCACTGTGCTTGGAGCGTTGGGAAAATGCAATATTTGCCACAACTCAAATGCAACTAACATAGAAAGGTTGCTTTGCTTTACAGCAAGTAACGAATAACAATTCTCCACCTCCTGCATGGAATGAATTAGTACCGATTCTCTGAAAAAGAGTTAAGATCCAACACTAACTACTTTCTCTATTGTGTTCCCTGTTGTTAGGCTGTAAATAGCCACTGTGTCTTCAAGGAAACCCACTAAGTGGCTATTGTGTTGTAAGTTCTAAATAGTAGAAGTTTCCTTTGAGCCCAGGTCAATTCTGACATTTCCAATCAGGCAACATCCATGTTGTTTTCATGATGCCATTACCAAAAGAATTTGGTATGGCCACCTTTTGGGATCTTCAATTTCTCAAGGAGAGAAGCAACCTGGAATTAAGGAGAAACTTCCTGACAGTGAGGACAATCAACCAGTGGAACAGAAGTTGTCTCCAGAAATCATGGACGCTCCATCACTGGAGATTTTTAAGAAGAGCTAGACAATCACCTGTCCGAGATGGTGTAGGTCAGTGCTTCTCAACCTTTTTAATGCCGCGACCCCCAACCGGTTGTAAGTCGAGGACTACTCAACTGGTTGTAAGTCGAGGACTACTCAACTGGTGCAGCACCGTTTGCAGAATGGGACTTTTGGCGGGCTCAGCAGGGCAGAGACAGCCTGGACAATTCCTATTGGCTTTTGAAAGAGAGTCTATTCTATTGGCTTTCAAAAGCCAATAGAATAAAAGGGAGTAGCACAGCTAAGGAAAAGGGGAAAAAAATGGCGGACTGCGTTGTTAGGCGACCCCCGTGAAATGGTCATTAGACCCCAAATGGGATCCCGACCCACAGGTTGAGAACCACTGTAGGTTCTCCTGTTTGAGAAGGCGGCTGGACTAGAAGACCCCCAGGGTCGCTTCCAGCTCCTATTCTATTCTATTCTATTCTATCTAGTTACAGTCCTAGAATGTTTGGAGGTCTCTCTTCCAAGTACTAACCAAGCCTAATTCTGCTTAGCTTCTGAGCTAAGACAAAGTCAACTTGATGCCAACTGTTGTTTATTCATCCAAAGAAAGTCCATAGAAAACCATACATTTGCCTCTTATTAACAGGTAGCAATTCCTGAATAATTTCATGAATTATTTTGCCCAGCATTCTTGGAGATGGTTATGCCCTAAAACCATCTCACTGCACCCAGCCTGGACTTCAACGTAAATAGGCTGCGGATGAATACACCAGTGGGTGCCACATCCCAGGCAGTGTGCAAAGCCGGAAAAAAACAAACCAAATGTTGATTCCACTTCAACCCGATACCCTCTTGGGATAACGACTCTTTCACAAGTGCTGCAGTTGTCACCTGCACCCACATGGGGAAGCCTCATGGAAACCACTAGGACTGGTTTTCAAGTAAGCCTGGCGAGGAGACGGGTGGTTAAATCTCTCTGGATCGGCGGCGGTCGTACAGTAGCTCCGGCCTCTGGCATTTGAAAATGCCAATATTTCCCAGAGCGTTGGGATCTGCTCCTGGTAACCCGATCCTCTCCCCTCCCTTCTTCAGCACTGCTGTCAGATCCCACCTGGCCAGAACCAGACAGAGGCAGTAAACCACGAAAACAACCACGATTCGGGGTTAACCCCAATGAAAAGCCCACCCAACCCCGCCAAGCAAGGTCAGGGCATCCTGTTGCATGAAGTGGGGCGCGGAGGAGCAATTCCAAGCCGACCACCCACCCCCTTCCTCCTCCTGGCCCATCTGGGTCTCCAGCCCTTCTCTCCCACTCTCTCTCAGCCCCCCCCCCAGCCCACTCACCCCGGTTCCAGCCAGACATCCTGAGCGCACAGCCCCCGCTCGCCTCCCGGGCTAAGGACCGGCCGTAGTTCCAAGGTCCCCGATCTGCCAGCGACCCCCGGTTCTCCGCTCAGCCCCGCCCAGCCGCGGGACCATCTTCGGGGTTCATCTTCAGAGCGGCATCCCCTCCTTCCTTCTCCGGGGAGGCTGGGCTCCCGCAGCTGCCCGGGGCGTGCCTTCAGCCGGGCTACACGCGTGTCTGGGGGGTAGGGTGGGGTGGATGGGTGGTCTCCCACTCTGTCCAAGGCAAATCCTCGGGTGTGGATTTGGGGGGGGGCGCAGCGGGGGGGTGATGGGCAGCGGGGGTGGGGGCGAGGTGAAGGTGAGACCCCCCTCCCCTGCGTCCCCCAGCCCGCTTGGGACACCGCCCAGCCTCCTTTCCCAGGCTGGCGTGGAAAGTTCCTGGCGAAGGCTACGTGCGAGGCATTCCCAAATTCTCTGCGGCGGAGGCGGCCGCTTCCTTGCGAAGCTTCTTGGTCTGGAAGCGGCGCCAGCCCAGCCCCGGGGAGACGCGGCTTCCCGCCGGCTTCCCTGGGGACCCCTCGGAAGGAAACGCGAGTGTGTTTATTCCTGTCTTTCATTCGGGGGTCTTGAACTGGCCGTGGGAGCCCCGCCTTTGATTGGGGCTGCCGAGCCAAGAAGGGGAGGGAGGGGCTGAAACAGGGAGCCCCCCCGGGGCTTAGTAGGGACGGTGGAAGGGGCTCGATTAGCGCGCCCCCTTCGCCCTGCACCCCTGTGTTGGGGATGGCCGAGCTGGCTTTGGAAGCCACCTGGGATTCTTCACAGGTAGTTTCTCTGGAGGCTAAAACATATAAGGAACGGTTGCTGGAATTGGGGATGTCTAGTTTAATGAAGAGAAGGACGAGGGGGGACAGGATAGCAGTGTTCCAATATCTCAGGGGCTGCCCCAGAGAAGAGGGAGTCAAGCTATTCTCCAAAGCGCCTGAGGGCAGGACAAGAAGCAAAGGATGGAAACTAACTAAGGAGAGAAGCAACCTAGAACTAAGAAGAAACTTCCTGATAGAACAATTAGCCAGTGGAACAACCTGCCTCCAGAAGCTCTGAATGCTCCAGCACTGGATGTTTTTAAGAAGAGACTGGACAGCCATTTGTCTGAAATGGTATAGGGTTTCCTGCCTGAGCAGGGGGTTGGACTAGATGACCTCCAAGGTCTCTTCCAACTTTATTATTATTGTTGTTGTTATTGTTGTTGTTATAACCATCCATTTAGTGCAGGGGTTCTCAACCTGTGGGTCGGGACCCCATTTGGGGTCGAACGACCATTTCACGGGGGGTCGCCAAACAACGCAGTCCGCCATTTTTCCCCCCCTTTTCCTTAGCTGTTCTACTCCCTTTTATTCTATTGGCTTTTGAAAGCCAATAGAATAGACTCTCTTGAATAGAGTCTAATTCTATTGGCTTTCAAAAGCCAATAGGAATTGTCCAGGCTGTCTCTGCCCTGTTGAGCCCGCCAAAAGTCCCATTCTGCAAACGGTGCTGCACCAGTTGAGTAGTCCTCGACTTACGACCGGTTGGGGGTCGCGGCATTAAAAAGGTTGAGAACCACTGATTTAGTGACTGCTCAACAGCGGCTGTGAAAAAAAGTGACGTATGATCCCTTTTCACACTTAACGACCCTTGCGCATCCCCGTGGCCACCAGTTCAAAATCCAGCCCCCTTGGCAGTATTTACCACGGGGGTCAGGTGATTATTTCCCTTTTGCAAACTCCCAACAAGCAAAGTCAATGGGGAAGCCCAATACACTTAGGAACCGTGTTACTAACTTAACAACAGCAGTGATTCACTTAACAACCGTGGAAAGAAAGGTTGTAAAATGAGGCAAAAATTGGCAACCACTGCCTTGTTTAGCAACACGAATTTGGGGCTCTGTTGAGGTCGTAAATCAAAGATTATCTGTATTCATATGCAAAGCTTGATATCAAAGCTTCATCCCCCTTTAGGTTGGATTCTGATGTTCCAGTCCAGGGTGCAGCTGACCTGCGTTGTTTTGAATTTGGGCAAAGGTGCTGCCAGTATTTGCTGCTGGATCAAATCTTTCCTTCACGTCCTTTCAATGGGTGTTGTTTTCCTGCTTCCATTCTTTCCCTTGCAGGCCTATTTCCTTCCAGGAATTTAGGAGCATAATAGTTGGGTTCCTACCAGTTTGGGTGCCGTTGCCAAGAAGAAACATTATTCCTGTAATAGACATTCATTGTCGGCTTATTTTGATGTTGCTGTGTCCAGGGAATCAATGGGGATAGCTGAAAAAAGAGCAAAGTTAAACTTCATTAAGCCAATTGTCGATTTGGATAACCCTCAGGTTGGGTTTTAAACCTTCACCCAATTTCCAGAGCAGGCTCGTACCGGTAGTTAAGCCACCCCTTGAGGACCTGTTTGGGGTGCTGCAAATGTCCTAGATGAAATAAAAGATCTGGACTTTATGTCTATGGAGATTCTCAATCGTTCAGGTCATGGTTGTCCCAAAGGTGCTTCTGAAAAAGCGACTGGACTTTCTTGTTTTTTTTTTCTCCTTTTGAAGATGTTTCACTTTCTCATCCAAACAGCTTCTTCACTTCACTTCACTGAAAAAGCTTCTTGGATGGGAAGTGAAACATCTTCAAACAAAAAAAGACAATCCAGTTACCGTCCTTTAGTGCTCTCTTCTCCTTTTGGCTGAGTGTTTCATTGTGTCTGTTGCGTTGGACGTTGGGGATGATTCTTTGCCTGTTGTCTTCTTGTGTTTCTTGGTGCAGGCGGTTTCTTTTTTTGGAATGGATTTGAGATTGGCCGGGAATTCAATGGGATCAGGGTCTTTGGGGTTGAAATTGAGGCCGTGTGTGACGACGGTCCTTTTGTTGTCTGACATCAGAGGTCACCTGAATAGGTTTTTGATCCATAGTTCTGAGGGGTTGTCTCAATTAAACCTTGGGCATCAACCAAATGCTGGCCCTTGTATTCAAGATGGACAGTGATTAATATTTATATGTTACTTATATGTAAGGGTGTAGGTCTATACGTATATTGTATATAGTATGTTTAAATATGTGTTATGTATGTGTACACTTTGAGAGCAAGGTACTAAATTTCATTTTTATTGTGTGCCAGTCTGCCCACTGTAAAAAATGACAATAAAGGTTTATCCATCCATCCATCCATCCATCCATCCATCCATCCATCCATCCATCCATCCATCCATCCATAGATTCTATCTATCTATCTATCTATCTATCTATCTATCTATCTATCTATCTATCTATCTATCTATCTATCTATCTATCTATCTATCTATCTGTCTTAACATTCAAACTGGGAAGGGTGGTTAAAATGGAAATTTCCACTCTTTGTAGACCTTCTGATTAACTTGGTATTTGTGGGCAAATAGTGTAGGTGTGTTAAAAAGAACATTTAGCTACTGATAGCTAAGTTATTTTTTTTAATCAGAGTGGAATCAAATTGATCATGGTCTACTTATCAGCATTATGGTTGTCTCCATGGTTCCTGTTTGATGGTGAACATTTGTAATGTTCTCCGAGCCTTAGATAATAACTCATCAATAGGAGGAGGATAATTTCTGACTCAAATACAATGCTATCAAGGGAGAATTTTCAGGGGAAAAAAAAACAGTTTTCTACCTCGGTGTATTGAAATTCAAGGGTCCCAAATGATTCATTCTGAACTATAGATCCACCTTATAGGAACCCTTTCTTACTATATTTTTAGTTGCACTTTTATTTATTTGTTAAATTTGTTTGCCACCTATCTCACCGCGGGGCTACTCTAGGCAGCTTACAACAGTAAAAACAGAGAAATGAAAAGAAGTGTAAATGTAAGAGTAGCAAGGTAACGGAAACAATAGAATAAACAATGAAAAAGTAAACAGTGAGACTACAGCCATATGAGAGGGTGTGGAAGCAGGGCTCATATCTAAGAAATAGATAAATAAATAACTCTAGGAGGAGGAAACTAAGAAAATAACGCCCCACCCAGAGTCACACCTCCTTTTGTTACGTATTCAAGATGGACAGGGATTAATATTTATGTTACTTATATGTAAGGATGTAGGTCTATAAAAGAGCCAAGGTTGCCTACCCCTGGCCTATACATATGTTGCATAGAGTATGTTTTTAAATGTGTGTTATGTATGTGTACACTGGAGAGCAAGCAACTAGATTTTATTTTTTAATGTGTGCCGTGCCCGCAGGGAAAAAAAATGACAATAAAGGTTATTATTATCGTCTGTGAGAAGGGTGGCTGTGTAAACGCAATAAATAAATAAAATAAATGCCCATTTTGATGGTGGACGTGATCACCACCACAGGGATGCGGGCCCTGAGTCCTCTACGTGTGTGAGCTGGGTGGCTTTAGACATTCGTTTAATAAATCAAAATAAATTCATGAAATGGAGGGAGGGAGATCAGGGAATCGAACAGCCGACGGCGCGAGGCACTCCCGCTACTTCAAGGCGATGGCTGGAAGAGTCCTTGTCGCCATAGTAACGGGGCAGGCCCCGTCTCGCTCCCTGGCCGCCGGGCTCCTCTTCCCCGTTCCCGCGATGTTTCCGTTCTCGCGAGAGCACGGCGCAGTCGCTGCGGAGCGAGCGAGCGGGCGGCTGAGGGGCTGAGAGGAGGAGGAGGAGGCGGTCTGTCTGTGTCCGCGTCTCGCTTTCACACACGGCTGAGGAAATGGCGGAGGATGACAAGTACGAGGCCGGCTCGGCCGCGCCGCCGCCGATAGGAGAGGCCGAGGAGGCCGCCGTCAACGATCACGACCGGCAGCAGGAGGAAGAAGCGGGCCTGGCCGAGAGCGGCGGCGAGGGCGGCGGGAGCACAAACGGGGTGAAAATGTACGCGCGCGCCCGCCGGGCGGGGGGGGGGGGAAATGAGGAGAGAGAGAGAGAGAGAGAGAGAGAGAGAGAGAGAGAGAGAGAGAGGCTCGCGCCTGCGCAGACGCGCTCGCTCCCGCTCCGCGGGTGTTGGCCGGGAAGGGGGCGTGGCGCCGGGCCCGAAGCCGCTACTTGAGGACGGGGATGCGGCGGGCCGCCTAGGCCGCGCGGCGAGGGGTTGGAGGGGCGGAGCTCTGCCGGTCTCCCCCTTCCCGCCCCGGAGGAAGCTGAGGGCAGGCGCCTGGATTTTTCTTCTTAATTCGCCTGTGTGTGGCGGTGGGGGGGAGGGAGTTTCTTCGTGGTGGGAGAAGACAGGCTGCTTTAAAAAAAGGGGCCATCGTGGTGAGAAAGCCTCTAAGCGGAGGAAAGAGGGACAGTCCCGATTCAGACGTGGGGGCCTGTTACCAGGCAGCCTTTCGCACCCTTGATAGGGGAGTCAAGTTTATTGAGCTGAAGGGAGGGGGGAGCTTATAAATAGAATGTCTTTATTGTCATGTGTAACGCACAATGAAATCAAGTGCTGTGCACACTACACACAAATAAAAACCACAAATAAGAACATTATATACACACATCCTTCACATTTTGCCCACCATTGCGCTGCCCCTTGACCTTCTTGAGTTGATAAGGGGTCACCCAACCTCTCTAATATCTTAAAACGGGGGGGGGGGAGAGATTGGAGCAAAAATGCTTGAGGGCCACAGCACCTCCCCCCATCTCCTGATCCTGCCATTGTTTGCAGACTCAAGTAGATTGTAAAAAGCAGCATGGGGAAAAAAATTGCATAACCTGTGGCCATTGCTCTACAGCCCAGGACTTGCCCTATGGAAGAAGCACCCTGATCATGATAGCCCCAGTTGAACCAGCCTGCAGTGGGATAGTGTCGACTGACCAGTCTTAATTAAAACTGTGTAAAAGGTTGCAGATTGTAAACCAAAATATTTACCTTTTTCAGCCTCTTTTATTTTTATTTTGGCAGAAGCTTTAACCTCCTGCCATTGTTTTTCAGCCTTATTCTGGATGGATTCCCACAGGTAACACAGCAAGCCACCCTGCCCTTAGAAGGTCTGAAGGAACTTGCACATGTCCAATTGATGCAGGATTGTTATAATTAGGTAGAATGTGGATATCTGCATCCTTTTGACCTTCCCATTCCCTATCCCACTGGATAATCATGAATAGTAAACGGTTTTGTCTTTTCTTCTCACTTCTATAATTTCAACATTTTTCTGCAGTGCAACTGATCAGCAGTATAGTACAAAGAAAACAAGTGGCATTTTATTCATCAGTAATTAGATGGCATTCAGTATTATAAGATGCAAGTAGCCATTTGAATTACAAGATATTCCTGTGATAGCTATATCAAACATCTGATACAATTATAGTACATAACTCCATCTTGTAAGCTTCTTATCTGATGAGCTGCTGTGAAAAACTCTGGGCTATATAGGACCATTTGTAGGAGTCTTGTGCTAATTAATACATTTGCTGTTGTAAAAGGGTGTTTGTAGCTCTCCAGTCTATTGAAAAGCAAAGCAATTATCTGACTATCTGCATAGTTCCTGGGAGAACTGTTTTCTACCTAGTTTTGGCAATAACTGTGTCCTCAGCTTTCTCTTAGAGTGATAGCTTCATAGAAGATAATTTAGCTTTCTTTGGTTTGCAAACAACTCATTTGATCTTTTAAAACAAGTAAGGATGCATCTGAGCATGTCAGCCTCTGATATTTAGACATATACTTTGGTTTTGCTTCATGTGTTTTCATATGTTTCATACATTCATGTGCAGTTACAATCTGGATTCATTAATGTGGCAGATATAAATACATCATTAATGTGTGCAGATATAAATACATCTGGTAGAATTTCAAGTATCTGACCTTAAGAGGCTCTGCATTCATATGAAAAATGGAAAATTGCATCCTTGTATACATCCATCATTTAAGTCTTGTCCGTGTTGAGTGAGAAGATTCAAAGAGGACTTATATGACCACTTGGTGCAGTATAACTAGAACGCAGCAGGGTCTCATAGTTCTGAGAATTTTGTTCATGTTTAGGGGGTTTATGCAGGCATCTTAAAGGTAGCAAGGTTGAGAAAGCAAGCATCCTACATTCCAAAGCCAACATAACGTTTTATTCTTTCCAAATGCAGGGAAAATGATGAAGCAGGAAAAGATGAGACCTTACCAGCGAAAGCAAAGTATATTTCAAAACCAAAGGCAATCCCATCTCTTGGACACAGGAATAGATTTCATCCATATACGAAGGAAAAGAGTGCGGGCACCGGGGAAAAGAAGACTGTTAATCATAATAGAGTATTCATTAGCAACATCCCATATGACATGAAATGGCAGTCCATTAAAGATCTTATGAGAGAAAAAGGTAACTTACTTCTTGCCATCTTCTTCACAAAAAAGGGACAATCATAAGTATCTGAAATATTATAAAATCATGCAAATTTGGTGTGTCCTTTCCAACTTCTGCTTCATATGTCTGTTTCCCCCTTTTTCTTTCACTGGAGACACTTGCATTGCAGGACAGTCTGGTAAATGAACAAATCCACTCTCCTCTACTAGTACAACAGCAGACAGTGTAGTGAATATGCCAATTCTCATGAATTTTTAAAGGGAGTGTGTTATGTCTCGCTATAGTTCTGAATACAAGCACTACTTAGTGTGATACCTCTCAAAAAGATTTCTCAGTATTTTTCCTTGGTGGAATTTGGCTGTGGAATTATTTCTGTCTGCCTTGTCACTTCTGCCATGACTTGTCTGTCTGGAGCTCTCTATCCAGTGTGTGACTACTGTTGTAGTTTTGACAGAACTATTTGAATTTCGCAAACTTCTTGCCACGGGCAGGTCTGGGACAGGTGAAATCTCAACTCACGAAATGTCAAAAGCTAGTTTTGTATTTAATCTGGGAAAATACGATTGCTTCAAAATCATGCCAAGAACATTTTGGTTTCTAGGTATTTTAATCAAAACAAACCTTTAATTGTGCTAGGTGTATCTGTTGTAAGGTGACGTGACTATATGATTGGTTTTATGCAATGAAACTTTATTTTAGAAAGTGTGTGGCTTGCTGTGAAATTCTTTGACTCTTGTAAATTGGTTATTCTATTGAAGGCAACCTCTTTACTATTTGAAGTTATTCAGGGAGAAAGTCACCTTAAAACAGCTGTTGTTAGCAGGATGACAAATGTCACTGAAAAGTGTTTATTGTTGATGTTCTAATTGATAGGTGAAGGGACTATCTGTATATCTGAACTTGTTCACCAACCATATCATACTGGCCAAAATATGATCTATAGTATGAATTAGGTTAAACATAGTTGTTTTTTCTAGCTTTTGAGAATGTGGCTGTTGCATATTCCTGAAAATTAGCTAAATTATATAGCCCTTGACAGGAGGTATGTTGGTCTGGTTTTGATTGTTGGTGAATAATAGGTGTTTCTCTGTAGAGTTGTGCACAGGGACACAGCAAAGAAAGACATTGGTGTTTAAATGCATTGTCTCTTGGTATTTTCCCTTTGTATGTCTTATGTAGTTGGTGAGGTTACATACGTGGAGCTGTTTAAGGATGCAGAAGGAAAATCAAGGGTAAGTGCCGTGGGCAAACATCTGCTAGAGGTTTAAAGTTCCTCAGCAGTTTTACTTTTGTATAATACTTGTACCAGTAACTGGAAAGTAAGTTTCATTTTTTTTAATATTGATATTACAGACAGAGGTTTCTGTATCAGATACAGTTTGTCAACCTTTATTTAAATTTTGCGTAGTTGGATTCAAGGGACAAGCCCTTTTAACATGTGTTTTAAATAAATGGCATTTACCTAATTAATTTAAAACAGCAGCTCACTTTAGGATTTCTGTTGTGTTCAGTGTGTTTAAGTTGAAGACTGGAAAAAAACCAAATGATAACTACTCTAACTAGAGGCTGGGTATAAACTTTGATGAGCCTAAAGAGCGCAGGACTATTTTGGATTATTGAACTTGTCTAGGTTTTAAAAAAAAATTGGAAGAAGTTGGCTGTTAGGTAGGAGATACCTGCAACAAGGGAGACAATTTTGTGCAGAGAATGTTTAAAGCTGCTTTGTGTCTTTCTTCTTAAAAGGGTCAAACGTTCCAACTATAGTAAGTCTGAGCCTGCTCTGTGAATATGAGTAAAGCAGGTTCCAATGTAATTGGAAAAACCTGTTTGGTGTTTGATTACTTGTCCCACTTAAGATTTTTATTTAACTGTAATTTTCATTTGACCCTTGGGAATTTTTATTAAAAAGTAAATAAAACCAAAGCTGGTTAAAGAGTAACTTTTTAAAAATCAAATGTTTCTTTTTAAATAAGGCAAAAATACCCACAATTGTTAATAATTGCCAACATGTTTTGGAAAATTTGAATATTATTCCTCAACATAACAGTCCAGGGATAGTATTGGATATCCTCTGTTTTTTTGTGGATAAAGCTGTCTATGTGCCATTTCCACATTTTATATATATGATTTGACTTGAGAGAATCATAGTAGAAAGAATCTGAAATAAATCGAATGTTCACCTACTTTTCCTTTCAAATTAACTAAAATGTTTTGAATAAATGGAGGTAGGATAAATTCTAGTTAAAACTGCCCTTCCCACTCCAAAATTTCTGTTCTTTATTCAGACTTTATTCTTCATTTTATCTAAACTCTTAGTATAAGAATGACATTTACTGATTGATTTTTCATTTATTTCTGTTCTTTCCTGCATTGACAAACCTCATGGATATAGGGTTGTGGGTAAGTGTATTTTATGGTTTTTTTCTTAATATTTATGATATTTAGAAAAGTAAACAAATAAATAAGCATTTAATTTCTTTTAATCCAGTGTGGTTGAATTCAAAGATGAAGAATTTGTAAAGAAAGCCCTAGAGACTATGAATAAATATGATCTTAATGGAAGACCACTTAACATAAAAGAGGTATGTTTGTATTTTTACTGCAGAATACTAAGAGCATAGTGGGTTTCTTCTAAAATAAATAAAACTGGAATAGATTTTGCAAAATAATAAACTTCTGCAAACAAGCAATAGATGTCAAAAAGTGTAAATTCTCTTTTAAAATCGTAAATATATATGAGACCTGTTCTCATTTCTCTTCTCTTTGAAAAATGGCAATGCAATATATTCTAGCCTTATTAAGATTTCATAACAACATTCTCAGGCCCCTGAATAATGAAACTTGCAAGTAAGAGTGCTTTGTCAAGCACCACTGATTTTCTTGTGTAAGATTTGAAATATATCTACTTACTTACAAGCTTTAAATCTAGAGTTGGTTGAATGACGGTTTTAAACAGTATATGACTTGAATTTGTGTGTCTTCTGACTGCCTAATTGTGAACCAGGGTGGAAATGACTAGGCTGTCACTATCTCCAGTGAATGAATCCTGCCTTCATGAAATGTGTCTTCTACAGATGATATTAGCAGAAAATGTTAAAATCACTGAATTTGATGTTTGGAAGAAACATATTAAGTTGACTTACCTACTTTGGGTGTTCTTTGGGCTAAGTAACACAATAAGAAGTGACAGTGGATGATGTATCTTTCAAGATTGCTTAAAGAAGGGAGGGAGCTAGGTCTATCAACATGAATTGTTTCTTCTGCTGCCCCTGCTAAGGAGACTATCTGCTTTGTGAAGGTTCCATGGAATTTAAAATTGTCTTAATATTTATTACTGTTGATAGGGGATCAATTGATGCCTATTTTCTTGGCTATCTGTTTTGTAGGATCTGGATGGTGAGCATGCCCGCAGGGCACTGCAGCGTGGCAGTGGGCCATTTACAGGAAGTCATGGTCCAGATATAGCACCTGGCTTAATGAATTTGCCCCCTTCCATACTTAATAACCCAAACATTCCTCCAGAGATTATCAGCAACCTACAAGCTGGCAGGCTTGGCTCCACCATTTTTGTTGCCAATGTAAGTACAGAAAAGCAGTAGAATGTCTAGGCCATTGTTATAGTATGTTATCATTAAGTGAGAGAAGCCATACTGATTTTAATGGGATGTCAAGCATGGATAGATATTGTTTGATGTTGTCTTTGTGTGTCTTGCCTTCCTCTCCAGTTCTAAGATTTAGTTACTATCTTTTTAAAAAGAATTTTTAGCTCCGTGTTTTTGTAATCTGCTTTCAAAATTCACGAATTGCTCATGCGGACGTTGTAATCGATGGGAAATGAATAATGGTGTTTTTTTAAATACTTATGTGTATTTTTAATAACTTTTCATTGGGAAATGAGGGGTGTTGCTTTTGTTCATCAGCGTGTTGAAAATGAAAGAACAGGTGCAGTCGCCTTGAGAGCATGGACAGAATGATGAAGAACCATTCTCTTTAGGAGAGGCAAACTTGTGTTCATGTATCATATGGAAGCTTTTGTCTTTTTCAGCTTGACTTTAAGGTTGGCTGGAAGAAATTAAAAGAAGTGTTCAGCATTGCTGGAACTGTAAAACGTGCAGATATCAAAGAAGACAAAGACGGCAAAAGTCGGGGGATGGGAACTGTGACTTTTGAGCAGTCCATTGAAGCTGTTCAGGCAATATGTATCCTCACAAGTGAATCTGATCAAAGAGCGATGTTGTCAAATTTAGTCTGTGTAAGCAAGTTAAAACATTGTTTCTACCATATTTGACTTCAGAGAGTGCTTGGTTGCGTGTAAACTCTGCCAGCTATTTTTTTGAACAGCGAGCATGCTTTTGTACAGTAATTGAAGTTATAGTACTGATTCTATATGCTGGAGGTTATCTGTTGTTGGCAGTATTGGTGTAGGGGTAGATTGACAGCTATTAAGAGATTATAGTAGTTTGTAGTGGCTTAGAAACAGTGTATTTTCTCTTCTGGAATTGTATAGATGGGGACCGGTGACTCACCAGCATCCCTCATTGTTGGCCATGCTATCTGAAGTCGTGGTTCAATACCATCTTGAAATTCCAAACTCCTGCACTGTTGGAATGGATCACTGTTTTAGAGAGGGATTCTGATACTTGATCTGAGTAGATAATTAGATTTCCAGTTTAATCAGAATTGGTAATGCACCCTGAATTAATACCTGATCATTTTCCAAGCATTGGCAAGCAGGGAGATTGAGAGTTGGTTTGGCTTGGAAAAAACTTAATCATCTGAGTAAAACAAAGAAGCCAGGGTATTAATTCCAACGATTTCGCTAATCCAACTGTAAAAGCTGTTTATTAGTGATTTAATTAATTCTTTCGCTATGCCCTGGTGGTAGCAATTACTACCTTTTTTGAAAAAAATAACAGAAGAGTTGGCAAAAGTAAATAAATGATGCAGAAAATAAATAAAATTTATTGTGTTCACAAGCTATTGTTTCAATGGGCCACTGCTGTATATAAAAAAAGTGTTCTGGTAATATTGCTCTTAAACTATGGTTGAAGGAGACTTAATCAGTGATGTAGCTGGCACCCAAATTGCTTTGTTCTTTGATAATTAGTTTTCAGATAACTATTTTCTGTTAGGCGAAAGTGTTTGTAGTCAGCCGGGATGCGACCCTGCTTGCATTATGAAATGTAGGGAAGCTGACAATGAATTCCCAACTTTCCTTCTCTCTATAAACAAGAGATGTTATCCAAACACTGGGGTTGAAATTTAGTGCTTTCTTGCAGTTGAAGAAACTGCACAATTGGTGCACTGCCTGATTTGGAAAAAGGTGACTTTATTTAATCAGCAAACAGGCACCATTTTAAAAAGGCGTTAACTTGCTCTTGTGCCATCGATAGGAATTCTCAATGTTTAGATGCAGTTCAGTGTTTCCTATTAGCCTGAAATTTGCATATGCAACAGCGCGCAGATTGAATTGTTAAATTAGACGAGAGATGGACAATCTGAAGCCTTAAACTGTGCCCTCCCCCCCAAGAACTACTGAAAACATAATTTTAAATAAGAAAAAAGCAACTATTAATGAAATGTATGGTGGCAGAATCCTATTAGCTATATTTAATTATTTATAAATGTTAATGAAATCAAATCTAGTTTTTCCCTTGCTCTGCCCACCCCTGTAGTGCCATTTGAGGCTAATTAACGTACCAGTGATTGGTGATAGCTCATGTATATTATGTACCACAGTGTAAATATGAGAGAAAGATGGCTTTCGGTTGAATATCTCCCACTTTTAAAAGCAAGGATCCTTGACAGTGTTGCTCAGCAATGTTCAATGGGCAGTTCCTCTTTGACAGACCCATGCATGTGAAAATGGTGAGTTGTGCCTTTCTGCTTTTCCCATGGGGGGCTCCCAGCCCTGGAATCATTACTCAAAAGCCTTGGCTTGTTTTTAGGATGACAAGTCCATTCCTCATGATGATTTCCGTGCAGTAGATAGCAAGACACCTCAGTTACCCCGTGAGTATGGTCCTTTTCTTTGCCGTTTATTAATATGTCTTTGGATACCAATTCACTCTGCAGAAAGTAGCTTTGTCTTCAAGTCTGTGTGGCTACAGTACCATTCTGGAGCAACCATAGCCCTTAAAATTAACGAAGAGATTTTTTTCTTTTTTTTGCTTTTGAAGGCGGACTCGGAGGGATCGGGATGGGACTTGGTCCTGGGGGACAGCCAATAAGTGCCACCCAACTGAGCATGGGGAGTGGAATGGGGAATGTGACTCCAGGAGGTTAGTAGACTTCCTCTTTTTGATCTTGAGACAAGCAGGGAACTATCTGGACTTTTATAGAAGGTGCTAAATGTAGACTCGTGAGCTTCAGTGGACTCCAGAAGAGGGTAGAGGACAGGAAGGCCTGGAGGAACATTGTCCATGGGGTCGTGATGGTTCGTACACGACTTCGCAACTAACAACAAATGTAGACTGATGTGTTAGGTCTCTTAACTTAGAGCAGTGGTTCTCAACCTTTTTAATGCCGCGACCCCCAACCAGTCGTAAGTCGAGGACTACTCAACTGGTCGTAAGTCAAGGACTACTCAACTGGTGCAGCACCGTTTGCAGAATGGGACTTTTGGCGGGCTCAGCAGGGCGGAGACAGCCTGGACAATTCCTATTGGCTTTTGAAAGCCAATAGAATTAGACTCTATTCAAGAGAGTCTATTCTATTGGCTTTCCAAAGCCAATAGAATAAAAGGGAGTAGCACAGCTAAGGAAAAGGGGGAAAAAATGCGGACTGCGTTGTTTGGCGACCCCCGTGAAATGGTCGTTCGACCCCCAATGGGGTCCCAACCCACAGGTTGAGAACCACTGACTTAGAGGAAGGTAGATGCTGACCCCTTTTATGGTACTCTTCCCCCTCAAATAGCTATAATCTTCCCAATTCTACTCTTTGTTTGGACATTCAGTATCAATCTAGATTAACAGTTACTTTATTGCCAGTTAATAGAGACAGAGGGAGGAAGAGAGGAAGGAAAGAGATATATCTATTTGCTACATTATAAATTCCTGTAGACTTACGCTAAATAAAGAAAAAAAAAAGCTGTAGTTCTGCAATGATTCCTTTCATCTATTTTAAGGAATGGGCGTAGATGGACCAGGTTTTGGAGGGATGAACAGAATGAGTGGAGGTAGGTATGTTCACCTGTTCTTTATTTCTGTGTAAATGTTAATGGCATTCATAAAGAGCTCTTCACTTACGGTTCAGGTGTTGGTGGATTTGGTGGCATGAAAGGCATGGCAAACATGGGAGGATTTGGTGGAGTCAGCCGCCTGGGAGGTAGGTAAACATTTATTCATGACAATACAAAATGTTAAGCTATCAGGCGATGTTGTTAAAGGTAAAATTTTCCTAGGAATGGGAAGCGTAGATGACTTCAGAGGGAACATCGCTAGCGGAATGAGTGGCGGCATGGGAACAGGCATGGCTGCTGGGATGGGAGGTAAGTTTAGCTTTGTTTTACATGCGGTAATCAGACCAGCCTATGCTTCAAAGTAAACTTTTTTTTTTTAAAAAAATGGGCTAATTATGGCTTAAGCGATTATAATAAACGATATAAAAGTGGGCTGCCTTCTTAATTAAAAAAAATTCTGTGGAAAGTAAGCTTCAGTGATCCTCTTACAGAGCTGTCCAATGTTTGAGAGGTTTCTCATTCACATTGATTGATTTATCCACCCATTCATTCATTTTCTATAGCTGTCCATCTCAATGACTGGGCGGCTTACAATTCCACAAAAAGAACTAAAGCAGGGGTGTCAAACTCAATTTCACTGAGGGCCGCATCAGCATTGCGGTTGCCTTCAAGGGGCCGGGTGGGTGCAGCCTACTGGATAGGCGTAGATGGAGTGGGTGTGGCCTACTGGGTGGGCGTGACCAGTTCTACATCATTCGCGTCAAGGGTGCCTGTGGGGGCCTGGACAGGAGTGGGACAGATCTGAGGGTCTCTGGCAGAAGGGGGTGGGACCGGGGCACGTGCCAAGATGGCCACCACAGAATTGTACATTGGCTCCTGGTTGGCCAGGGCCAAGGCAGCGGGGGCCGTTCCCTCACTGTTTCCAGGATGGCTTCGCGGGCCACATGAAACCACTTCCCGGGCCACATCCGGCCCCCGGCCTTGTGTTTGACATGTCTGAACTAACGCAATAAAAACCATTTAAAAAATAAAACATCCAAAATAAATATACACAGCAGCCGAGTTCCTTAGCCATTTTACAGTAGTCAGCTAATTAGTTTTTCATTCTCCCAGCGACCACCTCTGAACAGTGATTCATACTATTGGAGCATCTGAATTGTGATTTGTGCGTAGTTGAGGGATCAAAGAAGCACCGAATGCTGTTTTTTCCTTGCAGAAATGTTCCGTGGTGGCATGGGAGGAACCCTTGACAGAGACTTTGGTCGAAGCGATATGGCCTTGAGCCGTGGTTTTGGAGACACTTTCGGGAGAATGGGTATGGGCAACTAATTCCCTCCCCCCCCCCAAGAATCTAATATCCAGCATGATGCAAGCAAGTCATTTTCATAAATGAGCATGATGCCACTTCATACTCAAAATCTTTCTTTTATCTCTCTTCTCAGTATAGTTTTCTTAAATAAAAAAAGAAAGAAAAGATTGTGCTTTCATTCCGGAGAGGGACACGATGCAGGATCTCATTTGTACCCTATTTTTGAAACAATGCAACTAAGACAGAAGCCTGATTTTTTTTTAATCTTAGGAAGTGCTATTGCTGCTTAACACCTTACAGACTATTTAATTTATATGTCAGAATAATTGTAGCGGATCTTCTCTTGTGGTATTTCCCCAATTTTTAAAAACTTAGATCTATTTGAATAATATACTCAGACGAAGTATGTGGACGCTTATAAGACACCCCCCCCCTCATAAGTTTGGAAAAATTCCCTAGCTTTTAAGTGAAATGGATTTATGTAACTTCATTTTTTTCTGTCCTCATTTAGGTGGTGCAATGGTTGGTGGTTTTGCAGGAGGCATGGGAGCTTCTAATATGGGCCCAGTAGGATCTGGAATGAGTAGGTTGATCCCTTCCAACAAAGCATAAATCCAGTTGTAGAAAGGCTTCTTAGCATTTAAGGTGGACCTAGGGGGAAAAAAAAAATATTCTAGCTGTATGATACTTGAGATGCATCTAAATTACATGGGAGGTTTATATCTGTAAAAGGAAGATTCACTGAGTTGTCATTGTATGGTTGTTCGATGAATGAAATGGCTGTGCATTAATGCTTTGTGATGCAGTTGTGATTGTGTGCCGTCACCCATGCTGGAAATACTCTTGTTCTCTTTCCTCAAGGACTTTATGTATTGACAGCTCCATGCTCATGAGAACCATTATGCTTGTTTTGGGAAAACCAGTGCTTTTTCATTAAAAAAAAGGACAAAGGAACCTGGCTTTATGTCTAACCAGATGTTAGAGACTGAATCTGAGACCGTTACATCTGGATCTTAGAGACTGAATCTGAAGGCTGTGCAGTTTCACTAAGATACGGCTCTTTCCTGCATCGAGCAAATAGCAGGCACCCAGACTGGGAGGCCTAAATTATAGTATTGCATTTTTAGCATGCTGTGATGATGTCTGACCCCAGCTGCAGAACAACCAGAATATCTGGAAGGCTGCTGTAAGCTAAGTAGTAACATCCTATGGAGTGAGCCTCCTTTTTGGAATCAGTAAATTGCTGTGTGATTTAATGAGTTTATAATAAAGCTGCGGCTTTCACTAGCTATAGAGCAATGACAGTTGAAATTATTCTTAATCATGGACCAGTAGAGACAGATTGGGTTGAAATTCAACCTTGCAGTGTTTGGCAACTTCCATTTCCCTGGGCCATTCACTGATGCAGCCAACTAGAAAGATGGAATGGAAGGCGGGAGGTAGGGAATTGATAAGGTTGGCCTCTCTACATGTAGTAGGATCTGCCTGACATCTCTAAGATAACCAAGTTGGTGTAATGGTTAAGGCAGCAGGCTAGAATTCTAATCCTGTCATGGATACAAAGCCAGCTGGGTGATCTTAGTAATAGTAGTAAAGTTGGAAGGGACCTTGGAGGTCATCTAGCCCAACCCCCTGCTCAGGCAGGAAACCCTAGACCATTTCGGACAAATGGTTGTCCAGTCTCTTCTTAAAAACTTCCAGTGTTGGAGCATTTACTGCTTCTGGAGGCAGGTTGTTTCACTGATTAATTGTTCTCACTGTCAGGAAGTTTCTCCTTAGTTCTAGGTTGCTTCTCTGCTTGATTAGTTTCCACCCGTTGCTTCTTGTCCTGCCTTCAGGGGCTTTGGAAAATAGCTTAATTCCCTCTTCTTTATGGCAGCCCCTGAGATTTCTCTCCGTCCTAAGGAAGGAGGTGATGGCAACCACTTCTGAAAATCCTTGTTCAGAAAACTGCAGGGTCTTGTTCGGGAAGTCTCTGAGAATCAGACATAATCGAATAATAATAGAAAAAACCCTAGAAGTACTATTCATCAGTCAGTGCAATTGACAAGAACTACTTAGCTCCGTTTACTGAAATGCCTCTGCCTTTCCCTTTGCAAAAACAAAAACCCAATCAATTCCACTTGATTCCCCCCCCCCCCTGAGATTCTAGAAGACTTAACTCTTCCTCCCTTTGTTCTTCTCTGTCTTTGCAGGTAGCGGAATAAGTGGCATGAATAGCATGACCGGTGGAATGGGGATGGGGATGGGGATGGATCGGATGAGTACCAGTTTCGATCGGATGGGACCCACTATGGGAAGCGGCCTGGAGAGAAACATTGATATGGATCGAGGATTTGTGCCTGGCCCCATGGGGAGTGGTGTGAGAGACCGAGTAGGCACCAAAGGCAACCAAATATTTGTCAGAAATGTAAGCCTCTGAATTAAAACCAATGAGCAGCATAATTCTCCCGCTTTTTCTCCTGAAGGTTACTACTATATGCTTATCTTCATTTCAGCTTCCTTTTGACTTGACCTGGCAGAAGCTTAAGGAAAAATTCAGCCAGTGTGGTAAGTATTAGGCACAAATAAGGCTGCCTCTCCGAAATAACAAGCCACAACAAATGTGTGCATCGGTGGCTTTCTGATCCATTCCTCTCTTTTCTGTGGAGCCTCTTGATGTCTGCCTTGATGCTGCAAATAAAATGAGGGCACATGCGTGGGCATCTTGGGATGTTGTCTTCCCTTGAAGTGCATGTTTGAGAAGAACTGTGCCTCTTGGAAAACCTTTGTCCCTTTCTGGTATTTGAGGAACAAGGACTTGGAAGACACAACACAAGCTTCCTCTTAAGGCCATAAATTATGGACCAGATGTATTTGCAGAGATTGGGCCCTGGACTATCACTGTGATTTCAAAGGGTAGTACAGTACCCTAAATTATAGTTCATTGATCCAGATGTGATTGCCCAAACTGAGCTTTTCAAACTACAATTGAGACTTTGGGTTTAGTTACATTGCAATAATCCATAGTACTTGAAATATGGTAAATAGGTTTCATGGATAATGCTAATCTATAGCATGGTTTGTTTTTTTGCAAGCATACTATGCAAATTATGCTGTTATGGCTTATTTATAAAGTAATTAGGTTTAAAACTATTAGCTTAGTGGTGGCTGCAAATACAGTTGGATGCCATGGAAAAACCTTATATTTGATAAGACCTTTTTAGATACATCTGAATATTGTAACAATTTAGCTTTTGACATGAAATACAAACATCTGTGGCAAAAACTTTGTGAGGGGGGATAATCTTTTTATGTTCTGTTCAATAGATAAGTTAATATTTATTTAGTTTTAAATTGAATTCAGGTTCAGATCAAATACTGTTTTTTAATTTTAAAGGGGGTAGGGGTTCTCTTACTTTTTTTCTGAAAAGGACAGGGTTTTTTGTATGGTTTGCACAAAGAGAAAAATGATTTTGCAATTTCTGCCAAAAGACTTAACATGCAATTTATTTACTTATTAAAGATAGGTCTGTTTTCTTCAATATGTTGTAACCTGTAGCTAAAAACTTGTTTTGGTATATATATAAAGATGAATAGCTTTAAATACGTTTATATTTAGTAGCATTTTACTAGAAAAATGTTATCTGTTCATTCTAAAACCTTAAAAAGCAAGAAAGTCACTATGTCCTTTGTATTCTGCGGTAAAAATATAAAAAGCAAGATTTTTCACATATGTTCTTCATAAGGTGATATTTGTATATAGTTTTAAGACATGCTTTCTGTTTTTTTTTTTTAAAAAAAAACCTGGTTTCTGTTTTTCTTTCTTAAAGTGAATGGGGGCTTAACTAGATCAACTATAAGTGCCTCAGGAGGGTCTGTTTTACCTTGTTCTTATGTTATTTATAAGCAGTGCCTAAGTTCTGGCTCACATTATTGAAAAGTATTTAACATTACTCAAACATTTAGTTCAGCAAATCCATAGATATCATTATTTAGGTGTACCCCAGTGACCGAAACATTAAAGAGCCTCAATGTGAACTAAAACATTTCAGCTCCATTTTACTTAAGAAGTCCAACTGTACAACCAAAATCTATCTATTATCAACTACATAACAAAACTAACTGTAGAAACAATATTTGCTTTGAAATGAAGAATCCAGGGAAGATAAGGAGGAAATATGGAGCCAATCAAAAGGGGTGGGGGCATTAAAGGAGGTGGCATGAGCAAGACTTGAGGTGATACTGTAAGCATCGGCAATCCTTCAGTGTGACTACACTGTCTCATATACTATGGCATAACAAAAGCTGTTAGATAATTTAATCTTGTCTGCATAGTTTAACCCTTTGTGTCGATAACCCTAACTTTCCCAGAGTGGGTAAACTTGATTTTTTAAAAAAAATAATAATAAAATAATTGATGGTAATTATATAGAACTTCTATCTGCACATGGTTGGCTAAACTGAGCTTTAACTTTTCAGGTCATGTAATGTTTGCAGAAATAAAAATGGAGAATGGAAAATCGAAAGGCTGTGGAACAGTCAGATTTGACTCGCCAGAATCGGCAGAAAAAGCCTGTAGAATAATGAACGGCATAAAAATCAGTGGCAGAGAAATTGACGTACGTTTGGATCGCATTGCGTAATTTATAAGTACATGTTGGGGAACATTCCTTTAGACAGTTTCCTGTAGCTTCTTCCTTTTTCCCCGTTCCCAGTAAATCATTTTTAGTAACACTGTCTGCTTTGAGTTGAAGAAACGATACTTTTAAAACCACCCTTCACCCCCACCCACTCAGCCTTTAACAGTATAGTGTTTAATATACTGTGTGAACTTGTTAATTCTTACTACATTTTGATTTTTAAGAGAAACTTTCCTGACTTGTTCAGTGGCCTAAGCCGCCCCATCTTCTCTTGTACTCAGAAGTTGTGGCCGTTTCATGCCTCTTTAAAAATCATGCTAAGTGTTTCTAGTCATTCAGTTTAAATGAATGGTTCTACTGTTTTTAATAAAACAAGCCATTTTCTCTGTTTAATAAAAGTCTGTATAGTGAAATTTGTTTTTTGTCAGCTTTGCCTGTCTTGCGATTGTAAAGCCTGCGGGTTTTTCATTTCTCTTCTCATCCATTTGTTTTACAAGCTTTGATAGTTGTTGCTGCTCTTATTAATTCCTGATCGCATTCAGCATTAACTGTGGTTTTCTTTTTCTTCTAAATGTCATGATGTGGATTTTTCCTCTAAATAATTTTGCAGCCCACGGAGATGTTGGAGTTTTTATTTCTTGGTGAAACAAAGAGACTGGTCTTTCAGTTCCTTATCTATATCTTCCATTCTCGTGAATTTATACAAAACCAGAAGCCAAACTAATTAGTTGCCACAATTCTTTATAGGATTGTTCCCTATGATTCCAAGTTCATACAGAATTGATAATGTGACAAAGGCTAAGTACATCAGAAGGGAAATGGCTCCTAGCTTTTTGTCTAATTTCCAACCATTCAGATGAATAGCCAGAAATATAAAAGCAACGGAGCAAATGAGAGAAATGGCGGTATAAGTCAGTCCAGTGCTGTTCACTGGCGCAGGACCAGATGGGTCAACCAAGGCGGTTTTTATAAACCAAGGTAATCCCAAACACAACAAATCAAACACATTGGATCCTACAATGTTCGACATGGCCATATCTCCTTTCCCTGCAAGATAAAACATATTAAATACGTCAACCTTAAGAAATTTCCTGTAGTATTTTATTTATTAATCAAATTTAGATGGTCTCCCATCTCACAGAAAGCAACACCGGGCACGTTCAGCAATCCGCTTTTATGCTTAAAAGACACTTGCTACATCTTGTCCATAGGACCATAATCTATGGCAGTGATGGCAAACCTTTTAGAGACCGAGTGCCCCAAAACTGCCCCTGCCTCCTACCCACCCACAGGGCCACCCACCGTCTCCACAGCCCGCCGCAGATTGCCCAGGGGGCCCAGCAGCACCATGGCAGCCACGCCCTCTGCATCCTGCAACAACAACTGCGCACGATGGGGCACGAGTGCAGTGTCTTGTCCCCACTGCCCGCCTGCCATGTCCTTGGTGATTCTTCTCCAGGGGGGCTGCTGGTGAGGGGGCCGTGGGGGGAAGGCAGGGCTGGGGCGATGGCACGTGTGTCCACAGAGGGCTCTGAGTGCGGCCTCTGGCACGCGTGCCATAGGTTCGCCACCACTGATCTATGGCCTTAACAAGTTTGAGAATACCTTCTGATCAATGTTAAGAATGACACTGCCAGACTCATCCAAAATAGAATGAAATTAGTATTTTGTCTTTTAATTTTTGTCTTTCTACCGGCTTCCCAAGTAGAACAAAAGGCAGTAGTCTCATCCCAGTAATCATTAGGTAAAAGAATTGGAAGAACCACTTGCAGTTCTGAATGTAGCCAGCTTATTAATTTAGTGAATGTGGGTATCTAGATGTCAAAAACTGGAAAAAAAAGTCATGTGGTTACCAACTTTGCCATGATAGCTTAACAGATGCAAAGGGCTTACCTCTTTTAGCCACAAGAACACTAGCAATGGTGTCTGGAATGCTGGTTCCAGCTGCTAGTAGCGTAAGGCCCATTATAGTTTCAGGAATATGCAGGGTTTCCCCTGTAATCGGAAAAATCCAAATCAAATAGCTCATTTCTTTGAGAATGAATTAGGAAGAGATCACAGTAATATTTTAGAGAATCACAATTTAATATCAAAATGACCTGATTAGAATACAGCAGCCCAAGAGCTAATAAATGAAGCTATAATTTTAACAGATAATCCCTCAACTGCATGAGTTGAACAGAGGTAGCTTTTTAGTTTTGAAAAACCTGGTCACTGAATTCAAGAAAAGCCGTATGACCTCTCCTTCAAATACCAGAGAAGTCTGCTATTCTTGACAACCACAACCGTTTGGAATAACTTCAACCAGCCTAATCCCTTCAGTTACTCTGGCAACTATCACATGAGCTGTTTGAAGTCATATGAGGCACTAACCTCTCTCAATAATCTACTCTTGGAAAAAATACTTCCGTTCTCATAGGCGGAGAGCTTGGAGTCTGCTGATAATCCTTGCTCTCTAAAAACTAAATTCAGATAAAAAATAAGGGAGACATTTGGTTTGTACAAAGTTGTGAAATGCACTTTTTTTTCCTGTTGTAAAATATGTTTTAATGTGAGGCACAATTTTTTACTTGGGTTTCCTGAGCTTAAAAATAAATAGAGCCAATAATTGCTCACTTTTTAAAGGCAAAAATCTAGATTTATTACTCAACACTTGTTTCGAATTTATTTCATTTGTAGTGATAGATGAGAAACAATCTAAAGGATGTTTTGAAGTCCTTTAAGAGGTTTCTTCTAGATAATGTAATTGCAGGCAAATGTTGGGTCTTTGGGCCAAGGACTGCAGCCCAGTGCTGTAGGGCATCTGATATGTGGAAAGACTCTAATTCCTTCTTTTGAACATAACAGGGGAAAAACATTAAATGGGGGATTATGGAAAAGAGTCTGTCACAATGTCAGCTTGTTTTTTTTATTTCTGTAAGCCAGCCATTGTGGCTTATTCAAGAATGCATAGTCAAAATATGCCCCAGTCAGTTGCAAGTCAGTTTCTTCTTTACTAACTTAAAAACATTTCCTGTCCAGATTAGCTCTTTTATAGACTTATGAGGATTCTAGGTTTTGTTTCCTTTTATATAATCCTTGTATTAGAATGATTTTACCTTAAGCAGGTGACCATGCCTGCAGTGTTTTGCATTAGATGCTTAGGTAAAACCTTTCAGAGTCGAGGTGTAAGTTACCTTTGCCAGGAGCTACACATTTAAACTTGTCATACACTTTGGAACATTAAGGCTGGCTTGGCACAACCCTCAAGTGACTTCTAAGAAACATACCCTTGGCTGTTCTAGACACGTACACCGCCCTCAATAAGTATTGTGGGCAATAAACTCTAATCTGCAGTCTTGCATGTGCATCACCTGAAATCAAGTTTGGTATTTTGAGATGCTGTTACTGTGTTGGTTAGAGCAGACAGGCTAATAAAACTAGGCTGCAAACCTACCCACTATGGTCACCATCCATACCAGAATGTACGTAAAAGCAGAAATCCACACTGCCGACATGAAGAAGGCAAGCATGAACCATTTTTTCCAAAAAGTTTTCCTGCAGTCTGGAATTGTCAGATATAGCACAGTAATGATGGGAAGGGCGAGCACCCACAGGATTCTCTTCAGATCTGCTTCAGGCATGGTAAATACGCTTGGAGGATCTGTCCGATGAAAAGAATCATTTAAGAAAGGAGATCCTGATGCTTAAAAATAGGCACTTTTCCTGGTAATGTAGCTCTCTTATTTCTTTACAAACCTGTCTTTATTATAAACCTGTAGAGCTTCATCATTTTGCTATTTTTTTTGTCTAGATATAAAAATCCGAAAATTTGAAGTGATTCCTGATGTAAAGTTAAGGCGTCTTAGAAATTAAACAACAAAAAGCAAAAACTAGATATTTGTCCTTGGCTTGTCCCACGGATATCTCGGGAGCCATCTGGGGAGATCTATACTTAATCACAAACTTTTTGCAAACTAGTCATGACATAATCTTGACATACTTATCAGATGTTTAGGTACCTCGGTATCTAAATTTTACTTCCAGCATTTGAAAAATATGAAGAATTAAAAAGATAACTGCATGCCTCATAATTTGGGGGTTAGGATTCCAAAAATATATAACTTAGCAGTTCTTGCAATAGTTTTTAAAGATGCTCTTGGTAAAAAAAATACCTTCAGAAATGGTATCGAATCCGTGTAAGCTTGCTGAAAGTTGAGTGTAATCAGACTCATAGAAAATGTCGTCAGGTCTTGATTGTCGCCGAACTAGAGGTTGCGTCTCGTCCCTCCATCTAGACAGTGGCTGGTCTTCAGCCTCTTCTGTAGTCACCAGTAAACAGGTGCAGCAAGGACTAAACTTGCTCATGAAATATTGGTTGATTTTAATGTCAAAGCAGAGTACTAAAATATAGACTCCATATATTAACAGGAGCGAAGCACATTCATACCTAAGACAAAGTAAAAACTTTGCATCAATGTGGGCTTAGCAAGCTAGGTGAAACCACCCACTTTGGTTTGATGTGGTAGGCAAACGTGGTCCAATCACCAACTGTGACAAGACTGGGTGAAGCAAGTCTGTACCTTGCATTTTCCATCGCGCTAGCAATTGTTCTTGAGTTCCGTAGAGGAGTATTTTCCAGCTGTTCCTGCAGATTGTATGGTTTGAATCTGGGACCTTTTCATGGCAATACATATGCTCTATATTGAACAAAATTTTCTAGGTCTGCCTAGCTCCACCTGCAGACTTTGTGCTTGAAAAGTGAGTGACCAGAAGAAATCTAATCGTGTCAGGTTCTATCTAGTCGGCATCAAAAACAGGCAGATTTCACTAGACCAAGGGTAGGCAACCTTGGCTCTTTTATGACTTGTGGACTTCAACTCCCAGAATTCCTGAGCCAGCCATGCTGAGGGGAAAGGGAGAGGTTTCCAAGCTGAGCCATGTTGGCTCAGGAATTCTGGGAGTTGAAGTCCATGAATCATAAAAGAGCCAAGATTGCCTACCCCTGCACTAGACCATCTGCTCTGCACTTTCACTAGATCTCCAAGGTCCACCAAGCATGACCCAAATGCAAGAGATAACACAGGTTGCATCCGTGGTTGAAGAATAACTCTTGGTGGCAATGACTTCCTCTCACACAAAAACCATTCAAGATAACTCAGGCCTTCAACTGCAGAGGTGTGGCATGAAAAAATGAAGGCTCCATATCTTCTCTTGCTAAAATGTCTGGCTGAATAAGGAGCTGGCAACCTCCACATAGCATTGTGATGCTGCCTGCTTGGGAGCTGGCTGTCCACATGATCTAGAGCTCCTATTCACTCCACATGCTGGATTGCTAGTTCAAAGCAAAGAATTCCGGGACTTGGGAGCAATTTTCGTTTTGTCTCTAATGAACATAAGCGGCTTAATAATGCTTGAAAAGTGTTTCCTTGCAGAAATTAATTAAATTATTCAATGCATATGCTGCCCACTCACTGTAATATTTCAGAATCGCTTCCCCCAAATATTTAAAGTGTGTCTTTAAGCAACCAGTCAATCCACTTTTTAAATCAACCAACCATGCACCTAAAAGTTAGTGTGGAAAAGCAAAACAAAAAAACACGACAAACTTCTCTAGAAGATCTGCAATGCATATATGAGCAGCCAGTTCTTTCTGTGCTGTTTCACCTGAACAAAATAAGCGGGAGCGGTACTTTCAGGAATCAACTTACCAATAAACTTGGTTGTCGACAATCATGGCAAGAACTGCCCCAGCACTAATAATGTAAGCCAAGCAATCTCTGAACAATGGCCAGCAAGACAGGTGTGAAACCTAGATGGTATAATTCAGACAACAGGACATTTGGATTACATGAGCTTTTTCAAGTCTTCATAACAAATGGGTGCTTCAAGAAGTGCCTTGTTGGATTGGATCTTGACCCATCTAGTCCAGCTGTTCGTTCTCCCAGGGATCAACTAAGTACACATCCCAGCAGATGGCCTTCAGAGGCTGTCCCACCACCATCAAGACTAATAGCCATTGATCTACCATCAACCATACTTTGGTTGATGTGTCCCAAATTTCATCTGAGAATGGCCTAAAAATGTCAAGATACCCAGTAAGCAATTTCATTCTACTTAATCTAAGACAGTGGTTCTCAACCTGTGGGTCGGGACCCCATTTGGGGTTGAACGACCATTTCACGGGGGTCACCAAACAACGCAGTCCGCCAATTTCCCCCCTTTTCCTTAGCTGTGTTACTCCCTTTTATTCTATTGGCTTTTGAAAGCCAATAGAATAGACTCTCTTGAATAGAGTCTAATTCTATTGGCTTTCAAAAGCCAATAGGAATTGTCCAGGCTGTCTCTGCCCTGCTGAGCCCGCTAAAAGTCCCATTCTGCAAACAGTGCTGCACCTGTTGAGTAGTCCTCGACTTATGACAGGTTGGGGGTCGCGGCATTAAAAAGGTTGAGAACCACTGATCTAAGATATGTCCATCTGCAGTAAAATTACTGGATACAACTTGTTACAGGATGTATGTTCCTCACTATCAACTTTCTAAAAGTATCAAGATCTCAGTAACTATTATGATAAACATTTTTTGTTACCCCCGATTGATAACAACCTACCTGGGAAATGCTGTCAATTGGCCCCAAATTAATTTCCCTTTGCAGTTAAGTGGAAGGCAGAATCATAAAAGAGAGCACGCACCATGCCAGATAAGAGTCCACAGGCTGCACAGATACCAAGAAGATTGTAGATGGCGGAGCCAAGGATGGTGCTGACTCCAATGTCTCCCTTTGTGACAAAAACACCTAAAAATGAAGCATTGGTTGATAGGGCCCATTTTTGCTATTGCAAAGACTGAACTGTGTGCTGGTTAAAGGGGGGGGGGGCTTACCGAGAAAAGCGGTGACTAATTCGGGGGCAGAACTGCCAGCTGCCATGAAGGTTGCTCCTGCAACATCCTGAGAGAGACCAAGAGCTGGAGGAAGGATCAATGGGGACAGGAGAAAAGATGCATGCAACCATCAGGGCTGAATAAAAATCAAGGAATAACATCTTCAGTTCTCCATTTATTTTTCTTACTTCTACATATATATCTCTCCATGTCGAGTCGCTCCAAACAACTTACAAGGCATTGATGTAATAGGCCTAAAAATGTCCATGAATGATAATTATACTTCATATAAATTAGATGATAGATATAAATAGCAATAGCACTTACACTTATATACCGCTTCATAATGCTTTACAGCTCTCCCTAAGTGGTTTACAGAGTCAGCCTATTGCCCCCAACAATTTGGGTCCTCATTTTACCGACCTCGGAAGGATGGAAGGTTGAGTCAACCTTGTGTCATGTGTCTGATTAACGAAACACTTCAAAGAACTTTCAGGCATTTTTTTTAACCTAAAAAGCCTTTATTAGTGTTACAGAGATGTCAGCACGGCATGGTGGAAATGCTAAGATCTGAATTTCCCTTCCTTTGCACATAACATTCCAGGCGTTTCCCCTCCCTTATTTTGGGGTCATGATTCACATCTTCCAATTAACTTGGAGGGCAAAGATTCACTTCCGTTTCTTTTTCCCGGGCTTTCCTTATATTCTTCTCCCCTTTCGCTGTCACCTGATTTAACTCTAAAAATACCAGACAGTTCTGCATATATTGTCAAAGCAAGAATATTCAATATTAGCAGCGCTGACATCTTGAGCCGGTCAGGATCAAACTCCTGGAGTGAGTTGAATTAGCCTGCAATACTGCATTCTAACCACTGCGCCCCCACATATCCTCAGATAGATGATATCGTATAGATAGATATATATCGATAGGAGAGAGAAAGAGAGAGAGAGAGAGGAAAGAGAGAGGCATAAAGGCCCTTCATTGGAGCAAGGGAAAACTACTCAATAACTATGGTTGAAAAACCATGCTTTAGCTCAGAGTACACTCAGTTGTGTAAAGCAACAAGAAGGGAGATGGGTAGGGATATTGATGAAGAGTGTGTGTGTCAAAAAAGATGGCAATGTGCAGTCAAAGCATCTTAGGTTTGGCTTAGCGTGTAGTGTGAATTCACTCCTTGTGATCTGTAAACATATGGATCAATACGTTATATGGATCCGGCTTACTCTTCAATAGGTTGTGTTTAAACCATTTTAGAGTAAGCCGAGATTGTTCCTCCACAGCTGGCCCGTTCTCCTAGCCAGAAATGGCAACTTACCCTAACAGCCCATTGGTTAGTGAAGAAAAGATTGGAATTTTAATTCTTAGTGTCAACCACAGTTTAGCCTAGCACGTTGTGAGAGCCAGCTCCATGGGTTTAACACAGTGGTTCTCAACCTGTGGGTCGGGACTCCATTTGGGGTCGAACGACCATTTCACGGGGGTCGCCAAACAATGCAGTCCGCATTTTTTCCCCCTTTTCCTTAGCTGTGCTACTCCCTTTTATTCTATTGGCTTTGGAAAGCCAATAGAATAGACTCTCTTGAATAGAGTCTAATTCTATTAGCTTTCAAAAGCCAATAGGAATTGTCCAGGCTGTCTCTGCCCTGCTGAGCCCACCAAAAGTCCCATTCTGCAAATGGTGCTTGCACCAGTTGAGTAGTCCTCGACTTACGACCGGTTGAGTAGTCCTCGACTTACGACCGGTTGGGGGTCGCGGCATTAAAAAGGTTGAGAATCACTGGTTTAACATATTGGCTATTGTGTATACCAGGGGTAGTCAACCTTGGCTCCTTTATGACTCGTGGACTTCAACTCCCAGAATTCCTGAGCCAGGTGGCTCAGGAATTCTGGGAGTTGAAGTCCACGAGTCATAAAAGAGCCAAGGTTAACTACCCCTGGTGTATACAAACCTAGTGAGTAGGGGGAATGCTTCATTAACCATGGTTTTTATATTGTTTTTATTTAATTTTTTAAGTGTGGTAAAGTGCCCAGAGCCATACAGGTATTTGAAGCAGGTGCCATATAAATTGAAATAACGAAGAAAGGAGGCTCAACCTATTATGTGGGTGCTGCCAATATTCTCTCAGAAATTTGACTTTGTTCGCAACACATTTCATAACTACTTTCCCAAATCCTTTTTATCTGCTGAGGAGACGAATATGCTCCCAGCACTTTGACGCTACAAAAGAAGCCGTTTGTTCAGTTCTGATCAAGCCCAAGAAATAATCCTTGAATTCTTTGCCAGCCATAAAGCTCCTTGCTTCAGATCCTTTTCCTATAACATAGGAAATATAATAAGCCACAAAACACTGCATAACTTTTCCTAAACTGCAGAAGCCAATTGTGCACAGAACTGTCTCGAATAGCAATTTGGTTTTCTGCGAAGGGGATAAGACCCATCAGGGACTTACTGTGACTGATCATCTCCAAAGCTGGGAGGAAGTAGTCATCACAGACAATGGACACTGCCAGGAACATGTAAAAAATGATGATGAAATAGATCACGATGCCGCCTTCGACTCGTTCTTGTGGAGTGAAAAACCCATCAGGGAATTCCGACGATGGGGAGAGAACACACCGGCTTTTGTTTTCTGTAAAGCAAATTTCACAAGAAGCACATCTCGGCTGCCTTAGCAGATTTACTTTGAAGACCTGGAGGGCAATGCAGAAGTTACAAGGATGGTCTTCCTATTTTCTGGGAGAAATAGCTTAAAAAAAACCCCCTTAGCTTAAAAAATATAAAGTACATGGCTCTCGTTAAAAGTACTTAACCTTCTCATCTAATTCTTCAGAATGTCTATGGAGATTCTCAATCATATCCAGGTCACGGTTTTCCCAAGAGTGCTTTTTCCAAAAGGCTACTGGACTTCCAGGATTTTTTTCCTGGAAAACGTTCGGCTGCACTTCCAAGAAGCATCTTCAGTTCTGAAGAAGCAGCTTTTAGGATCTGGAGCGAAACGTTTTCAAGGAAAAAAAAACCGAGAAAGTCCCTTTGCCTTTTGGAAAACGCATCTTTGGGGCAATCCCCCAAAATGTTTTCTGCTCTTGGAAGAAGAGGTTGCTGGGACCTCTACCCCCATCATCCCTGCAGGTATGGTCCTCTTCCTAGTCATTTCCTACCTATTCGCAGAAATGTCCCAAAAGTGCTTTTTCAAAAGGCAACTGGACTTTTTTTTTCCTTGAAGACGTTTCGTTTCTCATCCAAGAAGCTTCTTCTTCAGAACTGCTGAAGCTAAGAAAAAACTTGGAGCATCTTCAAGGAAAAACAAAGTCCAGTTGTCTTTAGAAAAAGCACCTTTGGGATACAACCATGGCCTGAATGACTGAGAATCTCCATAGACTATTAGCAGAAAACTTCTTCTTTTTGTGCCATATCCGTTATCGGACATTGGTGATCATGTTGGCAATCCTGTTTTTATCAGCAGCTGCACGAAAAAGTGCTACTGAGTTTTGTCCAAACCAGTCCCTTAGATTTTGAAGCCACAATGTTATTCTTCTGCCTGGACCTCATTTGCCTTCAATCTTTCCCTGGCGGATTAAATGGAGTATGCCATATTTTTCTGGGTGTCGCATCACATGTCCGAAATATCCTAATTTTCATTTTTTAATTGTTTTGATGATTTCCCTTGGCTTTCCCAGGCGGCAGAAAACATGGAGCAGCCTCAAAGTCCTTGGTGACATCCCCAAACAAGACTGAACTTTTTCAGGCAGAGTTTCTTCTGCAGACACCAAGCCCTTCCATTTCAAGAGGATTGCCGAGCTGGGAAGGACCATTACACCATGACGCCAAAGCACACTCTGGAAAGCGAGCTCTGAACTCAACAATCTTGAGACCATCTCATCCCTCATTATTCATTTGGCTGCCGGGGGTCCCATGAATTTAAACCAGTGGTTCTCAACCTGTGAGTTGGGACCCCATTTGGGGTCGAAGGACCATTTCACGGGGGTCGCCAAACAACGCAATCCGCCATTTTTTCCCCCTTTTCCTTAGCTGTGCTACTCCCTTTTATTCTATTGGCTTTTGAAAGCCAATAGAATAGACTCTCTTGAATAGAATCTAATTCTATTGGCTTTCAGAAGTCCTCGACTTACCACCAGTTGGGGGTCGCAGCTTACGACCGGTTGGGGGTCACGGCATTAAAAAGGTTGAGAACCACTGATTTAAACCAGAATGCATGCGTTTTTTAGCATCCTCATCCTCATCTTTCACTTCCTGCGCCTGCCAGGAATGATCTGAGAGCAAGCTGGCTGCACCGGGGTACAACTTACTCACAAGGAGACGAGGCCAGAAGAGGGGAAAAGCGCCCCAACTTCCTAAGGACCCCCGTTTCCCGGGATAGGCGCGCGCAGGACACGGAGCGGCAGTTGCAAAAGGCCGGCTTTACCTGGATCCTCGCGGAGGGGTGGAGGGCTCGGCCCCGGCATAGGAAGCCCCCCTGCAAAGCCTCCGGTCCCCCACAGCAGCCCCAGAGCCACGGCGACCGTGCAGGGCGCACGGCGGCTTCTGGGCTGATCCTGAGTCAGATGCATCTTGCAAGACTGGAGCCGCGCACTGGGCAAGGCGCGCGGGCAAGCAGGCAGGCGACCGAGCTTGGGGGGCTGCGGGGCATCATGTGAGTCCGCTAGGAAGGCCTTGTCCGGCTCGGGGCCCGAGGGAGGGAGGGAGGGAGGCAGGCTTAAAAAGTCCTGGGAAGAAAAGACTTTGGGAAACGGCGCGGATCAGCCGACCAGGGCCGGCGGCGGCGGAGTTTGGCGCAGGGAACCAAACTCTGCAAGTTTTCGGCTCCTCCAAAGGGCTTCGTCGGGGGAAGAGGAGCATTGCGAAGCTAGAGGGGATTCAGCTGGCTTAAAAGAGCTTTTGTTGGGGTTGGAACCTGGGCGCCTTGGACGGCGACTTGCGTCGTTGTTGGTTAGTTTGTTGCGCCACGGTGCTTCGAAGCCTTAAAACTTTGGTGATGTTGCAGCAGATCAGCTCGTGGTGCAAAAACTGTAAACGTTGAGTTGGGTAGACAGGGAAGGCAGGAATGTCCACGGGGCACGGTCAAAAAAAGTCAAGGTGGTGGCCCTTCTAAAACAAAGGGAAAAAGGGGAATTCTTTGGGATGGCCTCTATCTCCCCCAGCTCTGCTTTGATGGGGAAGAGGGGATAGGAAAAAAGATTCTCATGTATTCATTTATTTTATTGATTAAACAAATTTATATAGCCACCCATGGGTGAGTCCCACAACTCCCACATAGGTGATTCCAGGTGAAGAGTACACAATTCAATGGAAAGGTTTAAAAAAAATTTTTTTTTTTTAATCCAAGTGAGAAAAAACAAACTGGCAGCGTGTGAACAACAAAACCCCTTCGCTATTTCTTCACCAGTTGTTTCAGATGCCCTTTGTCAACAAGGCAACTTACCCATGTAATTAAGGATTAAATGCTAATACACTCGCCTCTTTCAAGACACAGACTTTTATCTGTTTAGGAATAATGGCGAGCTATAGAGAGGCAAAATGCCAAGTTTACGGCTCTGTTGAATTATTTGGCTTGCTGGCTTTCGTAAATATTTTCATATCAATTTTGCACACTCGTATTTTGATACTGTTAAGCAATGGTGTATTAAAGTCTGGCTTTCATTTGCATGGAGATAGTTGGGCCTGTTAGTTGCCCTGAATAAGAAGACAGATGGAAGGTCACCAGTTGCTTCTTGAATTCTAACTCCTGTGGACAAAACTGACACTATGTCTATGGGTCAGTTGTGGGGGTATGCTTCTCTCTCTCTCTCTCTCTCTCTCTCTCTCTCTCTCTCTCTCTCTCTCTCTCTCTCTCACACACACACACACACACACACATACACACACACACAAACCAGTTTTCCAGGCTGATTTGTTCCACATAGGAAGGTCTACGGCTGCTGAAACAGAGGCTGGACATTTTAAATTGATCTGCCTAACATTAACTATCCTAAAGGGAATCAACCCTGACTGTTCTTTGGAAGGACAGATACTGAGGATGAAGCTCAAGTACTTTAGACACCAAAGGAGAAGAGAAGACTCCTTGGAAAAGACTTGATGTTGGGAAAGGCAAAAGGAATAGGGGACTACAGAGGATGAGATGGTTTGGTAGTGCCACTGATGGAATGAACGTGAATCTGGGCCAACTGGGAGACAGTGGTGGACAAGGGGGAACTGGCGTTCTGTGCTCCATGGGGTCGCAAAGAGTCGGACATGACTTAGCAAACATTAACAAACCCTATCTTCATATTCTCTGTTAGGAGTATGAATTTCCGTGTTCTCAAGAAAAACCAAAAGTACACATATAGATTGGGTGAAATCAGGCTTAATAGCAGCAACTACGAGAGAGATCTGGGAGTCTTAGTGGACAATCAATTAAATCTGAGCCAATAGTGTGTGGCGGCAGCCAAAAAAGCTAATGCAATCCTAAATTGCATTAACAGAGGGATTCAGTCAAGATCACGTGAGGTACTAATACCACTCTATAAAGCCTTAGTAAGACCACCCCTAGAATACTGCAACCAGTTTTGGTCACCACACTATTAAAAAGATGTTGAGACTCTAGAAAAAGTGCAGAGAAGAACAGCAAAGATGATTAGGGGACTGGAAGCTAAAACATATGAAGAACGTATACAGGAACTGGGCATGGCTAGTCTAGTGAAGAGAAGGACCAAGAGAGACATGAAAACAGTGTTACAATATTTGGGGGGCTATCACAGAGAGGAGGGGGTCACCCTATCTTCCAAAGCACCTGAAGGCAACACAAGGAATAATGGATGGAAACTGATCAAGGAGACATTCAACCTAGAAATAAGGAGAAAATTTCTGACAGTGAGAACAATCAACCAATGGAACAGATTGCCTTTAGAGCAGTGGTTCTCAACCTGTGGGTTGGGACCCCATTTGGGGTCGAACGGCCATTTCACGGGGGTCGCCAAACAAGGCGGTCTGCCATTTTTTCCTCTTTTTCTTTGGCCACACCCCTGGCACCCGGTGATGTATAAGTGGTTGGGGGTCACCACAACATGGGGAACTGTATTATGGGGTCGCAGCATTAGAAAGGTTGAGAACCACTGCTTTAGAGGTTGTGGGAGCTTCATCACTGAAGCTTTCAAGAAGAGACGACTACCATCTGTTAGAAATGGTGTAGAGTCTCCTGCTTGGGTGGTTGTTGGACTAGATGACGTACAAGGTCCCTTCCAACTCTGTTATTGTTATTATTATTGTATCATTGCTCCACCTCTTCTGGAGGACAGTTATCCCTGATGCACTTAGGAGTCCAACAGGAAAGATGTGGTCAGTGTAGATGACGTAAGACCCAAGTTATTTGCACCTTGAAGATCCTCCTAGTAAGGAAGCAGATCTCACTGTCCTGTCTTCAGCCTCAAACAGTCTTCAAGAAGAAATCAAAGAAACATCCATTCCAGTACTCTAGTCCTCCTTGGACTTTACTTAACCTCAGATAGCAGAACAAAATCACAGCTGGTCCACAGTTTGTACCCAGTTGCTTTCCATGGATTCCATGATTAAATAGTGAGAGATCCCAGAATTCTTATCAGGCATTCACTAGGATTCCTGAGAACTGAAGTCCAGATCATCAAGAGAACATTAGGTTGAAGTGCAGGTTAAAGAGATTTCTCATTCTTCTAATGGTGGTAAAATGTTCTACTTGGTTCTGGTGTTCTGGAGTTCAGTGGGAGAAATCAAAGGTGTGGGTCTTTGTGAGTCAAGTAGTTGTGACTTCTTCCAAAAGATGTGAAGGTGGAACCAGGCTGGCAAGTACTATGGAAGCAAGCCAAACACCATCACATAAAAGAGCCTTCTTCATTTGCATTTTCTCAGAAGAACTATCCAAAACCAAGCAAAATAAAAAAAAATCCACTCCCTGTTAAATCAGGTTGTATCAATTGCATTTTTTTAAAAAATGGAGCATATTTGTGGTTCCTCTCAACGTTGCCTTTTCAGTGATATCATTCCTGATGGTTTTACACACACACACATATACATACATACATACATACATACATACATACATACATATATATGGATATCCTCCCCCCTCCATTCAGAAATCTTTATAGATTTTACCGTTAACAAAGCAGAACATCAGTTACAGGGTAGTACACAAAGACATCTAATATTATCCATTCCATTCTGTAAATAGCCAGGAACATGATAACGTGTCAAAATCAGCCTTTCCTTTAGCAACTAAATTAAACAAGATGGATGGTTGTATGCCATGTTTACATGGAACTGGTATTTTAGACTAATTATGGATAGAGTGCCTGGGAATTAGCCTCTGATTTAAGCCATTTGCGCTTGAAAAGTTGGGCCCGGCCAGTCTGTGATTACTTCTCAGGGTCTTGGCTATGCCAGCGAGTGGGGTGGCATTATCAGATTTGTCGTGTTTCTCCTCTGAGACAAAGCAAAGGTTTCAGGCTTGGAAGGGGAAATCTGTTGAGAAATGCCAGGTTTTGGGAAGCATTGTAGGCTAATTCCTTTCAGAAAGAGAGAAGGACATGTGCTGAGAACGGTCACGGATTATGTGTCCAGAAAGTGGGGACGACACATCTCAAACGTCTATGGAGATGCTCAATCATCCATGGGTCGTGCTTGTCCCAAAGTGCTTTTTCCAAAAGGCAACTGGACTTTCTTCTTGTTGTTTTTTTTCTTCCTGGAAAACATTTCGCTTCTCATTCAAAATACTTCTTAGTTGTGAAGAAGCTTCTTGGCGGAGAAGCAAAATGTTTTCAAGAGGAACAAAAAGTCCGGTTGGCTTTTGGACAAGCACTTTTGGGACATATCTCATGCTTTGGGGAATATTTTACTTTCAGAGATAATAATAATAATAATACCTTACTAGGAACTGCTTCCATCTTGCGATGATATCTGTAATACCATCAAACATCCACCTCTGCCTATCCCAGGTCCTTGGTAAGGACTCGATAGGTAGACAAAATGCCAAATCCAGTCTGAACATCTGGCTGACTGTGCGATGATCAATAATAATAATAATAATGGTGATGGTTGGAATGCTGGCTCAGGAATTCTGGGAGCTGAAGTCCACGAGTCATAAAAGAGCCAAGGTTACATACCCCTGCCCTATACCATTTCAGACAAATGGCTGTCCAGTCTCTTCTTAAAAACTTCCAGTGTTGGAGCATTCACCGCTTCTGGAGGCAGGTTGTTCCACTGGTTAATTGTTCTAACTTTCAGGAAATTTCTCCTTAGTTCTAGGTTGCTTCTCTCCTTGGTTAGTTTCCATCTGTTGCTTCTTGTCCTGCCTTCAGGCGCTTTGGAGAACAGCTTGACTCCCTCTTCTTTGGGGCAGCCCCCAAGATATTGGAACACTGCTATCATGTCCCCCCTCGTCCTTCTCTTTGTTAAACTAGACATACCTAATTCCAGCAACCGTTCTTCATATGTTTTAGCCTCCAGTCCCCTAATCATCTTTGTTGCTCTTCTCTGTGCTCTTTCTAGTGTCTCAGCATCTTTTTTACATCGTGGTGACTTTCATTCCCTTTTTCTTGGAGAAGGAAAAAGGATCCTGTAACCACTTTTT